TCTAAAGACAAAGTTAGAGAAAATCTTCTTGGAAAAAAAAAAATATTTCTGCTTCCAGTTTCCCTACTTACCCTATTCTGACAGCCCCAACCCTAATTTTGTTTATGGGAAAAATGAGAAAAAACACCCAAACACATACATTTTTACCTTTTTACCCTTGATTACACGCATATGCCTCCATATGATCGTACACAAAAAAAATTGGCCAAAAAAACCCCCAAATTCCCTACCTACCCTATTTTCAAATGCCATGTAATCAGAAGCAAAGTATTTTTTTTTGGCCTAAGGAATTAATTGCCTTAAAGAAATGCACAATTAACACAGCCAATGTGTCTTGTGATCTCACTGAAGCACCATTTTGAACAGATATATCAGATAGGCCAAATCCCGAGTTCAAACTCTAAAGTTAAACATACAATGTATGCTTGAAACGAGATCATAATTCTACGAGTCGGTCTCTTTTTTGTGTTTCCATCATGTCATGTTTGAACAGATTGATTCATCATTTTGGGCAGTACTTAAAAAAATATCAGATGGGCAGTACTTAAAAAAATATCAGATGCACAGTTCAAGTGGGGGGATATATCTCCCCCCCCCCCCCCCCCGATCTCGCCCATGCCTTGGAGGGGTGACGACTGCCTCAATCCTGCAAAATCCTCCAGCAATCACTGTCAATGTTTAGGCAAAGCCAGTGACACCTCCTGGAGCAATGCAGAGGATTTCAAGTATATACATGTAGGCCTAAATTTATGCACGGCGGAGCATTTATAAACAACACAAGGTACAGCCCAAGAACTTGGTACAGTGAATCCTGCAAAATCAGCCACACATTTTTGCCATATACCGGTAGCCTCAATCCTGCAAAATCCTACAAATTGCACAGGGGATTTGGGAGGATTTGAGAAGATTGGGGTTCATTTGTTGGGTAGGTGGAGTAGACCAAGCAGGCAATAACTCCAACTTGTTTCAAAATGGCTCTTGCAAAAAATATAATTTGAAACACGTTTTCCCAAATGGCGAATTCCCAAATGGCGAATCGTTTACTGTCATTTCAAATAAACAAACTATTACTGCTAAAAAAATAGGACCTCCGGAACATAATAGGTTAAAGACATTATTACTTAATTTATTAAGATAACTAATAGCCCGACATAATGCATTGAACATACAGAAGTAAAAAACAAAACACAATTGACAACAAAACAAAAAACAATGGACACCATTTTCAATATTCGTGGTCACACAGAAAAAATGCTTAAAGAAACAAAAATTAGAAGTGTATGAGTTTTCCATTGCCTAATCTATCATGCTTGTCATTCAAAAAATATTGTGGGAACTTGCGTTCCATATGAAATTACACACACAAAATAAATAGAAGAAATGAAGGCTTTTCCTTCCGATAACTCCAAACCTAATTATTTCTTTATATTGTAAATCGAACAACTTTCCTGGTGTCATTTACATAACTTCCCTGCACATGGCTTCATCTTTGTGAGAAAAAAATCAATCCTTTCCAGTATTGAACTGACAAATTGTCCAACTTCTTAATTGCTAAAGCACTCGTAAAAAACTTGCCCATCCTAATTCGGATTCTGTTCGTGAAAAATCCATACACTTTTCTAGTGTCATGTCATAATTTCTTAGTTTATATTTTCATAAGCAAGTAGGTTTCTTAATACAGAAAGAATATGCAATTATGCATGAAGGTTACCTTTATAGGTAGAGCTCAAACAATATGCAGTGAAACTTGGACAGGAAAATACTGCTATGATGAACGTCATGTTTCTTAAAGAATTTCTCCTTTGGATACCAATGCTATGCACATCGTCAACAATTTCTTTGCAAAGCAAAACTTGTTCCATTTCTGCTCTCAATGTGCAGGTTTGTTTTAAAAGACCCCACATTTCTTTTGTCCTGCAAGTTCCATCTAATGATCCGTACCGACCACTCGCAAGTTTTACGGCGAAAACTCTTTAAAAGCACAGCTGGACATCTCATCAAGTGTGATGACCAAATGACCAAGTATTAGGTGTCAATTTCTACTGTGTGACTTCAGTTGACAGGGTTTCCAAATTTAAAACATAAAACATCTATCCCGATCTCAGTTTCTTCTTACAAAAAAAAAAAAACTGCTTGTGTTTGTAATTGCCCAAATAACCACAATGCAATAGAGGACAGTATTTATCATAACAACAAAAAGGGTTCAGAACTGGTCATGATGGAGAAATAAGAATCCCTTTGAGCACGATCAATTTGGAAGCACTATGTAGTTAACACATTACCCATTTATCGTTTGTATCAGATGAGTGAATATGCAACACACGTTGATCTACTCATACAATATGCTGTAATCAATTATGTGCTTCTTTCTCGGATTACTAGTAAACACTACGTACTTTTTAAACAACACATCAAACGAGTGGACAGGGTGTCAATATTTGATCTTCATGCATGCTATACCGAAATCAATATGAGTGCCTTGTTTCAATAACAAATCATTCAAGTCAATTTGAATTCAAACAACCCCAGGAATATTATGAATGTTACAGATGAACCTTTCACAAATATATCTAAAAAGTACAAGAAAAGGAGTACATGTGATGGCGTTGGGTTACAATGTATGTAACTGCACATTTTGTGTTGTTTTTTTAATAATCAGTTTTCACAACAGAGTGCTTAGTTTTCCAACACAGATGTTCCGAGAAAAAAATGAAGTAGTTGATATGATGCAATGAAAAGTTCTGGTAATTTAAGTCCAAAATGTAACCTTGCACGTTTGTTTTTTCAGAGTCTGTGAACGTGTTTCATTACTTTTAAATGGATGAATCACACGTCTACTAATATCGAAATATGTCACTCATTTGAAATTGCGTTTCGGCCTTTTATATACATGTATGAATTTCAGCTTTACTTTTACAATTACTTTTCTGTGGCATAATCAAAAAAAAAAAAAAGAAGATATCCAATCATAAACAGCTAGGCTTAATCAATAATAATTGTGTATTAGCATGATTCTAGATTAGCATATTATACAACTGTTACATTTTTTGTAAAGTTAACTTTTGATCCATTAAATACCACAATTGCATGCAGTCAAGTGATGTTAAAATTAAAATCTCAAGTATGAAATATTGTAATATACATGTAAAGAGTACTGCCTGAAAAGGGTCATTGAGGAGTGGGGACAGAAATGGTTTTTTTTTAAATTAATTACTTTTTTTTTTTAAATAAGTTGAGTCACCTTGCAAGAGAATCTTAACATGAAAAAAAAACTCTTCTGCATTTGCTAATTTATATAATGCCTGCTTGTAAATGGTTATGATTTATGTTTGTTGTGCATAAAAGTTCAAGCTAGCCCAGTTTTGTTTTCAGAGGGATAAACGATATTAGACAAAAAGTGAAATTTTAGAAGGAAAAAAGGGGACATTTGGGGAACATTTCAGACTCGCTTCTCACATGTTAATCCTTGTTGTGTGCTCTAATGCAAATATTTGCTCACTGCGTTAGCAATAAAATGGCAAAAAAGCCTAGCGATATACTGTAGGGATTTTTGGAAACCGTCGGCATGCTTTTGTATGTTAAACAGAGGGTGAGTTGGTATGTTTGAGGTGGTACAGGTTAATACAGTTCTCTCCCTGATTACAAAAATAACTGTTACATGATGCAACCGCCGGACCCCTGAAAATGATCTATTCAATTCTGAAACCCATTTTTTAAATCTGTCACCGGCTTACTATTTCACCGGATTGTCAAGAAATTAAAAGTCTTGCATAAGGTAACAATGCCTTACAGTATTTACACAGAGTAACTGTGGTTGATTGGTTTTTACGAAGTGGAGTGGAGTGGGGACAGCATTCCCAAAACCTCAGAATGTTGATGGTAAATGTGAGACAAGAAAGTGGTTTTGTACGTACACGATGTAACTTCATTTTTCAAAACGATATTGAATAGAGGAAAACGTTTAACTTTATGGGTTTTTACACAAGATTGTCGTCTACAAAATTAATATAGCGCTTCTTTGGGTGGTGCTTCAGATAAAAAGAAATTACTGATGGGGTATAATGTTTAAATGAACGCCAAGCCACACAGTTATATGTTTTTGTTAAATCAATTTTCACATGCAACAGTCCTCAATGTGACCAACTGTTTTTTTTTTTCCCCAAGTCTTTTTTAGATTGCCTCCAAAATGTTGCAAAGGGATTTGTGGGTCCCTTCCAAAAAAAAAAAAAGAAGCATCAACTGATTTGTGGCTTAGCGAAGCATTGAAGATTGAAGCGATACATGTCGAATTATTTGGCATTAAAATCAAGAAATAAGTTATTCTGGAGAAGCAGGTGGAAAGAAATGATAGTAGAAGTAGACAAATCACAGCAGGTGCGTGGACAATGCTTGAGCAATTAAGGTAACGTTGCAAAGGATCAAGTACAAACTGTACACATGTGTGGCAAACTTGGAATGACAATGTTCTCACTAAAGTTGGTGGCAGATTTGTTTTCATAGCGCGAAACAAATCAGGGATGATATTGTCAATACTAACCCTAACTCCCTACTGTCTTTTACTGAGCAGAGGACCAAGTCCGCCAAAATTCATCACTCACTCGCTCTGCTTTCAATACATGACATAATGGAATCCACCACTGAAGTACTGGTGGTTATTGTCCGACTTAGTACACATGGCTTACATGACAACAGTAGAACAGGATGCTGGGCAAAATCAATCGGATTCCCCCAGCACTGCTTCAGGGGTGCTGTGGTCCAATGGTTAGGGTGTTCGACTCATGTGCCATGGTACATGGGTTCGAATCCTGACCATGGGAACATGGTGCTTGTGCTCTTGAGCAAGGCACTTTACCATTATTGCTTCGTCCTTCGGATGGGACGTAAAGCCGTAGGTCCCGTGTGTTCTGTAGTGCACGTTAAAGAACCCAGTAACACTTGTCGCTAAGAGACGGGGTTTGCCCCGGTGTTTCTGGCAGTGGCTGCAATATGCGCCGCAGCACCTTGTAAACCCTTACAAGGTGCTACATAATGGGTCTCATATTTCTCATAAATTTCATTTACCTGTCTTTAATAATAGACATAATTTCCAGCGCCTTGAGTACCTAATTGTTGGTAGATACCTGCGCTATGTAAGACGCCGGTATTATTATCATACTCCATCAATATTTAGGCGAACAAGGCCTGCAGGACGAATTCCCCCCAAATCCACCAAAATTGTGGGAATGGATTTTGACAGAGTTGGGGAGGTTAGGGTTAGTTAGAAAAGTCTGCAAATTGGATAAAAGGTCTGAAAGATGCATTTTTTTCTTCTACACTGATGATGTCTTTCTCTCAGATTCAAAAAGTCCGATTTCAGACTAAAAATCTGAAAAATGTCATGCCTGCGAAGTGCAAATGATTTGCTGCGAATGCAGGTTTACATGTGTGTTCGGACCTAATGCTCAAGCATTGCATACACCGACCGACTGACTGACAAAACTGAAGATGAATCACAGATATTTCTAAGTATTTTTCTTTTCTGTACAAGAAGTCTAGTCTAACTGCCAACAGCAGCTACTCAAATCATTACATTGCAGCAAGGTAGAGACACTCGGCTTAAATGACTTCGGATTTTTTTCTTCTGCTTGAAAACTACACGAAGATTTGGTGCTGGCGGTAAATGATGATGATATAAGATGATTAAAAATGACAAAGATAAGAATGAAATTCTGCAATGGAGAGAGGGGTGTTTCCCTGCGACGAGATCCGCCTTTTTTTTTGTGATCTATCAAAAAAATGCCGCGCCTTGCGCGCAGCGGAGGGGATATACTGTGTTAATCTATAATATACATATATCTGCACAGATTACAATTTCTGGATTTTTTCACCGACAATGACAGGATTGTTCTTCCTGATTTCCTCCTGGCCGTGCAACCGGTAATCAAATTGACATTCGTGTTTGTCCGAGTAGCGGTGTATACTGCAGAAGAGGCCCCCACACCGACATTCAAAACCTGCCAAGGATAAGGTGAGAAAAGCTCATCAATATTAAGAATACCAGACCACACGGAAGTAGTTTAATCAAACAGGGCTGTGCTTAAGAATGGCACTGCATAACTGATAACCAAAGTTGCAGCAGTGAGGTCACTTAATCTATTTCTGGCGTGGATCCTTGGGGAGGAACAATTTATGGTGAATAAAACAAATAATGAGGGTATGTTAGACTGTCATACAACAAAACTTATGTCATGTTCTTGTGCATTGGGGGTTCTTTCTGTTAAAGTTGTTTAAAACGTTGGTCTCAACAGAAACAACATTATTTGTTTTTGAGATAACCGAGTTAATGTACAAAGTTAACTTGAGCAACAAACAGTTCATTCACTTCATTCGCTAAACTTGAGTGCTTTCATAAATATCCCTTTAACCCTAAGTCCCTAGGCATTTTCGCCAGGATGCAACCTCCATCCTGCGAAATCCTCCAATTGCCTCCATGTAAAAATTGCATACAGCCTCAATCCTGCAAAATCCTCCAGCAGTCACTGTCAGTATGTCGAGGCAGAGCCAGTGACATCCTGGAGCAGTGCGGAGGATTTCAAGTATAATATATGCACGGCTGAGCATAAACGACACAAGGTCCGGGCCCCAAGACCTTGGCACAGTGCATCCTCCAAAATCAGTAACACATTTTTGCCATGTAGCCTCAATCCTGCAAAATCCTCCATTTTGCAAAGAGGATTCTGGAGGATATCAGAAGGTTAGGGTTAAGCCGTGTCCGAAGTACTTGGCTACGGCTTGAAATTACACATGAGTCTATGGAAAGTGGCTGCAGCCGCTACCATAGATTCGTGTGTAATTGCAAGCCGTATTTTGCCAAGTAATTCGGACACGGCCTTAATACACTCTAAATGAGCTCACCTGTAAGGCCCACTTTCTTACGGCAACTTGCACATCGGTTCTTTTTCTTCTTGCCTTTATCCGGACTGTCGGACCCGCTAGGGGAATCCGAGCAGGAGGTGCTGGGTGACGGACATGATGGCAACTCCGCCTCATCGAGGGAACTCTTTGCTGTAGCGCCCTCTACCTCCGGTGCGCTGACTCTCTCGTTAGCATTGCTGGCTGCACTGCTAAGGGCGGTTGTGGTTGTTGTATGGGTGGTAGTGGTGGTAATAAGGGAGCTGGCGTCTGTGTTGCTGGCGCGGATGAGACTGGATGAGGCTGGAAATAGAAAAAACACTGGATTAGGCTAAGTAATTCCAGGCTTACAAACAGGACAAAAATAGGACTTCTGAGGACAAAATCAGGATAAAAGAAGGACATTTGTGGGCTTTCAGGAGTAGTTTTTGTTGATACTCACCCATACCTGCCCACAGCATCATTTATCAGCCTCATCTGGCATGTTCTGTACTCAAAAATTGTGCTCCATCCTTAACTAAGGTCTTAGAAACTACAGTTGCAGTACTCCAGCGCCCAAGCCCTTCATTCTGGAATGGACTCCAAACTGACATGCATCTCTTATGCAAGTATCAACAAATCTCCCATAATGTAATTGATATACTAACGTCACTGTGAGGTCATTGAATAATATAACAAAACAAAGACATTTAACTTAGTGTACACAGACTAGTCAGATTAGTCACTTAGGCCTGGACGAGTAGTGGAGTTTTACCACTCAAGTACTCGCAAAGAGTCAAGTACTCACAAGAAGTTAACCAAATTCCCATCAAAGCAGAAAACTTACAAGACGGGAAGTAACTACAAGCAAGCAGTGTGCAAGTCAAACCACATGCATCAACACTGAGTTATCCTTAAGTGTGCAACATGTTGGGTCATTAAAATCCTAGGGAGAGAGAGGTGAAGGGAGTGATTCCCTGTTTGCAGGGGACGTATTAAGCCTGGAACCCTCAACCCTAAATTGCTACTCGCAAGTACCCGCTTCTACTCGCGCCAGGACGAGAACTCGAGAAGATGAAAAACCACGAGTAGAACAACGAGTAGCATAAGTTACTCGCGAGTACTCGAGTTACTTGCCCAGCGGTCGAGTCAATAGTCCATTCACTGTTTGTAAATGGTGAAAGCACGAAATATATCCACAGACATACATGTACAACATGTAGGCCCTACTGTATGCCCATCACTTTAATTAATGTATTCAGATTTACACAAGTACGATACATACATGTGTATGTCATTGTATGTTGTGTATGTACATGAACATTTTGAGGAAGTAACCTTGTGATTTTGTCATGTTGACAAAGTAAAAAAAAATAATGTCGGTCAATGTCATTAGGTGGAGCAGAGTGAATGAATACAGTCATAAGTAATGATGTCGGTAAGCTCTAAATGTAAAGTATGGCACATGTGTGCAATCAAACTCTTCTACAATTACATGTACATGGACATGAATAAATACATGTTACAGACATACACACGTACCTGTACCTTTACTTCTGTACACATGTACCGGTACAGTTGTACAATGTACATGTACAAAAAAAAATACAATTGTACGTCATGTACCGGCACATGTACATGTACATGAGTAAATACTAGTACATTTATATGTAACAGACATGTGCATACTAGACATGTGCATCATGTACATGTATGCACTTCTGTACATGTATGTACTGTAAAGTAGATGTGTTATTGTGTTTTACAAAATGCTTTTTTACGAGGTACATGTACTGGTAACAATTATCATCATCATCAATCTACAATGCATGTACAATGTACATAAAAAAAAAACCTTGGTTGATGTATTTGGTTGATGGATTTCATACAATAAGGTCTTCTCCATTGGATATCGACCTTTGTCATTAGTACATTACAAACAGTAGATGTACTATAGGCCTGGGGTACAAGGCCACTATGGCCTTTTGTTCAAGGACAGCAGCACTAACTGGCTTCATCACATGTACAAACAGCTGAGGCCAGTCCTGAATACAAGCAAGGGCATGGTCAAACCTAACAAAGATACAATGTACATGTACTGAGGATGGTTCATGACAGTGGATGATGACCACTGCGTATTTTGTTCCAACAATGTGCTCACTGTGTAATTATCAGAGTGCACCATTACTGGAGTGTTGCAAAAAGGGCATTAATTTCCCACTGAAGTCCTTGAACTGATTCACAGACTAAACTTTTTAAAGAGAGTGTAATGGTTGCTCAGGTATTTCCGACAAAAGTAAAGCCCGCCGCACATCTTTCTGATTCTACCTGTTCACCTGTCCTCCAGATCACGAATCTGTTTATTTTTCACACATGCCAGATTCCGTTCTATGATTCGGCCACATAATGATCAATCATATGATGACCGTCACCAGTCACATGATGACAAAATGGGCGCCCTCAATTTGGAATCATGTGACTTCCTTAGTGAATCTGATTGATACAAATCGCGTCCGGTGAAATCGGAATGTTGCTCGCACACATTTCCGGTGACACTGGATCCGGTGAAATCGGAAGTAAACAAATCAAACATGTTTGATTTCATCCGGTCGCCCGATGTACGGTCAGATTGGTCCGAATTTTCAGTGTATACCTCTAAACCGGAAATATCGGCAGGTTTAACATCATCGTCAAATTAGGCAAAAATGGTGCATCTAGCCATTTGGGAGTTCACGTTTTACCTACACAAGTACATTGTATGCATATTTGTAACATAGTAATATTCAATGTAGACAATTCAAGCATGTAATTTGTGCAGTGCATAGTATATATTTAACCAATTCCTTCAATACGAATCTACATGTAGTTATGAAATTTTACTCCGGACTATGGATCTGTCACACCTGTTCAACGAGTCAATGTCTACCATGCCATCATACATGTCACTCATGTACATACATGTGCTGGTACATGTGTACATGTGTACATGTAAGGGGCACATACATAGGGTCTGTACATGTACCGGTACATGTACGTCAGTCATTAAAAAAAGATGTTGGTTAGGCCAAAAAAAACAAGTCTCCGGTTTCTGGTATGGAGCTTGCCCAAAAAGTGGTGCGGCGACGCGGCTTTTTTTTTTTTTTTAACCTGATTTTTTTGCTTCAAATGTCGGCTGATGACTGCAAATGGTGCCCGACTAAACTTAGTGCAAATATTATGGGAGTCCAGAGAGGCCACATTAAGCTTATTCTCGACCATAACCCAATCTAAAAACACGTTAAAATTGTGTAGCAGCAGGATTCCAGTCAAACCAGTGAGTTTGGCGGTTTTGAGACATCATCTTTCATTGAAAAAAAAACTTTTTCATTTTGCCAACGCGCATGGCGACGCGCGCGCATACCAGAAACCGGAGACTTTTTTGGGGGGCCTTAGGATTCTTTTACGTGCACAGTACTGATTATAGATCTACACAAGCACTATGTACATGTCTACATGTACATGTGCACCAAACATGTGAACTGTTGCTGATTTTAGATCACACTGTGTTACACCTTTTGTACGTATGTACATGTAGAGTACTGTACATCATGTACAATGTATGGGCTAAGCCATAAACGTTCATGCCTCTCTGCATACATGTAATGCACATGAATCATTGTGCTTGACTGAATCAGATTGTAACAAACATGTACCCTGTGAGTAGGGAATCCATCAGGCTGTTGACAATGTTCTATCATGGAGGAATTCCTCCATGGTTCTATCAAGGCTACAATGGTCTATTTACTCATACACTGTGTGTACATTGTACGTGGGTGTATTTGAAACACACAGTGAACGCAGACATTAGTTATGCTTCACATACATCATAGTGTACACGGATTTGGAAACTAAATCAAATCTCTTTATGTCAAGAGGCGTTAGTGCAGCCCCTACCGCATGCAAATGTACTGCACACTTATAATTTTGCCGACTTGTGTTAGAAGTGGGTTTGTCCAAAATGACAAAATTCATTTCCTGCATTGGATCCATTCACTGTTTGCAAAACGGGGTGAACTCGTGAATCACATGTACGTTGGCCCATTGTAGGAACCAATGTAAATGAAATGCACAATGTACATGTACATAATGGCGTACAATCACACACCCTCCCCATTTTGATCAGGAATGCACACTAAGCATATTCAAGCATATTATTTTAAATCATAATTGCGCCTTCACCGTAAAATTGAAGCATTAGCTTCACAGCTCGGAATATGATCATGTATAAGCTCCATGCATATACATGTAGCTTTTCCCTCCACCGAATATGATTTAATACAAATTTATGATAATTTTTGACAATGTCTTTCACTGTAAGTGTGATACAAAAAAAAATACCCAATCAAATCATTACATGTGTGCATACATGTACATTCACTCCACACAACTTGGAAAAGAACTTAACCCCAACATTCAAAATCCTCTTTGCAAAACGGAGGAATGTGCAGGATTGAGGCTACTGGTATATGGCAAAATTGTGGGGCTGATTTTGGAGGATGCACCGTGTTAAGCTCTCAGGCCTAAATGCTCAGCCGTGCACAAATTTAGGCCTGATTATACATGTACATGTACTTGAAATCCTCTGCACTGCTCCAGGATGTCAATGGCTCAACCTCAACATAGTGACAGTGATTGCCGAAGGATTTTGCAGGATTTCGGCAGTGGTTACCTCTCTAAGGACCACATTCAAGAAGTAAAGGATGATTTTGGAGGATTGAGGCTGCATGCAATTTTTACATGGAGGCAGTTGGAGGATTTTGCAAGATTGAGACCGCATCCTAGCAAAAATGCCTAGCGAGTTAGGGTTAAGTATGCACAGGTACAACTACCAATACTGTCGTACGGCGCAGGGCAGATATCATTACACAAAACAGTCGTTGATTAAACGCAAGTTGGTTTTTCTTTCATAGTGACGTCACACACGCCCTCAGTCAATCAGCAAAAAAATTGATGGCACTGTTCGGCGAACACACATGTGAGCAGTAGGTTCTTCAGAATATTTTTGATTTTTTTTTTTCAAACTACCGGTTGTAATGAACAGTTTAACTGGTCTTAGGGAATGTCATGAATGTGTAGATCCATCCGGAGTAACTTTCTTTCTCATTTGTATTCTCTTTACCAGTTTTGTGGGGCCTTACGTCCTCCAGGGTATGACAGTTTTCTAAACCACTGTAAACATGTGGAATTACTATCTCTATTCGGTGGAGCGCTAGTATGGAGGGTACCGCAGTTCCAGTGCTCCACTCAGTAGAGCTAGTTTATATCCTACTTTTAAATGCTCTTTCCAATTAACATCATTTCGTTTAAAACGCGTTTTGTAGCCCAATCGGGCGCATTCCAGGAAGTAACGTTCCTAATAAAAAGAAGTGTTTCATTTGTAAAAGCTTTGTATCTCACACCTGTTTCAGACTAGCACTCCAGAGCTGTGCCGAACCAAAAGATATTAGGAACAACTCAGGTTGATCCAAATAGATCTTGGTCTCGGACAGAACTTTATGTAAAATTGTCCATTTGACTAGACTCCAGAGTCGTTCTAAACAACTGCAACAGATAATCTGTCGACGTGGACCCTTCCGTTTCCTCAGAATTTCAATAGCGTGGCTCTGGTACCGGAGCCTGAAACATGTGTTACGTAATGTGACTCCATACACAGTAGCGAGAGTCACGCCTTTTGGACAACACTGTAGAGTTGCCTACCTGCTTCATTTTCCTTGCCGTGGAAACCTTGAAACGATAAGTTGCTAGCTTGATGCGTCTGATGGCCCAGGGGTTGCACTGGTGAATTCTGCTTTTTCCTCTGGTAGTCCTTGAAACATTTAGAGCACATTCCCTCTGTGGCAGCACTACCGTAGAACCCACAGCCATTCCGACACTGGTTAGGTGCCACCTCATCACTTCCTTTACTACTGTCCATCTCGATGAGGTTAACGCGGTGACAACCAGTGTGTGTGTGTACGGGAAAGCCTGGCGGGTTGTGGTGGGAATGAAATAAAACTGATTTCAGTCACAAGAAAACTATTGATATCCAAAATAGTTTGATTATTCTTCCTCGTTCCTTTTTTCCCTTCAGTACATGTCACTGCATGGAGCCTGTAATAATGAAGCATTAGTGACTGCATTCAGCAGATGCATAACGTAGCTCAAACTTCACTTTTGTTCAGACATCTTTCTCCAAAAACTTTTCCGTGTCAAATAAATTTGTGGTTGAACTGCTGTTTCACTTCTAAGTAAGATTGTGTTGTCTTTTCAGAGGATCGAAATGTGTGAAAAAGATCCATGTTTCGTGAACACACAAAACAAACAGTTTCGTGTGAATTTGTTTAGAATGTAGAAACTAAATATTTACAAAAGAATGCATCATTTGAATTAAAAACACTCACAATTTATTGAGTGTATAACAATGTATCTACTGAAGGAACACTAGATGAAACCAGTGTGTTTCAAAAGATCGGGGAAAACCCCTCCTTGGCAATGATGTTGCAAGTGACAGAATTTCCCCATACCACAGTTTACACACAGCGCATGCCAGATGCATTACACGTGCTGTACATGTATGCACGTGTCTCTTTGTAAATCCCCAAAAGCAGGAAGTATATTTACTGACTTTTCTGACCTATCATTATGTTCCAAATAAACATGTGGTAAGATTTGAGACAACTAATCCTGACGGTAAACTCTGCACTGCAATTAAATGTTTCTACCGCAGAGTCAACACAATACCTAACTTCAAGCAATACAGAGCCCTGATGCTGAAATCCAGAGAATTTGATGAAAAAAAAAGTTGAAGTTGGGGAAAAACTCTGGACGAAACCTTTGATCAAGTGGGGACCAAAAACCAACCAACAATAGTCCCCATGACAGACTGAGGAGTGGTCTTTGTCCAAGACTTAATTTGGATGTTATTCCCCTTATAAAGCGGGTCCGTGCACAAGTGAAGTCGCTACCATATCAACAAGACCAATCAAATACAGTCTTGGTAATATTGGCAGCGCTAGCCAGGAAATTCTGAGCATACCTCACGCGCGCTGTATTCAAACTAAAGCTAATGGGTAGCGCTGCCAATATTGCCAAGACTGGATTTAATTCATCTTGTTGATAAAGACCTCCACTGCCATGGCAACTTGAATAAACGCGTTTGTCACGGGTCTAGCTGCAAAATAGGGGAATACAAATCCACTCTTGAACATAGATGAACTGAGGAGTCGTCATACCCATGTCAAAGAGGTTGAAGACAGGTACTTGTACGACTACAGCACACCAATCAGAACTCTCCCCCTTTCTTTCTGGTCTTTAACTCGCAAGTAACATAGCTGCATCCATGCCTAGCTTATGTCATCAAACTTTTGTTTGGGGAATGTCCACTTCCCCATAAAAGGAGGAAAAGGTTTACAAAAAAAAACCTAATTGAATTTTAACCCACCGGAATGATATCCATATCCTGAACGTCATGCTTTCATGGTTTTAAGCCACAGGCAGCATTCATTGCGGCAACACGTTTAGCCCGACTGCCTCTGGCCGTACACTATCACAAGCTCTTGTAGTACGGCCAGAGTGGCATACTCCCCTTAACACTAAAAAGTGATGTAGCGATTTTGCTACTGTTTTTGACGAGATTTATAACTTCTCATCCAGGCGCTTGGGCAAGGTTATGAAGATGCATTGTACAGTTCATAACCTAGTGCCGCGCGCCCGACAACACGAGATCATGAACAGTATTTGCATATCCATAACCTTGCGTTATGCGCCCGGTTACACCTCTATGTTCCGACACCCCTATGTTCCGACTGCACATATTCCTATTCCTAACCCTAACCGGGAGTAACACAATCTAGGTTGTCGGAACATAGGCGTGTTGGAACATAGAGCAGTCACCATGCGCCCGCATAAATGCATACATAAACGACACGCAAAACCAGTCCGCCATTTTGAAATCCCATGGAGGAAAATTTTTGAGACGATTTTGTGGGAGCTGAAGACTGATCGTCGTTTCTTGGATGAAGATTTTAAGAAAAGGAAAGGGTTTTGGAAAAGGTATGAGTTTCTCTACGAGCAGGTACCCTATCTTTTGAAATCTCTGTCCTGGATTGAGAAGATAATCTCGATCAAAATCGGCCACAAACTCGCTACATCACTTTTCAGTGTTTAGGGGAGTAATGCCACTCTGGCCATACTACAACGGCAAGAGCTTGTGATAGTGTACGGCCAGAGGCAGTCGGGCTACAACATGTTATGTTACATGTAGTCTACATCTGGTTCCTGGTACACATGAGACAGGACCATCAAGTCATGTGCTCATTATGAAACATGATCCATGCCTATCTGCCATGGTCCAAGGAATCATTACTCATATGTTATTCCCTTACCATTCAATACCATCAAGCAACCATTTCCCCATTTGTTCTGAAGTCAAAACACTGGTACTAGCATAAACAGTGTGAGCTGAGATAGGGAAAAGGTTATTTATAGGCCAATAATTTATTACATTATGTACATGTATGTAGATCAAACAGATTTTACTCACTGTTGATGCCCCCTACAAATATCTTTTCGACTGTCATGTTTTCCTTTTACTTTTAAAGAAATCCATTTCCATTTTGGTATGATGTGGTTTTGTCATGCACATTTTACTTTCCTTACATTTTCTCCCTTAACATTTACCCAACATAACAATAAGCAAAATCGAGGTTTCACTAGCACATGCGCCAATTCGCATGCCTTTGCTTTTTTTGGAAAAACAAAACAATTCTTGCAATCCTCGTCCAAAAGACGGCAAAATTTCAGCATGATCACGTGGATTTGTTTATACACAAATCTGGGGGAAAACGTTGCAACCTGACACCACTTGCCCGATTGTGAACAATGTCTACATGTATGGCGGGTCAAGACAATTTTTAAAGTACTTCCTAACAAAATTGGAAATGTTTCTCAGTCCCAGATTCATGTCTTACATTCATTTTGCAATGAATGACCTTCATTGAGATGATATATGAAGGAAAAAGTGGTGTCAGGTTGAAACTTTTTTCCAAATTTTGTCCCACAAAAAAGTGGCAAGCAAGCAGGCTTATGAAAACAACACAAAATATCTATGCTTAAAATTAGAAGAAAAAAAAAGAGCTGGGACAACCCACACAAAAAAACATAATACAAAAAGTTATAATCTAACATCACAAAATTACAAAATTCCCATAAGGACACAAAACAGAAGCAGTATCTGACGATACGACCAGTCACAGATGTGATGAACAATGAATCATTAGGCCGAAGGTCAACCAGTCAACACGGATGGTCAAACACAATTTAAAACATAACTAAAATTCAAACATCTTAAACACCTAAAGGACATGAAAGGGAAAGAAAATTAGTTCAGAAGAATATGTATGACACTGATACCCGCCCTAAATCATGGGCAAAAAGAAACAAAAGGCTCCGACAAATCTGTGGGCCTACTTCAATTTCTCGGAACAGCTGAAATGCCAATACATAACGATTCCTACATAACAATTAACATGGCTCCATACACGACACGTAAAAAATGGCGTCGTCGGAACTTGAAAACACCACTAAAAACCCCTTTTAAACGTCATGATAAAATATAACACACAAATTTGCTACAACACTTACCAGATAAAAGTATTGGCTTATAGAATTTGAAAAATCTAATATTAAAATCCACCAGAATAGACGAAAATTTGCGAAATTTAAGATGATGACTTCGCTCTTCTATGCTTCGTTGTTTCTGCTGAATGACCAGAATGACCATCGGTGTCTAGGTCACGTGACGTACAGTTTAGCAGCTGATTGGGTGGGACTGAAGAAGGATCAGGAAACCTTTAATGACGTCACCGAGTTGACTCCCTATGGTCTGGCCACGAACCGCTATTTTACACGTAGTTGAATAGGGCGGTAAGATGCTGCACAGACTAGTGGTGATAAACACCGGATATCATTTTGTTTACAATTACAAACATAGAGGACAAAGAAAAATAGAAAGATGATGGTTACCTTTAAATTTTCATGTCACAAACGAATCACTTAACTTGAAAAATCCTTTCCTTTTCCAGCAAGAAAAGGTTTCATTACCACAAAGAAAGAAAAAAGGAGTTGTCAAAACTCCTCCTATTTTAATTTTCACAATGTACTTCCGTCACTGAGCACGAAAATTTATACACTCGGAGTTTATTTGTCTCCTGGAAACTGCACTACTTTTATTCATAACGTTTTGTTTCAACAAGAAAAAATGAGATTCTCACGAACTATACGAAATCCGTTTAGTTTTTCCGGTCATTTTAATTAATTTATTTGATCAACAATTTCCCTTTTGAACTTTTCTTTGGGGCATTTGTAGGAAAGTTAGTACCAGAGATGGGAAGGAGCCGAGTGCTTTATATCCCACTTGCCTAAAAAAAAATTCATCTTTTATTTATGAAGGTCAATTTATCCCCCCCCCCCCCCCTCCCCACATACATATATACAGTCGACTCTCGTTACTCTGTTAATACAAAATTCTGGTTATAACAAACATAAGGCCTTGGTCCCGACTGTGCATTTATGTGCACAATGAATGGGACTGATGTTCCTCTTTATACAAAATTCTGATAAAACAAACAATTTGGCTAGGTCCGAACGAACAAGTTTGTATTAACGAGACTCGACTGTACTTTTTTGGCATTGAAACTTTGTGAGTGAAGAGGTTATTCAGAGTATTTCACAAGAGGGCGCTACATAGATTTTAGACGCTATTATTGCATGCATCATAACTATTGTCATAAAAGTTTGGTTTCTAACATTTCTATGCAAAACCCCCTACACAGGGGGTTTGTGTAGAAAATATCAGACGGTTATTTATTACTCCCTATCACGATCAATTACCTTCGGCAGCGACCGCAAGCTGCATTTTAAAGAATAAGTTAAGACAGGATCAAACTATAGGTCTTGCGAAACCCAGGGCCAGGTGAAACTAACAAAGTGGCCGCGGTACTATCGGGTGTCATGATAGGGACTGATATAATGTATTCCGCTCTTTTCAAGTTTCGATTTTTCCCCTTAATTAACTATTTTTTAATTGGTACTTTTAATCGTTACGGGAAAAAATACTCTCTTTTTTTTGGGGGGGGGCCTCTGCAACCCTCTGAAAAAAAATTGTTTTTATGTTGGGTTGAATTGATATTGCGCCTCTAGTCTAACCAGTCTAACGCACAAAATGTTCACAGTCAGCAAAGGTGTACGTCAAGGATGCATCCTGTCTCCATTGAGCCCTCTTTCAACATATTCGGAAACGATGATGCGAATACGCGCTGGAGAACTCCCACTAGATGTGCAACTTCGGCGGCCGCTGTGTATCCAACCTCCGACATGCTCATGAATATCGCAGAAGAAACTATAAGATCTGCTTCTAAAGATCACCGCCGCAAGCCTATGGCGTGTCAAACGTTGCAATATTCAATATTTTGCAATATATATGTTGGATATTCAATATGTGTTTGTTATCTTTTACATTTATGTGCGATATGTTCAATATAAGTGTGCGATGTTTTTCATTATTTGCGCGATGTTTAATATATTTGTGCGATGTTTTACAATATATGTGCGATGTTCAATATATGTGTGCGATGTTTTACATTTATATGCGATTTTCAATTTATATGTGCCATGTTTTCAACGATATATATGTACGATGTTTTCAATATTATGTTCGATTTTTTGCATTAAATGTGCGATGTTTTTCGATACAATTGTGTGTGTTGTTTTACAATATATTTGCGATATTCTCAAATATGTGAGCAATGTTTCACACATATGTTTGACATTTCGAGCTATTTGTATTCGATGTTTCATCGGTATGTTTGCATTCGATCTTTTGCAATATGCATTTGATATTTCCCTTTTCATTCGATGTTTCTTTAAGAGTCAAAGTCTGGTTACTAGACCGCGAAAGTCTGACTATTTTGCCTAAAGTCAGTGTATGAGACGTCAGGGGATCGCGTAAAGTGATTAGAGCCAGACCTAAACGGTAAAAACCGGAATTGTGGGTAATTCTTTAAGCATACGCAATGCGTTCATCATTGTTTGGGCAGTACCCCCAGCTGTGCCTTTACTACCCATAGTGTTATGTGCATCATCTATGCATTGAGGAGTGCATGACACATGGTCTGAGCTCCAAGGCCGATGTGCACCTGTCCCGTTTAATGATCCAGTTACCTGATAATTTGTTAGTATAAGCTGATGTAAAATTGGGCAAACTTAGATGTTTATGAAAAAAAATCAAATTGTAAGGGGTTAACCTTGCATTTTTTAAGCAAAATCGGGAAAAAATCGGATGTTTCTGGAAAATTGCAGATTGTATGGGGTTAGATGTTTATGAAACATTTCAAATTGTAAGGGGTGAACATTGCATATTTTAGAGAAATTGGGCAAAATCAGATGTTTCCGAAAAATTTCAGATGTAAGGGATTAAGTCCAAAAAAAAAAGTCTCCGGTTTCTGGTATGCGCGCGCGTCGCCGTAGCCATTTTTCAATGAACGATGATGTCTCAAAACCGCCAAACTCACTGGTTTGACTGGAATCCTGCTGCTGCAAAATTTTAACGTGTTTTTAGATGGGGTTATGATCGAGAATAAGCTTTATGTGGCCCCTCTGGTCCCCCATAATATTTGCACTAAGTTTAGTCGGGCACCATTTGCAGTCATCAGCCGACATTTGAAGCAAAATAAACAGGTAAAAAAAAATAAAGCCGCGTCGCCGCACCACTTTTTGGGCAAGCTCCATACCAGAAACCGGAGACTTTTTTTTTGGCCTAACCTTGCTTTTTTAGTGAAATTTTGCAAAGTTAGATGTTACGAAAAGTTTCAAATTGAAAGGGGTTAACCTCGCATTTTTTTTAAGCGAAAATGGGAAAAAAATCAAATCTGGAAAATTGCAGATTGTAAGGGGTTAACTTTGCTTGTTGAATAAGATTGGGGAAAATTAGATGTTCATGAAAAAAATTCAAATTGTAAGGGGTTAACCTTGCATTTTTTTTTTTGCAAAATAGGACACAATCAGATGATTCTGGAAAATTGCAGATTGTTAGGGCTTAACCTTGTATTTCTAGCAAAATTGGGCAAAAAGAAATGTTTATGAAAAATTTTGAGTGGTAAGAGGTGTACATTGTATATTTAGTAAAATTTGGCAAAATCAGATTTGTATGAAAAATCTAAAATGGTAAGGGGTTAACCTTGTTTTTTTAGCAAAATTTGGAGCATATTTTACTAAAATTGGGCAGAATCAGATGCTTCTATAAATCCAGATGTAAAGTTTCCGCTAAAAATACAAGGTTCACCCCTTACAATTTGAGATTTTTCATATAAATCTGATATTGCCCAGTTATGCTAAAAATGCCAAGTTAACCCCTTACAATCTTCAATTTTCAAGAAACATCTGATTTTTCTCAATTTCGCTTAAAAAAGCTAGGTAAACCCCTTTCAATCTGCAATTTTCAAGAAACATCTGATTTTGCCCTAATTTGGCAAGTTTAACCCCTTACAATTTTTGATTTTTCATACGAATCTGATTTTGCCCAATTTTGCTAAAACTGCAAAGATAACCCCTTACAATCTGAAATTTTCCATAAACACCTGATTTTGCCCTATTTTGCAAAAAAATGCAAGGTTAACCACTAACAATTTGAAATTTTTCATAAGCATTTAAATTTTCCCAATTTTACTAAAAAAGCAAGGTTAACCCTTTACAATCTGAAATTTTCCAAAAAGATCTGATTTTGCCCAATTTCGCTAAAAAATGCAAGGTTCACCCCTTACAATTTGAAATGTTTCATAAACATCTAAATTTTACTAAAAATGCAAGGCTAACCCCTTACAAGCTGCAATTTTCCAGAAACATCTGATTTTTCCCAATTTTGCTAAAATGTAGGGTTAACCCCTTGCAAACTGTTAAATCAATACATGAAGTGTCCCATTTGACATTTTTAAAACAAATTATTTTTCCAGTTTTTAGGGTAAAGGAATTTTCTCTTTTTCCTTTCTCTTTTGTTGTTGCTATATTTTGCGAATTAACTCATTCGTATGGAATGCTCATAGTCAATCAAAGAATATTTCACACATAGGGGCCTAAATTATATTTTTTTTAAATTTAATAGAGACGCATTGATCGTGCTATCATATACTATTCTATTACTATTGCGAATTACTGTATTGTTTGGAATGCTCACAATTAAAGACACGTTATTTGAAAGATGTATAAATAATATTTATATTACGATGTACATCTTTATTCTTTCCCGGTATAATTTATGGCGTTTCTTATGTCAATTGGCAATCGCGTCATTATATAATGATAGTCAAATTGATCAAACGAAACTCCGTTTTGATTATAGTCAATTACGAAATATTCATTGATTTATGACATACACCTTTGTTTCAATTTTGATACTACCCGTAGACCTGCCGAGCAGCTGTAGATATCAAACTAAACCAAAGTATAAAAGATAGAGGGTAAAAAAAATCAAAAAGTTATGTGCTAGTCAAGCTTTCAGGGATCGGTCTGAGCCATAACAATACCCCAGCCGATCCCTTAGTTCTCTTCCGGGGTCTCGGCGTCCCCGACCAATACACACTTCCTTTCCTATCCATCCATATAACCCCGGAGGGCCAGGCACCATGTAAAAGCAAGAGCTAAGGGAGGAACAGGGCGGCCCCTAAGCCCTGATCCTCCGAGTGGACCACATGCCCTGAACCTGTACGAAGGCGCCAACCTGGAACTCGCGGACAGTACCAGCAGCAGTGCTTACCGATTAAGCTAAGGTACTGTTGGTACTTTACGACGGGAAATTAAATCTCTTATAGTGAATAATTGAACTCATTCGTTAAAAACCAAAAAGACACCAGCGGGATTCGAACCCGGAACCCCGCTAACCGTGGACGACGAATCGTAACCACTCGGCCATTTCGTTACCTTAGAATTTTCCTTAAACTGAGAAAAGTTGTCTTTATAGGTGAGCAAACGCGCCAGCTAGATTACTGGGTCCATTTGCTTTACCTTAATGGGTAAAAACAAGTCGATTTAATGAGCCCAGTGTGTTTGGTTTGTTAGGAAGCTGCATAACACAGTCGTGTGCTAGGCGGATCATTACGCAACAATGAACACCGCAATTGTGTATTTTCAAAAGGCAGACCCGTAGATTTCTACTCTTTGTATCTGGGCACATATAGATTCTCACCTCCCTCTTCAGCTATTTCGACTTTCTTAAAAAGAAAAATAGAGACTGTCAGCGAATCTCCGGGATTTGAAATCAGGATCGTCCCCTCGATAGACCTCAGACTCAGTAAAGTTCAACATTGGTCTCTTTTTCAACAGCTGTTTTTGTGGAAACTTTACATCTGGATTTTTTAGAAGCATCTGATTTTTCCCCAAAAATATGCTCCAAATTTTGCCAAAAAAAAAGGTTAACCCCTTACCATTTTAGATTTTTTATACAAATCTGATTTTGCCAAATTTTACTAAATATACAAGGTACACCTCTTACAATTTAAAATTTTTCAACATTTCTTTTTGCCCAATTTTGCTAGAAATACAGGGTTAAGCCCTAACAATCTGCAATTTTCCAGAATCATCTGATTGTGCCCAATTTCGCTAAAATATGCAATGTTCACCCCTTACAATTTGAAATGTTTCATAAACATCTAACCCCATACAATCTGCATTTTTCCAGAAACATCTGATTTTCCCGATTTTGCTAAAAAAAAAATGCAATTTGATTTTTTTCAAAAACATCTAATTTTGCCCAATTTTACATCTGGAATTTTTCAAACAAATTATCAGGTAACTGGATCATAAAACGGGAGAGGTGCACATCGGCCTTGGAGCTCAGACCATGTGTCATGCACTCCTCAATGCATAGATGATGCACATAACACTATAGTACAGGCACAGCTGGGGGTACTGCCCAAACAATGATGAACGCATTGCGTATGCTTAAAGAATTACCCACAAGTCCGGTTTTTACCGTTTAGGTCTGGCTCTAATCACTTTACGCGATCCCCTGACGTCTCACACACTGACTTTAGGCAAAATAGTCAGACTTTCGCGGTCTAGTAACCAGACTTTGACTCTTAACGAAACATCGAATGAAAAGGGAAACATCAAGCATATTGCAAAAGATCGAATGCAAACATACCGTACCGATGAAACATCGAATACAAATAGCTCGAAATGTCAAACATAATGTGTAAAACATTGCTCACATATTTGAGAATATCGCAAATATTATATTGTAAAACAACACACACAATTGTATCGAAAAACATCGCACATTCAATGCAAAAAATCGAACATAATATTGAAAACATCGCACATTATATATCGTTGAAAACATCGCACACATATATTGAACATCGCACATATATTGTAAAACATTGCACAAATATATTAAACATCGCGCAAATAATAAAAAAACATCGCACACTTATATTGATTATCGCACATAAATGGAAAGATAACAAACACATATTGAACATCTAACATATATATTATACAAATAACGAATGTTTGTGAGTGCGATGGTAAGAATAATTTCATGAGGTGACAGATTGAAGTTCTATTCCACGAGGCGAAGCCGAGTGGAATAGAACATTCAATCTGTCACCGAATGAAATTATTCTTTCCATCGCACGAACGTAAAACATTCGTTATTTGTTTTATACAACACCTGAATACATTCTCGTCATTTGATTGGTAAATTATAAACTACAATTTATTTTGATTTTAAAGATGTTGAACTACCCCTTCACGAAAATGTTTGAACCCAACGCTGTAGCGCTGGCTCTTTGGAACAATACGCGCTACGCTGAACGCGCACACCAGCATGCATTTTGCACGCAAATACCGCGTCTTGGAACAAGCGCAAAGTGAAACGGTATAACGCATGGGTATAACGCATGGTTGCACCGTGCATTATACCGAATAATAATATGTCACGTGATCTACAATTCACCAATCAGATGACGGGGATTTATTCAGGTGTTGTATAATGCAAAATATTGAATATTGCAACGTTTGACACGCCATACAAGCCAACAACAATACGTCTTGACATACACAATGATTTTGACCTGCTCAAAAAATGAAATCAATATTGACATCCAACTACATGTACATGAATATGGCGAAACTGTTGAACAAGTACAGGACTTTATTTAATTACATACGGGCCTCATTCAACAGCTCACTGCATGGATGGATGGAAGGGGATAAAAAAAAAAGACTGGCAATGAGTGCAAGAACAAAGTTAACAGACATCCAGACATCTTCGAAAATGAAATCTCTAGAGATTTCAATCAAAACCAAATCCAGACTCCTGTACACTCTTTTGTACACTCTTTTGTATTCCCACTTACATTATATGGATGCGAGGCCCAAATGGACAATGAAACAGATACTCAAATAAATTCCTTTGAGTTGTGCTACCGCCGTATTTTGCAAGTGACATGGACAGACAGAAGGACAAGAGAATCAATATTAGCTGAGATTCTGCCCAAAGAACGTCTCATAGTTTCTGTCCGCCGGCGGGGAAGTGCTGGGGAGTTATAGGAGCAACAATCCTAGAAGGCAAAGAGGAGGGGAAAAGATCAAGAGGCCGACCCAAAGCAACATGGTGGAGAGACAACAGGACTGGACTAGCATCCACACAGCTATTCGACGTGCCAAAGATCGCCAATCCTGGATGATGTATACTGCCAAGTTGGCTGCCAGCCACCCTCTGTCAGAGGACAGCAACGGATAGGATTGTCTAACGCACAACTTAGATTCGCTGAAATGTTACATTAGATTTAGAATTACATTTATTCTAAAGATTATTCCATACTACTAACGGGCAAGTTTTTTTGTCCGATGTCCAGCCGGATCCCAGTCCAAACCCCCCCCCCCCCCTTTGACAGTGCTAGAAAAAAATATTAAAAAGATGAATATAATTATATATATTTTCTGGATGAAAATCGAAAGCAAGACGACGAACAAACTAAACGATTTTTTGTCGTCGTGGTGTTTGTAGAATCATAACTATTGCAAATAACACTCGTATTTCATGTTGGCAGGTTTATAGATGGTAGCGCTCAGGCTGTCTGACTTTCAGTCACGCGCCATTTTATCTAATTTGTAGCAACTTGAAATTACATGTATATGTATTATTTTTTAATAATCGTCAATTCATCACCTTATTATTTTAGAGGGATGATAATCCAACACGATTACGATTATTTTCCATCAGTGACATCAATTTAAAAGATCAAACTAGTACTTCACGCGAAATTATTCGAGATTATCAAAAAACGGGATTTTTTTTCAGGGATCAATATGTCAGGCCTTCCTGTGTATTGTTAAATCAGAACGTGAACATTTGGCACTTTTCACCTCATACATGTATGCTTGATGGAGTCAAGATCAGCAAAAGGCGATGAGCCCCCCCCCCCCCCCCCCCTCCGGCCTTCGCCCCCTCTCGTGACTCTTGGATTTCTATCAGGGCGTCCCTTTTTATAAATATTTCTATGGTTCTCAAAAATTGCACATCATGTCTGAATTAAATGATGCCAAGTGCCATGAGTTTATCATGAGTTGATATCACTGATTTTTTTTGGGGGGGGGGGGCAAGAAGTAAGCAGCTTATTAACATGCATGTAAATGTTTTGGTTTTATAGTGGCTGCCAAGCCTGCCAGGAACCTATAATGATGATAGAGGCGCAAAAATATTCGCGTAAAACTCTGGTTTTCATTTTCTGCGTCTACTCCTGCTTCGGTACTAGCGTAAACACACCCTGGAGAGATGTTATAAACACGCAGGCGACAATGCTGGCAACACGAACATCTAGTTGATGAGAAGCTAGGACTTGAGCAGTGTTTCCAAAGTTAACAAATGTGATTTGAAAGTATCAGCAGTAGTAGATTTTCAATATAGATTTCCAAATAATAGGACACAGAGGCTGATTGCCTGAAATTTGTATTCATTATTATTTTTTAATTTATTCCTGTTTTCATTTTTTTTTTTTCTTGGGTCGGGACTCGATTGGAAGCCCAAAATAGGGCAGTCGGATTGGTTTTTATTCCTCCATGGTCGGAAATAATAACCAAAGAAATAGTTTCAAAAAGACAGTACTATATTAAACACTAAAAGATCTGGCGATCATTAGGCAAACTTCTTGTAGAAATCGTGTTGTTTCGATTTCTGCAACTCGTTCTTTAATTACTCATGTTCTCCATCTACTATTATAATTGTTTACTTAGCTGCTTGTTGTTTGCTTTGTAAGATGAAGGTCAAGGACGAATAGACTGGTCCTTTTGACGTCTTTCCTAACTACCCTTATGAGACCATAGAGAAGTCTGGTCACCCGTCAAATACACACACATGTATTTTTCGTGCCAGTGTGATTGCGGCACAAATGAATGAGATTGACGATTTATTTTTGGCGCAGATTATTTGCTCGTTTCTTGCATTTTTTTCGTCTGATAGGATATTACAAGGTGAGTATTCGGTTAAGGGGAAGAGAATGCACTTGTCATTCGAATTTAGAGGGTTGAACATGCAGTCATTGCGAAGAGCTGAGGGGGTTGCTTGCGCAGTCCAGTGTCTGGGCTGCGCGCTGTTTTGTGTGGATCATCTGGACAGTTGACGCGTATTATTGTGCAAAAAGGAAAACCGATCTTGGTAAATTACATCATAAAGTTGTTAATCAAGAAGTGTAGCTTTTCGCTGTTTGAACTCTAAATGAACCGACCTGAACTTGTTTTTTTTACGAGATTATTTTTTCTAGTGCACTGCATGCAGGAAAACAAGAGTGAACGAAGTTAAAAATTGAATACCCTGACCTGAGCCGAGGCCCCACAATAATAAAATGGTAGGCCTAGGCCTAATATTAATTTACTCTTAATTTATGATGGGGGATACTAAAGTAAGATCTTTCTGAACGTGCTGGCCAGGTTTTTTTATAATTGTGAATAGTTCAACATTTTTCTATTTTGACAATGACACACCTAGTGGATATTTTGCTGTGATCGACCGGCAATATACCTCGTAACGATTTTTTGCCGTAAGTGCCATGAGATCGTGAATCCCTGGTTCGAATCCCCCAATGCCCATTTTTCATCTACTATTTTCCGTGAGTGCCGTGAGATCACCTACTATTTTCCGTGAGTGCCGTGAGATCGAAAGATCCCTAGTTCGAATCCCACAATGCCCATTTTTCATCTACTATTTCCTTCTTCGAATTTTTAGTTGGGGTAGTTTTCATTTGAGAGAAAAGAAGAGTCCGAGAACCTGAAGTGTCTTGTAGTGATTCCACCGAAACTACTGATGTGGGTTCTCAGAGCACACTCACGGCAAATTAGCGTTAGGAAGTATAATGCTGGTGCCGGCAAAATATCAACTGCCTTTATATTTTAACCCGTTTTGTTGACGATAAGCACCTGAAACTTTTGTCGTCTTGCTTAGTGTGTCAGAACTCAGAAGAGTACGTGTTGCTGGGTAAAAGTACCGTGGAATGAAATGGGTAGAATATAATAACTTGGAAGTGCAAGAAGCAAGTGCAGATTCTTTTAGCAGCTGTTCAAGTGCAAGATGGCTTTGATAATCATAAGGGTATTTATTTTCAGTGGTGCACCCAAGGGGGGGGGGCCCTCGGGGGGCTTGAGCCCCCCCCCCCCCAAAAAAAGGTTGTCCTTTTTTTTTTTTTTTTTTTTTTTTTTTTTTAGTCCTACGATTTGACCTTGGTGATATGAATGTGGCCTATTTTCGAGTAGTATAATAGGGGTGTACATGTAAGTGGTGCCACCAATGTCAAAATAGTCCTCCCCCCCCAAAAAAAAAACCCCAATTTTTTTCTGCGGCCAAAACTTTTGGGCAAATTTTTTTGAAAAAAAATTTAACTTCTAAAAAAGTTGAAAAAAAAAAATTGTGAGCCCCCCCCAAAAGCCAAATCCTGGGTGCGCCACTGTTTATTTCAAATGCTTGTTGTTCTTACTTGGTCATATATTACTTAATAATACTCAAATAATCAATGACGTTTTCCCTTGCCCTATGTAGTAACTGAGTAAAGATGTCGTGGAGACTACAGCTAGATGGGGGCTTAGCCGCGGACTTTGATTCCAACCTGAGCGGTTTGGGCACTGAGCTTGGCACGGCCGCTTATAATATGAGGTAAAGTACATGTATATGTTATGTCCCAACTACAGCAATAGCCCCAACTAAAGTTGGAACCGTCCAAAGTATAGTTGGGATGGTCCAAACTACAGTTGGGACGATGCTATAGTTGGGTGTAACGTATATGTCTAAACTAGATTTATAATTTGTGAAATTTACTTTTTTTCCCCCAAAGTCATGTCATTAGTTAATTAATTCTAGATGAGTTTGATTGCTTTTTGGTCACCTCTTCATTTTAACGATCCTGCCTGATTTGTCTTTGTTTCAGTGAGGTACTGGCCCTGCCAATTTTCAAGCAAGAGAATGTTGAAGACGCGTAAGTATATTTGCAGCATAACTCTGTATGTGGCTTGTCTTGAATTTGCAAAAAAATTGTTCATGAAGTAAGAAGCCAACTTTGTTGACTGTGAATCATCAAAAATTAAACTCTTGATATTGTTCCATTTACACTTTGAAGGTGTGTGGTAGAATGTAGAACCCACATTTTTGGTGAACAATTTGTCAAAACCTAGGGTACAGTTACTTGTGTTTTGGTTTCTCCTTTCTCCTGTTTGTTTCATCTCAAAACATCACTACTATATTTCTTTTATTAACCCTAACTCCCTAGGCCTTTTTGCTAGGATGTAGCCTCAATCCTGCAAAATCCTCCAATTGGCCTCATGGAAAAATAGCATATAGCCTCAATCCTGCAAATTCCTCCGTTATTTCTTGAATATGGTCCATGGAGGGATGACCACTGCCTGAATCCTGCAAAATCCTCCGGCTATGTCTGTCAATAGGCTGAGGCAGAGGCAGTGACATCCTGGAGCAGTGCGGAGGATGTCAAGTATAATCAAGGACTAAATTTATGCACGGCTGAGCATAAACAACACAAGGTCCGGCCCAAGACCTTGACACAGTGCGTACTCCGAAATCAGCAACGCACTTTTGCCATGTAACCTCAATCCTGCAAATTCCTCCAATTTGCAAAAAAGGATTTTGGAGGATTCAGTGCGGTTAGGGTTAACCCTAACCTTCCCAAATCCTTCAAAATCCTCTTTGCAAAATGGAGGATTTGGCAGGATTAAGGCTATATGGCAAAAACGTGTGACTGATTTTGGAGGATGCACTGTGTCAAGGTCTTAGGCTGGTCCATGAGTCGTTTTTGCTCAGCCGTGCATAAATTTAGGTCTAGAATATACTTGAAATCCTTCGCACTGCTCCAGGATGTCACTGGCCCTGCCTCAATATCTTGACAGTCATTGCTGTCGATTTTGAAGGATCGAGGCAGTGGTCATGCCTCCAAGGAATCATTCAAGAAATAATGGATGATTTTTGGAGGATTGGGGCTGTCTGCAATTTTTACATGGAGGCAGTTTGAGGATTTTGCAGGATTGAGGTTACATCCTAGCAGGGTTAACAGTGTGTGTTTGTGCTGGGAAACAACCAAACTGGAATAGGTTATTTGAGAGCAGTGTAAACAACAGGTGTTAGTTCAGTATCGGTTTGTACAACAATTATAATTTCTTATTATTTATATTTTTAATTGCTTTTAGATTTCAGTACATATTAAATGCAGCCACCTCACCGGCCACTAAGGTGAACGAAGAAACACTGACATACCTCAACCAAGGCAAGTCGTACGAGATGAGACTGAAGAAACTAGGAGATGTCTCGCAGTTTGAAGGCAAATTACTCAAGGTAAGGAATAGGTCAAAATTTCCCAACGATCCTCACAAGTATAGAGACAAGGGATGCCAGTTTTCAGGCTATGGCCTAAATTCAGGCTTTTTCATGTATTTTGGAAAAACAAAGTCAGGCATTCCATCCCTTCACAGGCCAGAAAAAAATTAATCCTCGTGTAGCACGCAAAGAGAGAAAAAAATTGTGCATGCAGTGCTCTATGGTAAATTGTGCATGCAGTGCTCGATGGTAATTGACCTATCGCGGTAGAATCGCGTTAGAATCGTGTCAACGCAGCTGCGAAATATTGTCCAACTACATGATATACAAATGGACGCGGGAAGCGCAAAATCTGAGACAAACAAAACTTAGAGTACAAAAACTCCATAGGCTTGTCTAAATGGGGTCATTTTGTGCATGCTTGCCGCCATCTACATCAATTTTTTCAGGCCCTGGAGCAAAAACCCACTGGCATCCCTGATAGACCCTTTGCATAGAGTGCTCTCAAAGAGGACAAGTTTTTGATGTGCATGAGTAGTTACCTTGTACTTTCCCCTTCTCTGAATTTAAATAGCACAACGTTTCCTCAGATTTCTCCAAATGTTTATAATCTTTGCAGAGTGTAGTTCGAGTTCTCTTCAACGACAAACGACTCCAGTATGCCGAGTCTGAACAGCTGGCCTCGTGGCGGACCAATCGTCCCGGTGAACGCCTGATCAAGTTAGACGTACCACTCTCACACAATCTCATTGAGTTCAACGCCAGCTCCAGCGCCCTGAATGCCGTGGAATTCCTCTGGGACCCTACTCAAATTGCTAGCTGCTTTGTTCAGGTACCTCAAGATAGTTTTTAAAGCAATGTTCCATTTTTCTTTATCAACCGTCCTTTTGTTCAATCAGTCACAGAATGTCACAATTCTGTTCCCCTGCCATGCCTTTTACACAGGCTGATCACTAACAGTCAGATCTTATTTCTTATAGGCACTGTGTCTGTCAAATTTTATCAACAGACAAAAGCAGGTGACTGGTAGGCACAGCTGGCTTATCAATCTCCTACAGTCAAGGCATATAGCTATATACAATGTATATCAGGTTTCGTATAAACAATCACAGCCAGTCAATCCTGCTTTGTGATGGCAGGGAGCACTCAACAGTCATTTGATTTATTTTGACTGCTGAGCCGGCCTTGTTGAAATTGCCAGCCAGAGAGGGAGGGTTAAAGATATAGTCCATCATTTGTAATTTGTGCATTTTGTTCGTTTGAAGCAACAAAAGTGTTCAAAATCTAATGAAGGATACTGATCAACTAACCTGATGAAGTTTCAGCTCGGCTTCAGCTATATATTCCGAGAAAAACAGCATTCTAGGATCTCAATTTCAAATCAAAAGTTACTGAATCATGTTTTGAATTGTTTTGAATTGCAGCTATGCGCGATGTCGCGCACTGATCCGACGAATTATAGCAACCGCGCGCGCCTGTGCGTCGTGCCAATGCTTGCGCGCGCTGCGCCGAATAACAAAACGAACTACTAATTTAAATTTTCCTGCGGTGTGTCTTAAGTATATAGCCATTTTAGAACTTTCTTTTGACTTTTTTTCCGCTATTTTAACAATATCCCACTTTTGTACTCTGTTAATGGTCTTTTGATGCCATTGAAATATTGATGGGCAATCTGTAAATAAGCTGCAAATTATAAAAATACTGTGACTTTTTTGGTGTTTTTTTCCCCAGGTTAATTGTATCAGCACAGAGTTCACACCCAAGAAGCACGGAGGGGAGAAAGGTGTTGTCTTTCGTCTTCATGTGGATACGCACATCCATGGCAAGGAACAGGAGAAACCCTTTCACTCAGCTAGCTGTCAAGTCAAAGTCTTCAAGGTACCAGACTTACTCAGTTCTATCTAAGGCCGTGTTCAAAGCAGGTGTCCAGACCTACAGCTTAGACTTCTAATTGTAAAAGAACTAGACAAAAGTGCAAGACGAGATGCACACAAGGCCTAAAGAAAAGACATCTGCAAAAAAAATTAGAAAAAAACCAAAACGGCTGTACATGACATGGGTACCACCAGATGCCAATACTATGACAAAACTCTTTTGACACTACCCCAACAAAGAATAGATCATCTCAAGTATCCTAGAATTTCCCAAAACAATCCAAAGATATCACAAACATTGACCGCTACTGATATTGGCCACTGATTTCTATGACATCAAACATGCTCAACTGAGATTTAGATTGATGCTTTTTTGTTGCTCTCTTTTTGCATAAACAGCCGAAGGGAGCAGACAGAAAACACAAGACGGACCGAGACAAAATGGACAAAATATCCGACTCAGAAAAAGAGAAATACCATCCGTCCTATGAGTGCACAGTCCTGACCGAGGTAAGAATAATTTGTGTAAAGTCTGAGTGTGGTAAATATGATGAGTGTACAGTCCTGACTGAGGTAAATATAATGAGTGCACAGTCCTGACTGATGTAAGTATAATTTGTGTAAAATTCTGAGTGAGGTAAATATGATGAGTGTACAGTCCACACTGAGGTAAATATGATAAGTGCACAGTCCTGACTGAGGTAAATATTATGTGTGTACAGTCCTAACTGAGGTAAATACAATTAGTGTACAGTCCTGACTGAGGTATACAATGAGTGCACAGTCCTGACTGAGGTAAATACAATGAGTGCACAGTCCTGACTGAGGTAAATATAATGAGTGTACAGCCCTGACTGAGGTAAATATAATGAGTGTATTGTCCTGACTGAGGTAAATATAATGAGTGTACAGCCCTGACTGAGGTACATTGTGTTTGTTTGTAAATATAATGAGTGTATTGTCCTGACTGAGGTAAATATAATGAGTGCACAGTCCTGACTGAGGTAAATATGATGGGTTTACAGTCCCAACTGAGGTAAATATAATGAGCTTAAAGTTTGAGGTAAATTTGAGTGAACATTTCTGAGGTTAATGAACATCTCAAAATCTTGCTTTCACTTTGTGACGTGGATTTCTGTATTTTTTTCTCATTTTGAAGCAAGAAATACATTTGTCTGGATCAGAAAGCAACGGGAAAGTGCCGCCGGTAAGATTATACATCATTTTAACTTGAAATCTTTTGAAGTATCTCTGGCACGTGTGGCAGTTTGAATTACATGTACGCAAATACCAAGACTAGCATGCTGCGCTGGCATGTCTATGTGTTTACTGTTAACTGGAAAGTGGGCCTTTGTATGTGATATGCAAATTAGTTTTGATCGGTTCTGACACTAGACTCCTTTCCAGTCCTACATTAGGATACACACTCTGTACATGGTGGGTCAAACAAAGGGGAACCCAAACCCCTAAAAATATATTTCATATTTAAAACAATATCTAGCGCCAAAACTAATGACTGGAGAGCCAATTACATAAGCTACTTGTAGATGAAAAAATTGCTGAAATTGCTCAAACCGTTCAAAGAATATCACCATTTAAGCGCAATGACCCTAAAACCTGTTTCGTCTAAAAAAAAACCAGTTTATTGTGTATTCTGACTGTTTGGAACAACAAAGAAAATGACACAGAATACTTGTTGCAATAACTGTCAACAAGTGTAGTACACAACATCTTTATAAACAACCCTGGTTAGGCAAACAATATGATTTATAAAATCCACATTTTTTTAAAAGACAGGCCTTCAAAAGGACTTTGTTGAATATATTTAACTTTCAAACTGAGGTTTTATCACTGGTGATGATTGAAGACAATTGTGACGACGATTCTTGAAATTACATTTTTGGACGAAAGAGGTTTTAGGGTCATTGTGTTTAAACGGTGATATTCTTTGAACGGATTGAGCAATGTCAGATATTTTTTCATCTAAAAGTAGCTTATGAAATTGGCTTTCCAGTCATTATTATGTTTGGTGCTACATATTTTTTTTAAATATGAAATATAATTGTTGGGGTTTGGGTTCCGCTTTTTTGGACTCACTCTGTAGTTGATGTACACACTGCATGACCAAATTGGAAGCTTTAGTGCTAAAGCAGTGGTTAAACCAACAGCATGCAATGATTGTTTCACATTTGCATTCATTACATTTGAAACAGCCAAAAAAGGCCCCATAAAAAAAATTCCTAAGTTCGTCATCCTTGCCTCAAGCAGCTTTGACAGTTGAGCGAATTGCAATTTCATTCAGAAAACATTTCCACTGTGCTATGTAGCCTAAGTTAGCTGCTGTGGCAGGCAATTTTCTCTCAGGAAATCAATTTTTTTTTTGGGGGGGGGGGGCAGTTTACAAAATACCATAACAAAGTAAAAGACTCCACCAAATTTTATAGCTTATGGGACAATAAACAATTGTTTTTTGTTATGGAGCCTTATATTGTCACTGCTAGAAAACTTACCATAATGAAACCTTTAAAAGATATTTTATTCTGAGATTGCTATTTTCTTGTGGATCATTTTATGTTGTTTTTCATTTTTTTCAGAGTCCGTCAGAGTTAGACTGGTCGCTGGGGCAGAGCCCCTTAATGCACAAGCATGTTTCCCCCTTCCGAGTGAGCTATAACCACATCATTTTTAAAAGGCCAATGATTTTCTGTATTACATCACAGTAATTTAAAAAAAAATTCATTATCCAACTGTGATCATAAGGGCGACGTAGAAATACTTGATGTCACATTCCATCATGTGAGAACTGTTGTAGTGGATATAAACTAGAAAAATGGTTGAACTAACTGTTTTGGTGAAACTCTTAGTGACACAGCTTTCAGATTAACAAATTCACAAGCTGTACAATGCCACTTGTACATCATGCTTGGAAGTAATGTATTCCAAAGAGGATGCATTCAATTTCTTACTTTTCATATTTTGTACATACATGAGCACAAAAGAGTTTATTTCTTGCACTTTAATCGATTTCATAGAGGAAAAAACAACAAAATAAAAACAACCGATTGCTTGTACCTTCGAGTGGAAAATTATTGGCCAGCAATTTTTATACTAACAAAACTGAGACCAGTACTCATTCCTGCAATATTAAACTATGTTTTTCCTAGCCAAAAAACAAACAAACTTAGTATTAATGTCAACAGTTTTGGCCGATTATATGAGTATAGCACACTTTATGTCATTAGTACAGATAATTTTTGTGTCATTAGTGTCATTTGTATAGATATTTCAGAGTTACTAGTGGTTAGCAGTACTGTGAACAAATGAAAGGTGTCTGCAGGGAAGGTGTCAGGGCATGGGGATAGGGTAAGGGGGGGGGGCTGTATTTGTTTGTTGTATTCCCATTGGTCTCTTTATTCATTTCACGACACATGTAAATCGGTGGTTGAAACATTTGGTAGTGTTCGTTACTTCTCATCGTGAGGCTTAATTTTAATGAATGAAAAGTATGGTTTGTTGTGTGATGTCAACATTTCCATGGTGAAAGGGGTTTTTAATCAAGTTTTTTTTTTGGCAGTTTGTGATAGTTATATAACTATCACAAACTGCTTCAAACTGTCCTACCCGTTACTCACTTTACTGCCCCAAAAATTGGCCCAGCAACCGATTTCACGAAACCTTACGCAATGGTGCTACTCTGCTTGCACCACAATTTATTGCGTAAGCTGCGCAACATTTCACGCTGTGCAACATTTCATTCATGACAATTTCACGCAATTCTCATAGTGCGTAAGTCCACAACTTGTGCAATAAATTATAGCGTAACTTGCGCAATCATTTTAGGTAGCGTAAGTTGTAGAGTAGCAACTGAAAATGACCTATTTTACCAGCAAATCTGTCCACATGGTGTTACCCGCAATTGTGTGTATTTTAAAATCTTGAGCGTCGTGCAGCCACTTATTGCAAAACTTATTAAGGTTGATACAAGACACTCACAGCTCTTTGTTTGAAGTAAGTGAATTTGTATTTTACTAGTGACAAAAGTTTTTGAGTTCCCGCATGATTCCGAAGAAAATCAGACAACATAATTTTCAAAATGGCGGGCTGAGGTGATTCAACGACTGTTTTGTGAGCGAACAAATTCGTACACAAATAGCCGTCGTAAATGCTGTTATTATCCTTGTCTAAGATGTTTAAATTCTTTTAAACGTTGTGCAGCTACACCAAGTTTCGTGAAATCGATCGTAAATTTATTGTGCAGCTGCGCAACTAATTTGTTGCGTAAGTCTTTCGCATGGGGCAAGCTTCGCACTTTTTTGTGAAATTGGGCCCAATACATTAATAAGGATCAGCCAGTTAATCTTGGACTATGTGTATTTGTGGTTGACTCTCACAGTTACCTACCGAGAACATCCCTGTGCCCTTACAGCTGAGAGAGCAGTCACCCATCTTCCATCCAGATGACTCCTTTGGATCATTTGAAGAGTAAGTTGGGATTAAACTATCCCACTCACACATTGAAGCATTTATACAGGGTGAGTCAAAAAGAAGTGTCATAGCCGAGCGGTTAAGAGCACCGTACTCAAGCTCTGGTGTTCCTGGCCAGCAGAGTGTGGGTTCGAGTCCCGGTCTTGACACTCGTGTCCTTAAGCAAGACACTTAACCATTATTGCTTCGTCCTTTGGATGGGACGTAAAGCCGTAGGCCCCATGTGTTGTACAAAGCAGGTAAAAGAATCCAGCAACACTTGTTGCTTAGAGAAGGGGTTCGCCCTGATGTTTCTGGCAGTGCGTTTATCCTCATAAACATGAGGCTGCACTTTCGAGGAAGGAAGAAAGAAGGAAGAAAGTGACCAGGATTAACGATCTCCCCCTTTTAAAAGCAATTAAATTTGACACACCAGTGAAGCATAATTTAATGAGCATGTTCTTCCACTCAGTTAAAAAAAAGGAATAACTGAAATTGGTCCATGCTTTTGGAAGTTAGCAAATTTACTAAAAGAATCACATTTTACAGCTGTCCATGGAATACCATTTTGAAGCTATTCAGCTGAGAATGAACCAGAGATTACGCACAGGCATTCACATACAAATGAAATTTTTAATAATTCAAGGCAAGACTGAAACTTAAATTTCACTGTCAGATTTTGTATTTTGTGTATATGAGGAACATAATCAAGTCTTTTCTAGTGAGATGATGATGGTGATATTTGTAAGTTTTCATTCATTCATAAGAGGAAGCAAACCTCCATGGGCTATTAAAAAGATTTTTTCATCAACATGAGCAATGCATAGCATTGTAAATGATCACTGGTGGACAGCTGAATTTTGTGATATTTGTATTCAAATAAAAAAAACCTTGTGAATAGAGTATGCAAATTATACGTGAAATGTTCACAGTTACAAGTCAATAACATGTCTTTTATTCAAATGGAGCGAGCTACATTTAAAAAAAAAAAAAATTCCATCTCGATCACTCTTTTTGACTCGCCCTGTAGTTGGCAAATTTGAGAGTTTGCCAGAAATCAAGTATGGTTTCATAAAGCCAACCAAAAAAATTGTGTTGCCCACACGTGAAAAAATATCAGGAGGGTTGGTCGGGTATATATTTTATTAACCCTTACTCTCTGAGGGTAGTTTACTGCATGTCAGTTGGTTATGCCAATGCCCTCCAGCTGCAGTTAATTGGAGGATAAACTATCTTGACTGTGAAGGCTCCAATTGGCAGGAGTTGGAGGCCCTGGAGGGTGCCTGATACTGACCAGCTGGGGGCACTCACTTTGTTATCAGAGGACTCTCATTGTTCTCTGTGGCATGTATTGGAGTGCCTGTCCAGTTACCCTTGAAATGACATGGCAGATATTGGAGGGCCATGCAAAAAACATAGGAGATTTTCTTGAGGCACATATTGGCATGCGTTGGAGGGTCTAGTAGGGTAAGGGTTAATTGAGGACAAATTTAATAATTGATCACCCCCCCCCCCCCCCCCCCCCGCCAAAAGCTACTTTTAAACCTCTGAGTGAATGGTTCAAATTTTCTGTCCTGTAGTTCAGCTAACAACCAGTCGTCAAGCAGTGAGACGGTGGAGCACTTGGGCGCAGGCAACTTCGTGGTAAGTCTGAGGTTTCTCTTCAGAAAGTGGACGTGGGAACTGCAGTCTCTGTTCACTGATTACACCATCCCTTTGAAAAAGTCAAATGTTCAATTTGTGGGGTTGCAATTAACAAAGAACCCACTTCCTAGATCGGTCCTTGCAGCGGTGAAAAGTTGCAATCAATCTGTTTTTTTTTTTTGTTTTTAGTTTAAAAGTTTAAAAAGCAGATTAGTTTTATTATCATTTTGTTTTTTGGTTGCCATTTTTTGGTTACATTTTTCACTAAGGTTGAAAAAGTATGATGTACGCTTTTGATGAACACAAACAAAATTGTTATCATTTTGTTATTCAATTGCCATTTTTTGGTAACGTATTTCACTAAGGTTGAAAAAGTATGATGTACGCTTTTTGATGAAAAATAAATAAAAATTACAGCGAACATATGTCTGCCACATTTAAAAACGAGAGTATTTCCGTATCTTTGGTAACATTTGTTAAAATTGCCGAATCAACTTCAAAATATTGCGCACATTTGTCCAAGTCTGTTAATTTAGACAACACAGCATCTTCACATGTATCTTCCTCACAGGTTGTGTTTTGTTTCATTTCAAATTGTAAAGGGTACGCCATCCGTTGGGACAAGCATTCAGGACACTCAGGATTGGTTGAAGCAAAACCGCTTTGGTACATACACCAAGCTCTTTCAAAACTTTGCAGGTAAGTGGCAGGGTCACAAGTCACCGAATACTTCACACATGACAAATACATGACCTAAATCTCTGAATATACATGCATGAAGGGCATCATCGACCCCAATCTACAAAAAAAAGATCATTCATAAGGCCCCAAAAAAGGCTCCGGTTTCTGGTATGGAGATCGCCCCAAAAGTGGTGTGGCGACGTGGCTTTTTTTTTTTTTCTTACTTTTTTTCCCTTCAAATTTCGCCTGATGACTGCAAATGGTGCCCAACTAAATTTAGTGCAAAATGTATGGGAGCCCAGAGAGGCCACATAAAGCTTATACTCGATCGTAACCCCATCTAAAAACATATTAAAATTGTGCGACAGCAGGATTCCAGTCAAACCAGTGAGTTTGGCGGTTTTGAGACATCATCTTACGTTGAAAAAACAAAACTTTTTAATTTTGCTGACGTGCATGGCTACGGCGATGCACATGCAGACCAGAAACCTGAACCTTTTTTATTTTGGCCTAATGGACTTTCATGTTGCTTTGGAAATGAAATGGGTTTAAAGGCATTCTATATTGTTTTGTAAAATGCATGTATTACTTTGAGGGCAGATGGAGTAAACATTATGTCACTTTTTGTAATGTGGGTTTCGTTTAAAAGTTTTAGAAAAACATATCGATTAAATGTGTAAACGTCACGTCTTCAATCTAGATCGTGCTCGATAAAGAACCACTTGGTCAAGAACGGGGTGATCAGAGTTCACAGATGTTAATTTTCCCTCCACAACCCTCCCCCCCCCCCCCCAAAAAAAAAAAAAAATTGGAAAGCCTTTGTTGTCAACACTCTGAGCCCATTCGAAAATTTTAATGTGCCAAAGTGTTGCATGTTGGAAACTTTTTTTCAGATTTTTTTTCTGAATTCCGTTTTTTTTTTTGGCGTCAGGTGCTGATCTCTTGCGACTTGGTAAGCAGGATCTAATACAAATCATGGGACCAGCAGACGGAATCAGGTTAAACAACGCACTCCAGAAAAGGTCGGTCATATAGTATAAAATTAGTAAACATTATTCATTTTATTCCCAAAGGCGATGGTGATTGCTGTCAAACAATTTGTGACGACAAGACGTACCAACCCGTCCAACCATTCATTATGGGAAGCTTACTATCATGATCAATGCATGTACATGCAACATGCAATGAACACAGTCTGTTGTATAAGAGTTCAAAGATATTATATCAGAGGCCAGATTTTGCGGAACAAATGAATAAAAATTTTGCATCTGATTCTGAATCTCGTTCACAGAGGGATCTAATTGAAATCATGAGACCTGCAGCCGATTTCACGAAACCTTATGCAATGGCGCAACTCTGCTTGCGCCACAAGTTACAGCGTAAGTTGCGCAACATTTCACGCTGTGCAACATTTCACTTATGATTTCACGAAAGACGGATAGTGCATAAGTCTGCGACTTGTGCAATAAATTATGGCGGAACTTGTGCAATCATTTTAGGAGGCGTAAGTTGTGGCGTATCGACTGAAAATGACATATTTTAACAGCAAATCGGGACTGTCATGGAGCCCGTTATTGCACAACTTATCAAGCTTGATACGAGACTCACAACTTCAAATTTGAAGTAAATGAATTTCTATTTTACTCGTAACATATTTCTTTAGAGTTGCCGTCCGAAGAAAGTCAGACAAAATAATTTTCAAAATGGTGGGCTGAGGTGATCCAACGGTTGTTTCGCAAACGCATAAATTCACAAACAAACAGCCATCGTAAATGTTGTTGTTACACTCGTCCAAGACGTTTAAATTATTTTAAATGTTGCGCAGCTACACCAAGTTTGTGAAATCAATCGTAACTTTATTGCGAAGCTGCACACAAAATTGTTCCTACGCATGGTGCAAGCTGCAAAATTATTTGTGAAATCGGCTGCTGCGCCCAATTTCACGAAACTCATTGTAACTTACGATGCATCGCAGCACTGCGACACGTCGTATCCCTACGATGCATCGCAGCTGCAACGCGTCCCGTGATTCATTTCACAAAACACATCGTAAGTGCAACGCATTGTAAGCACAAACGTATGTAATTTTTATGGCATAAACCTGGCTCAGAAAAGGACGCTTCTTATTTCGTGATGACCACTAGACATGTAACTTTTGATGTGTTTTAAGCCTTTTCAAGGAATATATGATACGTTGAACACATCATAATATTTGTGAAACGGCTCATAAGACGCATTGCAAGTTGCAACGGGTTACGCGTTGCAACTCGTGCAACAGTAATAGAAATGTTTCAAATCTTGGTTTTGGTTTCATGACATGTTTCCTTCTATTTGTGTTTTCCCCAGACATGTTAGACCGAGACTGACGCTGTATGTGTGTCAAGAGCAGGAACAAGGTATGGGCATTGCCGTTATTATTTGGCCGAGTGAAATATGAAACATTTGTATTAAAGCTATAGTCCATCATTTGCAGCCATCTGAAAAGTAACTGGCGTAATTATTGTTGAAAAACAAACTTGGTTGAAAGATAGTAAGGGAACTAAACTCCCTGTGAAATTATTCTTTCTGGGAAGCTGTCACTTTGAAGTAATCAACGAAAGAAGGCCTTTCCAACGGTGCGTCTTAAGATGCACCGTAGGAAAATTAAAATTAGTAGTTCGTTTTGTTATTCGGCGAAGCGCGCGCAAGCATTGGCACGACGCACACGCACGCGCGGTTGCTATAATTCGTCGGATCAGTGCGCGACGTCGCATATAGCTGCAATTCAAAACAATTCAAAACATGATTCAGTAACTTTTGATTTGAAATTGAGATCCTAGAATGCTGTTTTTCTCGGAATATACAGCTGAAGCTTAGCTGAAACTTCATCAGGTTAGTTGTTCAGTATCCTTCATTAGATTTTGAACATTTTTGTTGCTTCAAACAAACAAAATGCACAAATACAAATGATGGACTATATCTTTAAAATGAGGTGTACATGTAATATCAATTTATATACCATTTTTCATTCTCCCTCCATTTCTGTTTGTTTTCGTAGTGTATCATGCTGTGTACCTAGAGTTGCAGACGTTACAGGAATTACGCGCCAAACTGGCAACATTGTACCACATTCCCTCAGAGCATATATCCACAATACTACGACAAGGGCCGACTGGTATCCGTGTTCTTGTCAGTGATGAGGTGAGTGGGCCAATCACATCATTGATAGTGTGTACATACAAAATAAATAAGATAAATTGTAATGCTTATAATAGCGCTTTCCATCGTATCAACACTCTCAAAGCGCTTTACAATTATTCCCCCGTTCATCAGACCTCAGTACCACACAGCAGCCGATATCAGCGCACGTTCGGTCCTCTACCTTCAAAGGTACCTACAATTGCCTCTCTCCTGGGTGGAGAGAGGCAATTGTAGTAAAGTATGTTGCCCAAGGGCACAGACGCCATGTTCCTGGCAGGGTTCGAACCCACGCACCATTGTACATGAGTCAAACACCGTAGCCACTGGACTATGGCATTCTACGAGCCAATATATATGTACATCTCATCCATATTAATGAGCCTTGCATTTCTTTCATTGGTCAATATTCCAAGCCATCAGAGAAGGAAAACAAGCTAAATTCTCAGACCCATGATTCGCAAATGGTATTCATTTCATGTAGACTTTACGAAAGACCTTTTCTTTTAACTTGAATAAGCCTTTCTATTTCTTTTTTTCCTCCTTAGATGGTCCAAAATTTTCAGGAGGAGTGTTTATTTTCACTTCAAACAATCAAAGGTAAGCTTGTGTCTGACTCATCTCAGAATAACATGTCTTGATCTTCTATTTCATTCATTGACTAAGCTCATTAGGTTATGTACATGTAATTGATTAAGCCCCTACGAGATGACTTCTGATGTTTGATCGTAATACAGTCGTACAATTTTTATCCCCAAACCGGCATTGTTAATATCATTTTGAAGTCCGTTTCGGCGCAGTTACTTTTTGTTGATTTCTATATAATTACCAGTAGATCGCTCTCAAATGACATCACTTACTACAGATTGTCATGTGCATCGGCTTTTGGGGTGCCAGTTTTCCTAGACGCCCATTGGCTGCGCCGTATTTCTAAGAAATTTTGAGCAACATGCGCGCGTCTAGAACATTTTGCACACTGCGCACACACGCACCTGATGGCGTTGAACACGCAGTTGTAATTTTCCAACTAATATGGCTGTCAATGAGAGGGGCATACTCTTTTAAAAATTTCCTTCTTTTTAACCATCTGGGCACGAAAATTTTGCTTTTATGATCCCTATCTGTGCTTACGGTGCAAGCAAAGAAATAATTCTCTAAAAAAAGTCAAGCTGCGAAGGATGCTAATACAATAATAATAATTTCTGCTGAAGTGAGTTATGAATTCTTCACTAACTGTCAGCAGATCATGCAATCAAGAGTAACTGTGCAATTAAACGGTAGAAATAGAACAAAGAAGGTAGTAATTAACATGGCCTTTGATTTGTTTCGCAGATGAACCAAGTTCGGGACTGGACAAGCACGTGCAGGGAGAAACGTACACAATCATCATGGCATAAAATAACCAATAATTACACAGATTTAGTGTATCGGAATGTGGATGCAGGTATTTTTTTAGCTTCTATCCACGGTCAGAAAAAAGAAGCTTTTTATTTTTGAAGATATTGATCATTCACTGGTCATGAAATTACCTCGAAAAACCATGTCAGTGGAATTTTTTTTTTAAACTGAAATTTAATGTAAATTGATCAACCGTAATGTAAATTGGCGACGATTATCTTGACAAACGTTGGGACCTCCCTGCAGTATACAAATTAGATGGGCAAATACAGTTGAATAAACAAGAACAGTACGTAGAGAACCGTGGTTTACAGGGCGAGTCAAAACCAAAAAAGGAAACCCAAATGGCGCCCCCTATTTTTGTAAAAGAATTTCTGCATGTAGCATTTTTCAAATGTAGGACATGAAAGCCCAATCAATGAGCTTTTAGTGAAAGAATAATTCTAATCGCTCATGTACTTTTCCAGTTATAGAATTTTGAACACAAACACCGTTTTTTTTTTTAACCTTGTCCATGGATCACATTTAAAGATATAGTCCATCATTTGTAATTTGTGCATTTTGTTCGTTTGAAGCAACAAAAGTGTTCAAAATCTAATGAAGGATACTGAACAACTAACCTGATGAAGTTTCAGCTCAGCTTCAGCTGTATATTCCGAGAAAAACAGCATTCTAGGATCTCAATTTCAAATCAAAAGTTGCTGAATCATGTTTTGAATTGGGCCTAAATTCAGCGTCCGAAACACGTTCTCACTAGCCGATTGCAGCTATACCCGATGTCGCGCACTGATCCGATGAATTATAGCAACTGCGCGCTTGGTGCGTCGTGCTAATGCTTGCGCGCGCTTCGCCGAATAACAAAACGAACTACTAATTTAAATTTTCATACGGTGCGTCTTAAGATGAACCGTTGGAAAGGCCTTCTTTCGTTGATTACTTCAAAATGACAGCTTGCCAGAAAGAATCATTTCACAGGGAGTTTAGTCCACTTACTATCTTTCAACCAAGTATGTTTTTCAACAATAATTACGCCAGTTACTTTTCGGATGGCTGCAAATGATGGACTATAGCTTTAAGATATGTGATGTTTCAGTAAAAATGAAACCATGTCGTATCCTGAAAATGATATCAGAATAATCCCATAAGTCTCCGGGGTAGCCAAGTAGAAGGTAGGGCAAGACTACAAACTCTTGACATTGTAAAGCATGACATTTCAACATTGGAAGCAGCAGGTTTTTGAATAAATGTCATAAGTGCCAGTTATCATGATTATGAGAGTGTTTTGAGTGTTTTTTTGGTATGTGAATAGTTTTCATTTTGCTGAAATAATCACCTACCTTTATTGTGATCTGTGGACAGGGTTAAAAAAAACCAGTGTTTGTGTTCAAAATTCCATAACTGGAAAAGTACATGAGCGATTTGAATTTTTCTTTTACTAAAACAAAGCTTATTAATTGGGCTTTCATATCCTAGATTTGGAAAGTGCTACATGCAGAACTTCTTTGAAGAAATAGGGGTCGCAATTTGGATATCCTTTTTTTCTTTTACACACCCAGTAGAGTTTGATCAAATGGACAGCGTGGCACAACTTTCATCCATCCAATTTTTTATCTGTTCTTTTAAATTTTTGTATAAATATTAATTGACTGACACATTATTTTTTGTCCAAGCATTTCTTTGTTCAATCTTTGCTTCTTATGTTCCACTTTTTTTTTTTTTTTTACTTTTGTGTTTTTCTTTGGCATCATAATCAAGACACGTTGCAGTAGCTGAATGGAGTGTAAATCTTATAATTATGTGAGGCGTTCTTGCAAAATGAGACGTAGTGGAGAAAAAAAACCCCAAAAAACCGAATGGGGGTGATTTTGTTCTATTTCCATATTTGTTATCTTTAATACGACTACTACACATATTTTAACAAAATAGTATAAAAATCATGGAATAAAAGTATTTCTAAGGGGAAAAATTGGTATCCTTCATTGTCACGACTATACAGTCAAAATTTAAAGGCCTTTTTCTCAGTATTTTACTTTTTGGACGTGAATAAATGCAGACCTTAAACAGCCATAACTTGTCAACGGAATGTCCGATCAAAGTGCTACGACAGTGCTGTAAGGAGAATTTTATTCTCTTTCCTAATACTTGCAAACCTTCCTTCGACCTCTGCCCAGTTCGGTCTCATTTTGCCAGAATGCCCCACATATGTAGATTTCACTAGAGCATAAAGAAATACAGTGTTTGAGAGATTTTCAGATGTATTTTTGTAATTGTGAGGTGTAATTTGTCAAAGTTTTGATCTTTTAATTGCAAGTTCCGTAATGTCGTGTTGTAAGACCCTATGAGGAATCGTGATGGTGTTTGAAATTTGGGTTCTCGGCAAAACTGTGAGGGTTTCGTTGACGGTTCCAATCACCTACATTAGAATCAAAGCATCGGTAGCATTTGGGAGGAATAAAAGCTCGTTAGATAATAATCTGTGCTGATTGCATTTGAAACTCATGTTAACAGTGAACCACAAAGTAATTCACGAAAGCTGAAATTTGTGATAATGTCTAGGACAAAAAATGTCAGAATTGAAAAATATAAGAAAAAGTCAAAGCTGGATTCTTGAAGCATTAAAAGGAGTTTTTGAGGTCATTTAATTTGCCTTTTATGATGAAGATGGCCTCATTAAAGTTTTGTGAAATTAGCTGCTTGAATGGTTTCTTTCATGAATTGAAATTGGAGTAATGTAAATAAAAATTATGAATTCACCCCTGGCGTGACTGTTGTGTTTGTTTTATTATTTGAGGGATAGAACAAATCGATTTTTTTTGGGTGTTTACAACTAAAAGCCTTGTTGACAGAGAATAGTAAGCCAATTTAAGGTGATAAAGATTTGAAAAATGTTGGGAGTTTGAATACTTGCAATTAACATCACAAAAAACAATTTGAATTTACATTTGCATTGAGAAAATTGTACTGAAGGCAAGTAGGAAAAGCTTCCCAACTAGTCAATCTTGAACTAATTTACTTTTAAAATTTTGTCAACTATTTGTCGTCAGATTAATTATCGCCCACGAGTTCTGGAAAAAAGTCATCACACAAAAAAGACGATTTCAACTGACACTAATCTTTATTATCTTCGCCGCTATTTACACAACTTATACAGCAACCCCCATGAGCCACATACGTCACATGATTGTGTCCGTCCAATCAAAATGAAGCAAGGAGCAAATAAACATAGCTGATTGGATCAAACTTGCAAGCTTAACCGACTGCTTCTGATCAATTAAAAAAGGAACTCTAAATATTAGGCTGCATGGAAGAAGTTCATAATTTACCAAAAAAAACAAAAACCCATAACACCTTTAAAATAAAAAATAAACTTAAGGTTGCAAAAAAAGCTGTCTTGTTCGTGAACGAAAAAACATCAAACAGAACCAAATTTGTACAGAAATAAAACAAATCTAGTAATAAATCTGTCGTATTCAATGTCCAATATAAAAGCAAGACAAAAAAACAACTTTTCCCACAAAATTTCAATTAATAAGTAGCTAAAGCCACGTAGATATTTACAATTGTAATAAACACCTATTTTGAACGAGATCTCTGGAACAATTCACAGTTAATTTATTTATACACAATGAACAGTGACATCACCAAAGGCATAGTTTCGTCCACCACAGACCACGTTCAAAATGTCAACCAAAAAATGACTACATTAATGTCTGACCTGCATGGCGTGAATGCCCCTACAATAATGTACATACAAATATTTGTCATGCTAAAAGAGTTTGTCCAGTTTCGCTCATAAGACATAACTTCCCATCCGAATATAATGCTGCTGTCAAGATTCATTAGGTTGGGATGTGTAGTGAACAAGAGTGCAAAGTTGTGCACATTTCAATCATGACCAATGGAACAGTGATGACAACATGCCAGGGTCCATACTCTTATTGACAAAATTGCTTTAAATTGGATCAAAGACTTTCTCATCAGAGAACCTTTAAAATAATGAACGTCAGTAACTTCTGAAACAATACCTCGCTGTAAACCATGTCATTGTCTCCAATAAAAACACTGCGATAGATTAACTCTTTGCGGACAGTATCAGCTTGAAATGGTGCCCCCTAGAGATGACAGGCCCATATATCACCTCGTACTTATTCCAGCTCATTAAGGCAATAAATTCCATCCACAAAGAGTTAAAAGGACACAGCCATTTTTTTTTTTTTACAGAACTACAGGTTGGTGCAAAAAGAAGGAAACCCAATTTTGACAGAATTTTGTATTTTTTATATATTATAACGTAGTGAAGTATAGCTCTTCAACCATACGTGGTGGAAAAACCTTTCATAAAATCGCAAGAATAGTGTAATTATGTGAATTTGAATACAAGTCACCAAAATCACTGTTGTCCATGTGCAAAGTCAGTGAAGTGTTTTTTGTCTTCAAATCAAGCTCCGGAGCTCAGTCAAGTGGATGGAATAAAGCCGTCCGTGGACAATCAGGTTTGGCACATGAAATTTTGAAACTACCATATCTCAGAGACAAAATATGCATTTGCAATAATTTTTTGGTCACTTATGTTTAAAGAGGATGTGGAATGCTCGAAGACATTTCCGTCATTTTTCGAGTATATGTAGCCTAAGGTGTGATGAAATAAAAACGACTATTGTTTCTGTCATGAAATGAGTACAAAGGGTACTTTTGAGAGCTGTTTTTCAGGTCCAGTTTCGACCCGAACGTGCAACTGTGTAAATGTCGTCGTTGCGGGCAGCAAACAAAACACAGTAAATTGTGACGTAATAAACAGGACTCCCGATGCACAGTAGCATACACGAGTCCTGTTTATTACGTCACGATTTACTGTGTTTTGTTTGCTGCCCGCAACGACGACTTTTACAGTTGCACGTTCGGGTCGAAACTGGACCTGAAAAACAGCTCTCAAAAGTACCCTTTGTACTCATTTCATGACAGAAACAATAGTCGTTTTTATTTCATCACACCTTAGGCTACATATACCCGAAAAATGACGGAAATGTCTTCGAGCATTCCACAACCTCTTTAAAGATCAATATTTCAATACCATTAAATTGAATGGTGGGAATATGCTCAACAAGTAGGTGAAAATTGCTGTCAAAAGTGGGTTTCCTCCTTCTTGCACCACCATGTAAAGTCTTCAAGACAGAACTTTTTGGATATTCTGTCCCCATGATACTGCTGTGGTACCAAATTGTAAACTGTCTTACTGTTTAACTGTCAAACAAAACCCTGTTTACCAAATGCAACATAACTTATAACAAAAAAAGACAGTAATGAAAGGAGTTGAATTTTTAATCTTTTTTTTTTTTGCGGGAATCTAGCATTGTACATTATTTATAATATTTAAGATGGACCATCTTCTTTTTAATTTTTAGAAGCCAGAGTGTTTGATTTTGCTCAGATGACCCCTAACCGGCAAAGACCAAATATCAAGAAGAAATGCTAAAAGAGGATCAATATACAGCTGCATGGAAGCATGGGACAAGAACAATTTGGAATAAAAGCTAATAAATCTTTAAAAATGTCCCTTGATTTTCAGTTGATTAAAAAGTAAGAGAAACTTGTACACATTTTTCTCAATGACTTCACAAAGGTAGGAATTTGTACCAATGTCTTTTGATAGTTTAAATATTTTACATATTTAGTAACGCCGACCATTTTCACACTGGCAACTTGATACGTGGTGAACGGCGACTTAAGTAATTTCATTGGAATATCCACAAAATACTTTTAAATGCGAGCGAGTTTTTAAGGCGATTATTTTTGTGGCGACAACGTTATGTACATAAATACATGAACATCAACACACAAGGCCAGCGTTTTTGTTGCGATATGAAAGATGACCCACTTGTACCAACGATTCAGATATCAACAACCAGCAGACTGTAAAATGTCCAAGAAGTTGACCTGCAGAAGCTGCTTTTTACAACTCACAAACTCTGAAATGTATACACGTACTTCAATCTTATATGTGTATATCACACAGGCAGAGTCTCTTACGTTAAAGAACGGAACTCTTAAAAATGAAGTGTCTTTCGAAAATATTTGATCTGATGAATTGATGAGGCAAAGAACGAGGAATCTTTTAAATGTTTGTTTAGTGACCTTTGAAACAATAGATCTCTCTCACAAGACGCCATCTTTGTTGGAAAATTACAACTGCGTATTCAACGCCATCAGGTGCTTACGCGCGCAGTGTACTAAATTGTCTAAACACGCGTTCGAGTTGCTCGCAGCAGATGTGCGTCACGAAATTTGACGCCCAACATGCTAATGCACATGACAATCAGTAGGAAGTGATGTCATTTGAGAGAGACCTATGAATGCTTACTTCAATTTTGGGTTTTGCCCGTCACCGACATAATTTATAAACAGTGCATACTCAGTGTTGTCCCAAGTGATTGTGAGAAAAAAAATCACAAAACTACTCGGATGGGACTCAAACCCACGACCTCCTGCTTAATGGTGCAGACGTCTGGCCACTCGACCACCGAGCTTAGCGGGGTCGGCTGGCTGGATTAAATCAAATACAGCAGCGGGTACCGCAACCAAACTATTCATAAGATGAAATTTGTGTACTTCATTATCTTTATTGGGGTGCATAACATGACATCAACGTTTTAAACATCACAAAGATAGTGGAGAGGATTCAATTTCATTGCAACATGCATTCCAAAAATATGGATGGAATAAGGATTATTATATCAAAGATCTTGGTTAAATCTCCACATTCCTGAATACATAATGTAGCAAGTCGATCAGGTTACTTAGAAGATCTGCATATTAAAAATTGGGGTTTTTTTCATTAGATGTGCAAATTTGACTTGTTTTCAATGCCATATGCCACAGATACTTTATGGAGCACAGGCAGTTTAGTTCAGTTAAGTATACTTGGTTTTTTTTATAAACACTTTCAATCAATTTCAGGTCAAAGAGAAATTCAGAGACTTCGGGAATTGACTGAATTTGCTCCTTACAAAGGAATTGCAGTATACAGGTGCAAAGATTATCAGAATTTTGTGGTACATGTACAAAGTTGAGTATAGGAACAGGAAAGCTTCCTGCTATTGCTTGGCAAGGTTTTCGGTCTTGAGCTGTTATCAGGTTCCACTTGAGAGAGCTGAGGTTGAGCTATCTGCTTTCACTTGAGAGAACTGAGGGTGAGCTAGGTGATGGCCCAGTGATTCCTGTCTGCTTGGGAGAGCTATCTGCTTCCACTTGAGAGAGCTGAGGGTGAGCTAGGTGATGGCACAGTGGTCTGTGTCTGCTTGGGAGAGCCATCTGCTTCCACTTGAGAGAGCCGAGAATGAGCTAGGTGATGGCACAGTGGTCTGTGTCTGCTTGGGAGAGTTATCTGCTTCCACTTGAGAGAGCTGAGGGTGAGCTAGGTGATGGCACAGTGGTCTGTGTCTGCTTGGGAGAGCTATCTGCTTCCACTTGAGAGAGCTGAGGGTGAGCTAGGTGATGGCACAGTTGTCTGTGTCTGCTTGGGAGAGCTATCTGCTTCCACTTGAGAGAGCCGAGAATGAGCTAGGTGATGGCACAGTGGTCTGTGTCTGCTTGGGAGAGCTATCTGCTTCCACTTGAGAGAGCTGAGGGTGAGCTAGGTGATGGCACAGTGGTCTGTGCCTGCTTGGGAGAGGTATCTGCTTCCACTTGAGAGAGCCGAGGGTGAGCTAGGTGATGGCACAGTGGTCTGTGTCTGCTTGGGAGAGCTATCTGCTTCCACTTGAGAGAGCTGAGGGTGAGCTAGGTGATGGCACAGTGGTCTGTGTCTGCTCGGGGAGTTCTCTGCTTCCACTTGAGAGAGCTGAGGGTGAGCTAGGTGATGGCACAGTGGTCTTTGTCTGCTTGGGGAGCTATCTGCTTCCACTTGAGAGAGCCGAGGGTGAGCTAGGTGATGGCACAGTGGTCTGTGTCTGCTTGGGAGAGCTATCTGCTTCCACTTGAGAGAGCTGAGGGTGAGCTAGGTGATGGCACAGTGGTCTGTGTCTGCTTGGGAGAGCTATCTGCTTCCACTTGAGAGAGCCGAGAATGAGCTAGGTGATGGCACAGTGGTCTGTGTCTGCTTGGGAGAGCTATCTGCTTCCACTTGAGAGAGCTGAGGGTGAGCTAGGTGATGGCACAGTGGTCTGTGCCTGCTTGGGAGAGGTATCTGCTTCCACTTGAGAGAGCCGAGGGTGAGCTAGGTGATGGCACAGTGGTCTGTGTCTGCTTGGGAGAGCTATCTGCTTCCACTTGAGAGAGCTGAGGGTGAGCTAGGTGATGGCACAGTGGTCTGTGTCTGCTCGGGGAGTTCTCTGCTTCCACTTGAGAGAGCTGAGGGTGAGCTAGGTGATGGCACAGTGGTCTTTGTCTGCTTGGGGAGCTATCTGCTTCCACTTGAGAGAGCCGAGGGTGAGCTAGGTGATGGCACAGTGGTCTGTGTCTGCTTGGGAGAGCTATCTGCTTCCACTTGAGAGAGCTGAGGGTGAGCTAGGTGATGGCACAGTGGTCTGTGTCTTCTTGGGAGAGCTATCTGCTTCCACTTGAGAGCGCCGAGGGTGAGCTAGGTGATGGCACAGTGGTCTGCTTCTCCGACTGAGCTCTCTTTATGTACAGATTGAGAAGTTTGGTCTGTAACAAAGCAAATAAACACTTGTGAAACAACACATCAAGCCTGTGAGACAACTCGTCATGCATCAAGCTCTTAATTCGATACAAGCTCTAAATTGGATACTAAGCACAAAGAATCTAGTCAGTTCAGGGCAGACTTGACCTGTTTTGCCCTACCTTGCTTCCTGACAGGCTGCCCAGATGGTCCTTCAGTCTCTCTCCTATCACACTATGGATAGCCACCAAACAGAAGACGCTAGCCTTCCGTACGCTACTCTCGTGATGGTCGTAAGACTGTGGGGATAATAAAGTCATAGGTCAAGCACTTACCAATCTTTAAGAAATGAGGAAGAATCTACTAGACTGACACAGCAGGTCCTCTAATGATTTGTGCTTTTCAGGTCAATCAAGCTGGTAAACAGTTTGCCGCAGCTTGTCATTTCTTATTCAAACTTTAATAAACCATGAATGAAATCCTGCAAGCAGCTCACAATATAACTGGATTTTTTTAAACAAAATAATTTGATTTGAAAAGTGAAAATGCAAGCAACGAACCTTGAGTAATACTGGGACAACCTCGGCGACAATTTCTTCCAGTTCCAGCCCTGGCATCAACTCGAGCACCTGGGGAACCAAGAGACGAGAAATGCACCGTTATAACCATGTCTCAAATTAACCCACCTCGGCTTCCGCCCTGACTGGATGAATTGAGGAGATGTTTGATGTGTAATAATAATAATAATATGGGGGGCTAATCATCCTTACTCGCAGCTGAGAAGCTGAATTGCGAAGGACGTGGCTATAACGTGGTCGAGCAGCAGGCATGTAAAAGTGTCGTAGGCAGCTGCCATACGAACCAATATCTGATCACGGAGCCCAGCCAGATAGAAAGTGTCCATTTTTGCGGAGGGAGGAAAACCAGAGAGCCCGGAGAAAAAAAACCCATGGCACAGGAGAGAATCAATGCCCAACTCTACTCACTTATCGTCCGAGCCGGGAAGCGATCCCGGGCCACAGTGGTGAGAGGCGAGCGCTTTAATCACTAGCCACCCGTGTGTAGTGCTAAGCTTACCTTAGTCAACATCTTGATAGCGGCTTGGTTGATGGGGTACTCTGCCGTCTGTATGATGGGACACAGAACTCGGACGCACTGATCGGGAGCAATGGAATGAGCCAAGGTTGCTGATGTCTCCTCTGCAGCTCGTACGACCTACGGGGCAAACACATGGTGAATCAAAATTAACCAACTTAGGTAGATTCAACCCTTTCTCTTCGAGTGTCAGATGTTAGCAAGTCAGCTGGTAATACCAGTCCCACGGAGTGCAGTGGAGGATCCAGAATGTTTGTCTTACCTCAGATTGTGGATCTTTATGAGCCTCCAGTATCTTGAGAATCGTCAGCTCAGCGTAATCTTTGAATCTATCCGGCTGGTTGCGTAGGATCTCCCTCAGGACTCGCAGGGCCATCGCTCGAATGGAAGCCTGATGGATTGACAAGCGGGAATAAAAGTGTGTCTTACGCAAACCCTCAATCACATAATGGACATTTTCTGTGTGAACTGTTTTCACAGCTTAATCCCCTCTTGTACAGGGGAAAAATAGTTTGATTGACTTGAAATTGACTTCTTTTTTTTGAGAGTGTGGCCTCGTGGTTAGGGTTCATGACTCATGATCAGAGGGTCAGGGGTTCGAATCCAGCTGCTGGTCATATATTGTGTCCTTGGGCAAGCCACTTCACCCCAACTTGCCTGTCTCCACCCAGGAGTATACATGGGTACCGGCATTAGCTGGGGAGTAACCTGCAATGAACTAGCATCCCATCCAGGGGGAGTAGAAATGTTCTCAGTCATTTCATGCTACTGAAACCGGAGATAAATGACGTGTGACGGAATTGTGCTTGACATGTGATGGAATTGTGCTTGACGTGTGATGGACTTGTGACTATCTTGTGATTGACCTCTCATTTGACTTGTGATTGACTTGTGACTGACTTGCGATTGACTTTTGACTGCCCCCGATTGCCTTTTGACTGTCTTGTGACTGACTTGTGATTGGTTTGTGACCAGACTACAACGCTGGCCAACTCACCTCCACATCCCCTAGAGTCTCCAGCATCAGCAGTAAGACCGTCTTGAAGTGATTGTCCCACATGGTGACACTCTCAGACCTCGTCAGCTTAATCAGCTGCATCATGGCGGTCCGTCTCTCCTCAAACCTAACAGAAAAAGAACAAAACAGGACAAAGGGCTTCAGAACCGTGCAATTTGTGTCTCCTTTCCCGGCTACATGTCTCACTGTAATACTTCAATGTGCCGTGCCAACAAAAAAGTAGAGTTTTGAAAAACTGTTTTTAACTGTTAAAAAGTTTTTTTTTCGAACCTACCTTTGATTGTGGTTTGACAACTCAGTTAAGAGAGGCACTAGGATGTCTACATGATCACCTACAAAAGTACGAGAAACAAAAAAACGACATTTCAGGAGAATCTAGCAGGTACAATTAGAATAGCCTGAGCATGGTCATAAAGTAAATATAAAGGAGCATACGGCTGACTTTTGAACTGTTGAAGAATCTCTGATTTGTGGTCAAGTTCTCACCAGCCAATCACCAGTCATTCAATCTCACGTCAACTCACAAGTTATTCAAATGAACTGTGACCAAGGTATTCCTTTGCCATCGTTTTCCCCTTGTTACTTGAGACGTGACTTGTGATTGGCTTATGATGCCATTGGTTTCCCTTGTTACTTGAGACGTGACTTGTGATTGGCTTATGATGCTATTGGTTTCCCTTGTTACTTGAGACGAGACTTGTGATTGGCTTAAGATTTCATCGCTTTCCCTTGTTACTTGAGACGCTACTTGTGATTGGCTTATGCCATCGTTTTCCCCTTGTTACTCGAGACGCAAATTGTTATTGGTTTATGATTTCATTGCTTTCCCTTGTTACTTGAGACGCTACTTGTGATTGGCTTATGCCATCGTTTTCCCCTTGTTACTCAAGACGTGACTTGTGATTGGCTAATGATGCTATTAGTTTTTCTTGTTACTTGAGACGAGACTTGTGATTGGCTTATGATTTCATTGATTTCCCTTGTTACTTGAGACGCTACTTGTGATTGGCTTATGCCATCGTTTTCCCCTTGTTACTCGAGGCGTGACTTGTGATTGGCTTATGATGAAATCTAATGTATGGCAAACACCATTCAAAAGTTAAACTGAATACCAAGTTGAGAGATTTTAGTGAAAAGTACTTCTGAAGTTTTTGTAGCTTTTTAAATGTATTTGATATTGAGTGATGACAAGGCACCAGTCTAGATCTCACCTTCACTCAACAGATCCTCACAAGAACCATCAGTAACTGTCAGTCTGGTATCTGATATACCCTGCTCAAAAGATAATCATTCAAAATACGTTCAATAGAAGAATCAAAATTCTTAATAAGTTAAAATAAGGCCTCTTCAACTGAGTCAAAAATGTATTACTTAATAAAATATGTAGACATGATAGTTCCACACACACAAAGGTGGCTTTTTAAATCTCTTAGTTCTCAAAATATAAGTAGTCCAATTTATTTTACTCGGAAAGTACGTTTGGAAAACCAGAAAAAAATACTAAAAAATGCTAAATGCAATGTAGAGAAATATAAATGAGTTAAGTTGCGTTAGTTGTTTTTAGAATTGATGAAAAGTAATGAAACGTCACCAAGTTAGATTTCATGAACTTTGGCTAGTTTTAGGACTATAAAATACATGTAATAACAGTTCCTCCATGTTGGATACTGGTTTGTTCAGTTAATGGATACATGTACGTTCACAAGTCTTTATTGCAATTATAATAATGAATGGGATATTTCGCCCAAAACCAGACCCAAATCGATTTTTCAATGCAATGAAGAAATAAGTTTGAGTTGAGCCTGGAAACTTCAATGTAGAGTCGGCTCGTATTTGGTGTCTAGTGGGGCTGAAAGGGGAAATATTTGGGGGAATTGTGCCTTTGATAATACAAGCATGGCATTTGGTGTACAGTCAGTGTATGTCCTAAGAAAGATATTTGGCTATAGGGCCATCGCAGGTTTGTCCTCTGCAAAAATACAGATAGAATAACAAGCCATTGTGGCCATTTTCAAAAATGGCCTCAATTGCTTGTTATTCTACCTATATTTTTTCAAAGGACAAATCTGTGATGGCCCTTTAGCCAAATATCTTTCTTAAGACATACAGTGTACTCTGACTGTGTGACAAATGCCATGCTTGTATCATCAAACAAAGGCACAATCCCCGCACCTATCTGCCGTACTAGTGAAGGCAGACCTGAATGCAACGTTGTGATGTTTTTGGCGCTTGTGAGTTCACAACTTTGAGAACACTTTGACGCCAGCAAATTTCACTTCACATTCAAATATGTCTCAAGTATGAACCTATCTTTAGAGGAAAGCAAATACTTCAAATTGAAACTTGCCAAACCCAAATTTATGACCATCTATGTTATTCTGCATGAAAATGATTGTACTACATGTGGGTGGTTTAGTTCTGCATGACCATAGATGATTTATGTGGAAACCAGTGAAATGCTGAACTTGTGTCTGGTTTGAGGGCAGTAAATCTTGGCTTTACCATTTCTAAAAAGCTAAAGCTACTAGGCTTCTAATCTAGGCAGTTGTTAGAGCGGACAACCTGTGTGGCAAGGCAGATACTAGTACAGAGAGCCAGCCTAGATCTACAGTCCATTACTTGATTGGCCAGCCCAATACGACATATATAGGCATGTCTGGATCTGGATGTGCTTGGTCCACAGGGGGGAGGTTAGGGATGACGTGAGATGAAACATGCAACAGTTGTATGGAAGGATTGGCCAGCACAATGAGATATATATATAGGCATGTCTGGATCTGGATGTGCTTGGTCCACAGGGGGGAGGTTAGGGATGACGTGAGATGAAACATGCAACAGTTGTATGGAAGGATTGGCCAGCACAATGAGACATATATATAGGCATGTCTGGATCTGGATGTGCTTGGTCCACAGGGGGGAGGTTAGGGATGACGTGAGATGAAACATGCAACAGTTGTATGGAAGGATTGGCCAGCACAATGAGACATATATAGGCATGTCTGGATCTGGATGTGCTTGGTCCACAGGGGGTTAGGGATGACGTGAGATGAAACATGCAACAGTTGTATGGAAGGATTGGCCAGCACAATGAGACATATATAGGCATGTCTGGATCTGGATGTGTTTGGTCCACAGGGGGGTTAGGAATGATGTGAGATGAAACATGCAACAGTTGTATGAAAGGATGTTAAATCTGGAAACTTGACGTAAGGCCAAACAAAAAAATTGTTGTGTTGCCCTCACATAAAACATATCAGGAGGGTCGGTCTGTACACGAAAACGTTTGGGCTACATGTACTGCACACGCCAATTATACTGTGTACATACATGTACTTGCATGCGATACAATGTACAGTGCACGTAGGCCTATACAATGTATACATTACATCACTGTCATGTACTGTGTATGTACGTTTTGCAACAAAATGCAAAATTATGGTACAACAATGAAACTGTAAGGTTAAAATTTATTTAACTTTTTTAAATTGGAAAAAGAAAAACAAAAAACAAAAAAAACCCAGCGATTTCCAGATTTTTGGGTCGGTTGGATGAAGGCAACACAACAAGTTTTTTATTTTTGGCCTAAAGTTGAGCTGGTGATACAGAAAGAGGAATCCTTCACAGCAGTTGGTGAAGGCAGAGATAAATGTTGGCCGAAAAAGGAAAAGTTACATAGCAAATTTGCTTCAGAGAAGTGAGTATTTAGTGTTTTCAAATGCGCCTTAACATTCAGAGTTTTCTGAACAGATATAAACATACGACTAAGGGATTACTGTTTCATGCAAATAAAGCAGCATCTTACAGAGGGAAATGAGTTAGGGTTGGAGTTACCTTGCGTTTGAATGAGCATTGCCAAAAAAATAATCAAAATCAAAATTTGACATTGATCCAAAACGATACACATAATAAGCTTTAACTATACATGTACATCTACAAAACAAAAGATACAATCAGCTGGACAAAAAACAAAGCAACTGCGAACGGAAGTAACATAACCAAAATAAAGAAAAGAAATCAAAGCAGCTACTAACATTGTCCCGTTGGATGACGGGACAGGAGTAGTTGGATGTAACGGAAGAGGAAGAATATGAGGCAGGGGTGTTGGCAAGGAATGGTTGTGGAGGCGGCGGCGGCTGTTGGCGCGCGTAAGCATCGCCGTTTGACGACGCCGGCAAATAGTCCTGATATCCTTTCACCTTGCCCGGGGGGCTGTCCACCCTAACATCCGTCATGGAACTGATGATGCCGCTATCAGCGGATACCTCATCACTGTCCACCCGGTGCCCTTCCTTCAAGAAGGCGTCCAAGTCGTCTCGGCTGCTGTACGTGAAGTTCTGGATGGCGGCGGTCGTTCGACGCAGTGAGTCGTAGATGTCCTCCGAGTTCATGTTCTCGGCGTCGAATTCCGGAGGCCCGTTGCTGGCGTAGCTGCCCCGGGGCGAGGAGTCCGTGGAGCGTGGGGAGGCTTTGTAGGGTGAGCGAGGGGACGCCTTACGCTGGAGGTCTACGGCTATACTCTAAGATATATCAAGATGGAAAAAAATTATTAAATTATAGGCTGTTATCAAAGGTAATAAGCTCCAAATCAATTTGAATATCATTTTGTAATGAATTGAAATCAAAGATTTGTATGAACAAGTGAAATGTTGTATTCCATACAAAGTTTGATTCAAATTATCAAATCACAAACGACTTTTGTTTTAGTGTGGATTGGAATTTAACAAAGTGCTTGTGTGTATGATGTGATTACTTGGTGCAGTTACAAACAATAAACCTGAATGTCATCACAACAGTCAAACGAACATTCAAACAACAGCAAACTTGAACGTGTTAGTAAAATGTGTAGGTAACGACTACAAATGGTGATAACATGTGTTACTAGACCTCTGGACATACCATGCTATTGGTAAGGTTAGAGATGAGACGACTGTAACAAGTCTACTATGCTTCTATCACAGCTACCGGTATTGTTAGATTGATCTATGATGTGCATGTGCCAATTTCATACAGTTTCGTTTCGGGTTGAAGAGAGAAAATTGAATCAAATGAGATCTGAACCTTTGACTTCCAGATTTCAGTACCGGTGCTCTGCCAACTTTGTTTCTGTACTGCCAATGTCTTTGTTTAGGAATTTCTACTCCACAATTTTGACGCCATAAAACCCATGCAGGCTGTATGGCAAGGGATCAATCCAAAGTCTCCAAAATCTAAAATACTTTGCAAGACCATCTGATGAGCAACATTTTGCCGAAAACCAGTAAAAAAGCAACACAAGCGACAGGTTTTGAACAAGTAATCGCCAATTGTGCTCTGGAACTGTCTAAAATTGGCTCATGTTGCAGTGTTCCAAAATAACGAATAACAACTACTGTTACTGGACTAACAATCATCACAAATATTCAATGCATGCAACTACATCACAACTGTTACAATACAGCAACGATACTCATAACTACCGATGCAGAAAAACAAAAAACACCTTATAAAAATAATCTAGCATTTCATGGCTACTTACTCTTGGAAAGTGTTTTCTAAGCTTTATCTATTCCTAATTCTTTTCATAACAAAACTACAAGTACGTTATGAAAATGGCAGTGTGTAAAAATTGTGCATAAATTAATATTTTTTGTTTTACTAGCAAGGTTGATAGTATTTGTTTGGATAAAAAAAAACTATGTAAGCTACATGTGTCTCAGAGGATTGTTTATGATAGACAAAACGCCACTGCAAGAAACAATGACGGACAGAAGATGAACTTCAGTCAGAATTTGTAAAAGAAATTTGGAAGATAATTTAGAAAGGCCTGCCGAGTAAACTATTCTCAAGACATTCTCGAGATTGATGATAGAAGTGGAATTTCCGACAGTATCACATAAGCCATCCAGTGACTGTCGTACAATTCATCAGGCGAAATCTCACAGACAAGTTGCTGTTTACAACATGTTTAGTGATACACTCAGCAGAAAGTTGAGTTTGATATGTTTGATGCTGGTATCTTTTGGGTCACCATACATGTAGGAAATATTAAAGTGATATAGTGTAAAATAGGAAGTGACAACAAATTATGGCTTCATTTTGCAAGAAACACAAACATTGCTCAGAGATTTTGAAAAAAAGTAAGAACAATATTTTTGGCTTTTTTGGTTGTATATTTTCATATTTCAACAGTTGCCGTCGTAAGTGTAGCAAAAGTATACGACATTTTTAGACGTTAATTGCCTTTCCTCTGGAGGAATACTGCACGACAACTAATCTTTTTCAACTAAAATTACAAAATGTAACATGGCTGGTTACAGGCACATTTACTTAGGTCAACACATCAATTCAAATGAGCAATGAATTGCAATGAATTGATATATATTAGACAGTAACAAAATATATGAACAAGAGCATGTAGGTCAAAAAAGCGAAAATGAAAGGAAATCAACAACAACAAGAAAGGAATGTTTTGCATTTTGGGAAAATTCTGATATAGAAGGTACACCATGGTAGATTTACAAGGATCCAATATATTGGGGCAGGAAAATGAAACGGCTTGTAAAGGATAAAAATGTAGAGGATAAAATGTGAGGAAATCAGGATAGGGAAGACCAGGGAATTGTACAAAAATGTTAATTTGAGGAATGTAAAGGATAAAATGTGAAGAAATCAGGATAGGGACGACCAGGGAATTGTACAAAAATGTTAATTTGAGGACTAGTATGTATGTATAACTGGCGAGGAAAGGGAGAACGATATATACGTCTGCATGAGCATAAATACAGGATGCTAGGAGGTCAATGTATCTCCAGGGTAATAATATACAGGAGGCTAGGGAGTCAATGTAACTCTCAATGGCTACAGGTAGCTACTCATGCGTATAGCCATTAAATCAATCGGGCAAACTTGTTACACCACCATCACCACTGCACACGCCATGCTTTTCCTTTTGTGTTACCTCGTTTTCATTGACTGTAGCGTTGCGGAGGTGGTTATGTAAAAGCCGGGTGGCACCGTCCTAAAAAAACAAAACAGGGGAAGGGGTCGAGAGAAAGGGACGACATGAAGGCATGCGAGTACATACACCAAGGAACTAAGATGGATAGAGGGTTCCTGCTTTTTTGTGTGTGTTAGAACAGCGCCCTCTTGTGGCGTGACTTGGCAGGCCGATGGGTGGCAGCCATTTAAAGCGCAGCCAAAGTTGCATTAACAGTCACGTCATTGCTGGTTTTCTTATGAAGATATTTCTCTGTCAAGCCAGACACATGGTTTGATGTTTGACTGACGTCGTTTGTGCATGAAGGTATTGTCCAACAAATGAGTATACTCTTCAAGAGCGCGTTCGATTACTTCACGCGCGCTTACCCGTACTTTCGTCTTGGGTATAGATGCACATGCGCAATTTGTAGCAATACACAAACTATCTAGGGTTAGCTCGAGGTCGAGCCATAACAACCGGACCAGGTCAAGAGGTCATGTGGCGATTACATCCCCTTTGCAAATGGATTTGAGCCGTCGAAAGCAAGCCACATGGTGGCCACTGTACGTGCTCTTCCAAAGCGAACAAGAAATGCGGGGTACGTTTAAAATTAATTTAACTTTCCTCCCGTCGTCTGGCACTACTAGAGTGAACGGAAACTGAGACACTTTTGAACCCCCCACCGCCGCAGTGTTATACTTAGCCGCTATGTTTTCGCATAGTATTGTGGGATATTTACCCAAGTAACCGGCTCAGCAGGTCAGTTACTTGGGTAAGCGAGAGAAGTCATGTGAGAGTTCAATCGAATGCAGTCTGGCTTGCACGAGTAAGCATGGGGGAAGTAATCGAATGCGGGGAAAATGACGCGTATACTGATGCATGGAGCTATGGACTCCATGCTTGAACAGAAAGGGAACTTCCTCGATAGTCTGCCTGTCTTTGCTACAGTTTAGGCGGAACTTATGCAAACAGTCCATAGGCCTGTCTGGCTATTACAACCGCAAGCTAATCCTGAGGTGGTACCACTCGTTCTCGAATCTACTAGCACGAGGAAAACTTTTGCAGCCTTACTGAACGCCGAGTGCACAAGTACCAACCGCATACGAGCATGGAGCACTTCAATAACGCCTTTCCATTGTCCCCGTTTAGGTCTATAGTTGGTAACAGTCAAGACTCCACACTTGTGTCTGTGCCAGCACACAGTCGTCATTTTGTGTTAACACCCAAAGCTTTTCACATGCTGTCATTTTATGCATGTTAGTAGTACAGTCCACATTGAGGTTTAGAGTTTTGATTTTGACGATAAGCAAGAACCCTCTATAACTGATGGCTATTAAGAAAAAAAATTCAATGTATGTCACCGCTACAGCTGCCCCCAAATCAAAAAGAGATGCTTGCCATTGCTGTTGAGAGTATCTTTGATATTTTTGAAAAGAGAAGCTGTGTCATCAATGACATTAAGTATTACCCTGTACCACTGTGACGTCAAAAATATATCATCTGCCAAAGGATTTGAAAACTGAATTCCTTTTTAAACCATTAATTTATACAGTGCCTCCCCAAAATACCGCAACAATTTTTTGCAGGGCTCTAGCGTCGCCGCGGAAGCACGTACCATCGTTATTTTTTTATATCATTTTATAGCTTGGAATCTTAACTTTATCCCTAGTAAGCATTGGTCTGATTTTCAAAGGGTTTTGAAATTATTTGTGGTCAAATAAAGGCATATCAAAAACGAAATCAACCGATTTCAAGGAAAATCAATCATGCGCATTTTTTTTCTAATGTGGAAATGCTTCATCATGTTCAGGATGTGACGATCTCGTTGCCTTTTTACTTGCAGTGTTTCCTTTTCCTTTCGATCCACGTAAACTACACCTTAGACAATTCACAATATTGTTCTTTGTTTCAAGTTCAAAGTGTTTTGAATATAAATAAACTTTTTTGTGTGCTATTTCAGCAGCTTGTTGACACGAGTTTGCATCTGATGTAATGCATCATCGATGAAATCGGTTCAGTTTGTTTTTCGACAGGCTTTTATTTGAACACAAATAATTTTAAAACTCTTTTAAATATCAAAGCATTACTCGCCAGAGATAAAGTTAAGATTCCAAGCTTTAAAATGGTATAAAAATAATGGCGGTACGTGTATCCGCGCCCTAGAGCCTCACAAAAAAAGAGTTGCCGGTATTTTGGGACGCGCTGTACAACTCAGAATAAATACAACCATACCTGTCTATGGGATTCATTGTGCATCTAGGTCTGTGACGGAACTACTCAATTACTGTGAATGTTCATAACAGGCTGCATGTGGCTACACCAACAATTCACTACAAAGGAGCAGGTTATTGAAACTTTAAAACCATTACTGTTAACCTTCCATTTTGTTTTTTTATAGAATTCATTGCAAAGATTGTGCCAGGGTATCGTAAGTGTGATCCTGCTGGCAATTTTGAAGAGAGGAGAGAAAATACGAGATAACAAAGCTTAAGAAGATACAGGATGGATCAGAGAACAACACAAAACTGTGGTGAACTGCACGTGAAGCAAGCAACAAACGTCACAAAGAAAATGTGCGGTGAACAGTGCAAGAAACTCAACGTGTAACAGATGCAGCAAGGGTGACTTCTATTTGGGAATATTTTGATTTTCAGTAGTAATAAAAAAAACCACACACACAAAAACAACAGGGAAATCTATTCTTTCAATATGTGACAACAAAAGAAACAGTTGTACAATTTTTGCACCAGAATTTTTTTGAAGTTTTTCCTGACTTGACCAACACTGGAGTTTTTTGAATAGCTGTGTTTTTATGTGATTAGTAAAGTAAGATCATCATGTAAGGATTTCAGTTTCTAGAATTGACAAAAGGAACGTTCCAGGACACTGTATCTGTATTTTGAAAAACCAAAAAGGCATTTGGAATACATATCTGAATTGTTTTTGTACAGTCAGTACTTTTGATTCTCAGTACTAACTTAGATATTTCTCTTTTAAAGACATTTTCAATTATCTTAAGACTGAAGTGATAAAACCTTTGCATTACGAAAGAGAAAAAACTTTCCAAACAAATTTTCAACTGAAGCATCTGGGATTTTTATCTTTTAACAAATCAAATACACTGACAACACAAAAAAAACTAAATTCCATTTCATGCATGTTCTTGACAATTAAAAAAAAAAAACTTAGTTCCAGGGATGTTTCTACGATTGTCTTGCAAAGTTCTCTCGATGTATTCTGGGGATTATTACCTATGGACAAATCCAGACACATGATCATTGTACACTCACGAGGCCCCCTTCAATGGAGAACCATTGTGTACGCTATTGTACAAAGCAACTGCCCCGTGACGGATTATCTGAACAATAGCTAGCACAATGCTTTGAGCCACTGAAGGGGACCATCGTGATAGAACTAATAACAAGCCCGGAGTGGTCCATATTTACACAAGTATTTTCACTAAATGAAACTTGCATTGATTGATTTGACCATAAGCCTTGTCCACTTTCGTCTCCCCCAATAGGTCTCGTTACAGATGACGTCATTTCCTACAGACCAGCCACGTGCATCGGCATATTGAGCGTGAACTTGCATAATGCGCATCGGCTGTGTCGTATTTCGAACACATTTCGAGCAACAAGCGCGCATGTTTGGAACATTTTCAACACTGCGCAATGCGCGCTTGATTGCGTCAAATACGCAGGTGCAGTTCTCATACAGAGATGGCCGTCATAGAGCGAGCCCTATTCTACCAATACATGTTCCGGCCGTGTGCATGGGCTTTTGTCGGGAATTTGGCTGGGCAGTCACCGCTAAGTTTGCTCAAATACATCACGCGATGGGGCTTACAGGAAACGATTTTGTGATGCAAAAATACTGTAGAAGATATCTACCTAAAAACAGAACTCAGGAAATAAACTAAAAGCAGAGAGAATATCTTTGAATGTATCGTGATAATGTCAACAGTTTGGAACATCACTACAGAAGGGTAATGTGATAATACTGCGCTACAACTGTATGGAATAACATGCCAATAATAGACTACGGTACGTAGTAGAGACATGTGTCTAACTGTAGTGCTGTACAAGATTGCTAGAAAGTACTAATGTTTCTAAATATGCTGAGAAGTTTAATCTTCTTTGAAGTGCGAGGAATGTTGAGGTTTACTAGAGATGCTGGTTGGACCAAGGATTGGATACGAGCTAGTGGATTCTCTGGGAGTTAGGAAAAGAATTCACCTACCACAAAGACAGCCAACCAGAAGCCATAACACTGGCAGAGAGATGGCTATGAAATGCTGTGTATTTAGTTTGAACCTTTTTTGAAAATTAAGAATTTTTTCAATTTTCTCACCGACTTACCACAATGGTTTTATGTCTCTATTCAGATTTTTTGAGGCAGACAAAGTTTTGTTCTTGACTATACAGCTCAGTTCCTTATCCAAGGAGAGTCTTGAGTTGGTAATTGATGCGTAGGTATGACATCAACCAGGAACTTTACTAGCTTTGATTTTCTAACAGAGACACTACATTTTTCTTCACATAAAACCAAAACAAACTGATTTTTTTTTAGGCTAAGGAATATAGATTCAGGTGCTACCAATCACATAAATTGCACGCCATGACAAGAAACAATTTATTTAAAATGATGGGAAAATCAAAATCAAAGACAGTTTCTTATAAAAGTGTAAAAAAAAAAAAAACCTCAAAAACAAAACAAAACAAAAACAAACAAAAACAAAAGAAAGGAAAAAATCCACACTGGATAAAAGCAAACCACATTTTTCTTTTTTTCATTCACTCTATGCTAAAACTGCTACAGTTTCATTCACATGCACTTGAGCTAGGATGCACACTTCAAAACATGGGTGATGGGTTGTGTTTTTGGGCTAATCTAGGTCACACAGTGCACAAACATTATGGGCGACCTGGGTTGAGACTGGGCGTGACTGGGCGTAACTGGGCTTACCTGGAATGTCTTGGGCAGCACTGACAGCATGGAGCTGAACTCGGGTGTGTTGAGCTCAAACAGCGCAATCAGAACAGACTGGGATGCCTGCGGAATAGAAATCACAATATTCCAATGCAAAAAAAAAAATATTGAAGTTGATTTGAGTGATGTGGCTAAGTCTAGTGTTTGAATGCAAGATCTTGTAAGGAATCCAGCAGACGTTTCAGCCTGGGTTGTAGTGTGTGTTTGTGTCTTTGAGCAAGACACTTTGCAATAATTGCTTCTCCCAACCAAGGACTTCATAGTTATCTGTGAAAGCAAGCTTGTCAGAAATGAAACTGGCTTATGGGGAAAAAAATTGAAAATAGGCCCAACAAAAATCTGTGTCTGAAATCTTGACTGCACTGCAGTTACACATGTACATGTACAATACACTTCATGTCCAATATCCGGAAACTACCCCCTGTTATATTTTAGATCCAAACAAAATTTTACGATGAGAAAATGTTCAGTGTTTTCATAAAATTAAAAAGCCTGAGTAATGGACTTGTCAACAAAGAAGTTCACTTCTTACTTGAAAAAGTCAATGAAAAAAACTGAAAACAAGTGCACCATTCATAACACCATCTAATCATGTCCATGATTTAACCACACAACTCCACTACTAACGAACGTGGGAAAAAAATCAGGCTTTATTGTCCTTTTCTTCCAACAACTGCCAGTTAAATGTATCACTTAAATGTCTCACCGATCATTATCGTGATTTTTAAAGCACTGCATTTTGTACAACTAAATCTGAAACCTCAGAAAATCGCACATGTGGATTTTATTGTTGTCAAACTCCACGTGCAACAGCCGCTCTATACATAGTTTCAATCATGTCATATGTCGATGCTTAAACTTATTTTCAGTCAGAAACTCTCCAAATCTGGGCTTAATTATGTACATCTACCATACAAATCTGTGCACTGTCGACTGGTGGAACAGATTAAAATTGCGCTCGCAATACAGATGTCGCGGAGAGGGTTTTCATCAAATTTGTTGAAATTTAATTTTTAAAAAAATCAGACTTTGCGGGGAAAAAAACTGTCAGAAAAATCAGAATTTTGGAAATAAATTAGAATTAGTCAGATTTCCGATTAAAATCAGAAAGGTTTCATCTCGGGCTTGCTCAGGTGGGACTCAAACCAACACCCTCCTGCTTACTGGTGCAGAGGTGTTAACCACGCGACCACCAAGATCGCCAGGATTGGCTGACTGGTTCGAATATGATATAGAACATGCATTGAAATCAATGACTTGCTTGAAGGATATTGAAATGTACGATTCCCTAACACATTTTTTTTTGGGGGGGGGGGGGGTAGGGGTGGAAGGGGGTGGAGGTGGTGGAGATGGACTGTTTACCTTTCTGACTTCAGGGTTCTTGGCCTCTTTAGTCCAGCTGATAATTCTAGAGACAGCCAGACGAGTCTCGCTAGAATTAGTAAACTGGGACGGATCCATCAATTCAGACAGGCTCTCCATGTAGCGTAGTAAAGAAACCTTGACCTTGGTGAAAAAAATGTTTAATCAATTAAAACCTGTACAACACTGTAACTAATCCCTGATGAACCATAAACAGCGCGGAGGCAGTTTTGGGCAGAACAGGCAGGGATGGGGGGGGGGGGGGGGTTACATGTACACTGGATTAAAAGTAATTCCTACTATAAATGTCGACAAAGTTTAAAAATGCTAATAAAATTGATCGCCAATGTAGATATCAGTGTTAGGACCACTGAATCCAAGCTGTGTTGTTGGTGCAGTTTCTTAAAAACAGTCATAATAGCTTCATTGACATGTCACGAATATTAATATTCTTTCACATGGTTGCTTGGTTCTACGGTCACATCTACAACAAGTATTGTTTCTCCAATCTTGGAAAAGCATAAAAAATATCCCCTTTTTCAAAATATAGTTTGATTTCTTTGATTTTGGACAATTCATGAAGGTTCCGCTTCAGCATAAATTGTCTGGGTTGAGGAAACTGCCTCTTTCTTTCTCAACCATGACCCAAGACTTATGTAGCGTATATGTCTCTGAGGCTGCATTCAAATTACTTGGCTACGGCTCGCAATCACACATGTGCCTATGGATACGGCTGCAGCAACTTCACATAGACGCATGTGTTTAAGTGAGCCATAGCCTTACAATTTGGGGCGCAGACTTACCTTGTTGTTTGGCGTCTGCGTCTGATCCATGATGAACCTGGTGAGAATCTTGAATTGCTGGTCATATGGAAATGCCTCCCTGTATAAAACAAGACAAACTCTCTATTCAATGAACAATTTGTCTTCGAAATACCAACCAGTGAATAATCTTATGGAGGTTAACCCTCCTGCTATTTAAACAGTCACAGACAGTCAAAATTCACTTCCACTTCCCCTGCTATACTTGTATAACAAAGGCTAGTCACCAGCAATCAGATCGTATGTCACTCAAGCACTGTGACTAGTCAAACTGGGTCAACAGACAAAGTAGGTAAATTGTGATCACAGCTGTTTTATCACTCATCCGGGGTCAAAGCATAGCTGTATCAAGTTACTTTAACAGTCCCAGCCAGATAATCCTGCTTTATGTAGGCTGGGAATTCTTAACTGTGGAAAACGGTCACTTGTTTGATTTTGACTGAAAGGACTACTTGGCACAGAATGTATGTTTGCATAGGAGGGCTAATCCTCACTATGTGGAGGTTAATCCTCATTTTGTAGGGTCAAAGTCTGAGTCACTCCTGTACTGCGTATGCTGAGATGTGCGACTGTAGACACAGCGAAATGGTTCCTACACGTACCTGACCACATCCAGTGCCCTTTGAACTTTGTGCAGCACCGAGCCCAAGAGGTCGGCCCCCATCTTCATTAAGAGGCGTGTCATCAGGACAAACAGCCAATCAGAGAGGTCGGACTTGTGGACGATGACAAACTCGACGAGGGTCTCCAGGAAGAGGCTAAAAACCTGAGGAGTTAAAATTTGGCATTGGAAACTTCAATGGTTACTTCAATGGACTCCTGAATCAAAATGTTAAGTTAGCAGTGGTTAGAAATCTGAGTTTGGTATGAAATGTCTAAAAATGTTAATCTCTGCATTATGCAATTGCAAGGAACACGAACCTTGCTGTGTGCGTCGGCAAACATTCTGGTAAAGATGTCCTGCGCTCTCTTTAACTCTGCCCGGCTAAAAAACAACAAGGAAAAGAAACAACACCAATTTAAATATGCAAGAAAGAACTAATAGGCTACTTTTTCGGTTAAAACCCCTCTACAGTTCGTTTCTGAAACAAAACCTTTGCACATTTTACAATTTCTTCAATTTTCTTGCTGTAGTTTTTTTCTTCCTAGCGTATGCATTTCAAACAATCGTCCCATTTCTGAATTGAAATGTAGTATGAGAATAATGATTCACAAGATTGACGTTGACATAAAACATCTTCAATGCTTGAATGTCTGTGTAAGCTAACAGTAGACCTTTCTTTGCCAACCAGTGGTTGGCACGTTTTTCCAACCACAGGTTGGAGAACCACGGGTTGGAAGGTCAACGCCACAAAAACAAAGAATTGCTATTACTGTTTCCAAACATATCACTGGACTGTTGAAAATACAAAGTAAACAACAAACGCTACCAAAGGCTAAATGCTTCTTTCTTTAACATAATGAGGGTGTTAGTTGTTAAAGCTATAGTCCATCATTTGCATCTATCCGAAAAGTAACTGGCGTAATTATTGTTGAAAAACATACTTAGTTGAAAGACAGCAAGGGGATTAAACTCCCTGTGAAATTCTTTTTTCTGGCAAGCTGTCATTTTGAAGTAGTCAACGAAAGAAGGCCTTTCCAACGGTGCTTCTTAAGACGCACCGTAGGAAATTTAAATTAGAAGTTCGTTTTGTAATTCGGCAAAGCGCGCGCAAGCATTGGCACGACGCACACGCGGTTGCTATAATTCGTCGGATCAATGCGTGACATCGGGTAGCTGCAATCGGCTCAGAGAGAACGTGTCTCGGACGCTGAATTCAGGCCCAATTCAAAACATGATTCAGCAACTTTTGATTTGAAATTAAGATCCTAGAATGCTGTTTTTCTTGGAATACACAGCTGAAGCTGAGCTGAAACTTCATCAGGTTAGTTGTTCAGTACCCTTCTTTAGATTTTGAGCACTTTTGTTGCTTCAGACGAACAAAATGCACAAATTACAAATGATGGACTATATCTTTAATATGCAGTTTTGGGCAATTCATGCCCTTGTGGCAGCCCATACAAAATGCTTTTTATAAACGGAAGAAAGTTCTGCAACCAACCTGAGCGGTCTGGAACACTGGAGAACATTCTGCATTCCGATGAGACCTTCCTTCCTCTCCGACCAGCCTGGACTGGCCATCTTGTTCAGGATCTCAGGAATGTCCTTCAAGAAAGACAAAAAAATATACACCACATCAAGTAAACGGTGTTTACACTCTTGTTCGATATCATGCCAACTGTTCTTGTTAACAAAACCCCATTGGCACGAGCTCCTTTGTGGGCCATGACCAAAATTTCCAAATTGCCGCCAAACCAACCTGCAAGGAAGCGTCAACTTTTGGATTAAACCCTATTCCCAAGGCCTTTTTGCAAAGAACATTCTAAAATTAACATTTTAAAATTAACCAGCCTACTGTAGAGAAACCAATAGCATAAAGCCATCGGCTCGGAAGACCTACATGTATTTGCTCTCAGAGGCAACGCCAACATGATTGTGAACTTATTTCTGACTTTATGATGCGCTGCATAATTGCTGGTTAGGGTTGGACATTTTATGGCAAGCGGCCATCTGTGGCGGATACCAGCACTTTACAAGTCTTCGTCAATCATTCATTCATTCATGTTTTATTCTTAAAATTTCAAGGGCATCAAGACGTTTTAAAAATTAATAGTGCTTCAGCTGTAACTTCAATTCAGCAAAATCCTCCCAAAACCTCTGGTGGAGTTCAAAGATCAAGGAGAGTTGGGGTTTACAGAAGCAAAGAATGGTCAATGAATAAATAGTTTGGGCTCACCTCAAAAGCACGATCTCTGCCTGAACCGAACGAACCCACTGAGCAGACGCTGGAGGTTTCACTCTCATCGTCGGAATAGCTGTCCCATCGCCTCCGACTTGCCTTAGCCTGCTGGGACTGGTCAAGCCAAGAAAATGAAGACATTCCGTTATGTGTTTTCCTTGAAAAATTAATCAAAAATCCAAAGGTGTTCTTATTAAAAAACCTTCTTGAATCCTCCAAAATCCTCCACTGTGCAGAAACCCAATGGCACACTCTTTCTACCTACCAAGTTTCAAGGTGCATCAATCCCCATGCAAAATAACAGTAGCTGGGCTCTACCTTCCTCAATCCTACAAAATCCTACAAAATTTCCTGGGTGGATTTTGAAGGATTTCAGAAGGTTTACAGCACAGTCTCAATTCCGTTTCAACACAGAATTGAGGGCGTTGCAATCAGATATTGGTTAGTAAAAAAGAAACATTTTACACACAATTCATTACGCATCAAAACCAAGAAAAGGAAAAAAAAGTAAAAAAAATTGAATAAAATAAATACATTCAGAAGTAACTAAATAAATTGCATTCCTGAGTTGGTATCTGAGAGCTGGATTTCCTAAGAGCGGTCTTTACACATCTGCATTGCAGAATATTGCTTCGGGTGTTTTGGGATTTTTAACAAAAATTTGCAGAGGCTACATGTATATATGTTTGCCAAGTTTAAACAATTTCTTTGTCAACATCAATAGTGAACAGCTTTTTCATAGCATCTTTGAATTTAAAAATTAAGCTGAGTCTTAATATGCAATTCGCATCAAAGGACTCTACGACTTGTAGAACATAAAACCCAATCGAAACAATTTTGCATGGAGCATAAACTTCACCACCGACAATTTTACTCATTGTTAAAAAAAAATTGAGCAAAAATTTCGCAAAACCAAACGGTAACTTCGGATTGCTTTGAGCTGTGCATTGTGAAATTGAGCGTCTTGTTGGGCTTGTACAGATGGAAAAAAGGGTGACTGCAGTGCATTTTGCTGTTTTGGGCATCTTGTTAATCATTTTAAGTGCTGGGATTAATTGAGTTGGGTTCAGAGCCAGGAAGGGAAATTTTTGTGGAATAAAATGAGGGCTGGGTTGTAAAGCTTGTGCTTATTATACTATTGCATTGTAAATACAAAATATGAATGTACATATAATATACTTGGCCCAAATAAAGATGAAAATCACTGTACAATCAAGAAGGTCACAACATGGGGATCCATGTATGCAGTGATCAAGTACCCAGATATACTTGTGTGCAAGCAGCAGCATACCCCACCCCACATCCCATAAAGCACTGTCGTCCCCACACTGGCAATGTGTTAGTCCTACAAGCAGGCATGCAACTTGGAAGAAACAAAAAAAAGAAGAAACTCCAATCTTTACAAGACTTTGTAGAGTGTTTTTCAACTTGTAATGGTATAAAACTTAAGTAAAAAAACGAGGAAATCAGCTGATCAGCGAGGAAAAGTTGCATACCTGTACCAGTGACTATGGCTAACAGAAATTGGCCCTCCCCCCCTACCACTGCTACATCAAGCCTCCCACCCCATGGTGAGTACCCTGGCTACGCCCCTGGTGTGCAGGGGTTGATGTGCACATGTGTACTACGATTTTAGCTTTCTTGTACAGTGAATGCTACATCAGGAGGTGCCAGGTTGGTGAAAGCAAAATTGAGACATAAAAATGATCTAATTTCATGTAGTACTAATGAGTTTCATACAATCTTGGAAGATGGATATAAAGGAAACTAAGCTAACAGTTATCTTGTGCTAGGGCTGTCCTGTATACACTGAATACTCAAATATTCGATCATTGACTGAATATTCAAAAAGCTGTTTGGCTGTTGGAATATTCACCAAAAAACCAAAAAAACTATGCACATACACACACGACTGTGATGTCATTTTATTGTAAAGTTGCGGCGCTTTAGTGTCAGGTGCCGAGTTTCTGTTGTAGGTATTAGACATTTTTGAAGATGCCAGTCCATTGTTCACATCATTATACGGTAGCTGGTTAAGGCCCTTTTACAGTTATAAAAACTTCTTCAAAACATTCCAGCACCCCATATCGATTGCGGCATGCAAATTTAAACTGGCACACTCTTTGTCTAGCACGCAGTTGCAGCTGGCAGTTTTCGAATATCCGATTATTCGGTCCAACGCAGTTTTGAGTAATCGAATACTACACTATTCTGAAGAAAGACAACCCTATCTTGTGCAAAGGTTTCAAGTTGTGGGGTTTGTCTAATGAAATGGTCAGACACACAAATCTCTAGAATTGTAGCATAATGTAGAGATTGTTTCATAATGTACATGTAGGTTTTTTTTTCAGGCTAAGGCACAATGCATGAATGCCAATCGGCTCATAATGAGGCAGAAAGTATCTAGCAGATTACTGTGAATGTTACTCCCCTCGGCAGTGCACATGTATGTAGGTTCCCCAAGGAAGGGAAAACCCCTAAGGTGGGGAAGTTCCCCTGGGGTGGGGGCATTCCCCTGGGGTGGGGGCAGTTTCTGACTAACTGTGGCAGCTTGCACTGAATGAATGGGGCAGGCATTTTCGGGGCCATGCAATGCGGTGTCTCAAAACTAATTTGCGGAATGAAATGATGTTTCGAAAAATAATCATTCACAGCAGAAAGTGGACAAAACGATCAAAAGGTCAGGGGTCAGCAAACATGCAGCCATTTGCAAATTTGTTGGTTTGTTTTTCTCGATCAAGCATGTCAGCATTCAGACATTCCCGGCCTTGCCTGTATTTTTCTCAAGAACAGCTCATTTTCAATCGAGTCAACGAGTTCCTGGTCAAGACCCTGCAAATCACTGTCGCCGAGCAAGGGCTCGCCCAGAGCCATTTGATCCTCCTTCAAGAAATTGGAGAGAACACATCAAAGACCACTCGTGTCTTGCATAAGAGATAAGGTCATTTCTTAAAAAACACACAACTGGTTCATGAAAATGACAATAAAAAAAAAGGGGAATGCAATAAGAAAATAGACCATGTGCCTTTTGTTTAAAACACTGGATATTGTGGTCACGCGATGCCAACTTTCAGCTACTAGTTCTCTTCTGTACCGCATGTAAATCTCTCGAAATATGAATGCTTTAAAAGTGTCGACATAAACTGTAGAACGTGGACTAAATAACATGCAAAAGATGGGTTGCCTGTCGGTGTTACGTCACAGGGCACATTAATGTTATGCATCTGGTTGGGTTGACAGGCCAAACCGACCCGAAACAGTAAAAATATGAACCGATTCCGAATCGAAACTGATCTGAACTCCCCAAATCCGACCTGACCTGACCCCAAAAAATTCAAGCAAAACCGACCCAAAACCAAACCGACCCGAAAAAAACCCCCGAACAGCTGGCTCGGGCAACTGTGTCCGCTTTTTGTGCCTGAACTTACCCGTGTCGCGAGAAAATCGTTGTCTTTTAGTAACAGAATCCTACCGTACGGTATACGGTTAAGACTCATAACGTGACCTACTGGTGGGCCTACATGTGATAGACTGTGCGTGAAGACCCTAAACCACATGCACATTTGCGCGGTTGGTGGACAGTCGTACCGGGCACAGTAACTCAGCAACAATATTGTACAGCGTGAATTTCCCAACTTTGATTTATTTCCGTTTATTTCGGGTTTTTCACAAGATGGCTTAACCGACCCCACCCGACCCGAAAATTGCAAACGCAAAACTGAAACCGACCCGACCCAACTGAAATGATGGAAAAACCGACCCAACCCGACCCGAAGTTGGTTTCAGGTCGGGTCGGTTTCAGTTTCAGGTCGACTTAGCACAACATTAGGGCACATGGTCTATACATTTGAAGATAAGGATGCAGCAAATAATAAAATCTAACTTGATTTCAACAACTATTTAAATTGTTTACGTCTTCACAAGAGCGAGGGCTTCTAAGTCCTTTTCTCTACACTTGCTAGCTCTAAGCATGTACTTGCTTGAACAAGACTATGCGATAGCAGTATCCAAACTCAATTGTTCACAAACTTGATTTTCTTTCACAGGATTTTGACTTTGACACCTGCCATGCTGCTGTAATTATACTCTAAATCATTATGTAGGTACTGAACCATATAAATCAGGGCTTAAAGTTAGAAGAAAAAATTGCTTCTAAAATATCCCAACATTTTATTCCAGGACAAAAAAAAAAACACCTGAGAAAAAACAACAAAACAAAACACAGTGCAATATTGATGTGCATCTTATCAACATCAGAATAACAAGTGCCGTAGACTTGAGTTTATTTTTGATGCTAACATGCAGTCAAAACCGTGTTCTCCAAAGAGCATTGATAACAGCCCATTTCAGGCCAATTTTTTTTCTAAGTTCAGTAGATAAAACAAAACAACCAGTGCATTGTAAATCTGTGATATCCATGCTCATACTGTGCACCTAATGTAAGAAAGATTAGTTCATGTGGTAACACAAGCCAGTGTTCAACTGTTAGGAATGGAATCGTAAGTGCAAACTTCCTTAGGATATTTTTTCATCCCTTTTTTCAAATTGATAATTCGTTGTCCAAAAGCATTTGACTGCGTTCAGATTTTATTATGAACAACACATAACTTTTCGATAGCCACAGACTTGACATTTCAATGAAATTTCCTGCACTTTTTATTAAAGACTTTAATAATTTACTGAAAAACAGACTGTAAGTCTGTTTTTCAGACTTACAGTTTTGTTAAATTGTCCCTTATCACATATTTTTGTAATCCTTGTACACGAACAAAGTGTCTGTGAAAGAGCAGTAATACAAAATGCAACAAGGATTTCTTTCTTTTTTATTAAATTTGGAGTGATTTGTTTTCTCTCTTTTGAGATATGATGGAATTTAACTCAGTTTTTGGTCTATATTTCTATTTTTGAGTGTTCTTTTGAACTGCATGGCAACATTGCAGTTTTGCAAATTCAGTTTTCTTTGTCTTGATGGACTTGCATACTTTTATCTGTTTTGGTTACTCAGAGGTAAAAATCATTGAGACTTGATGTGCGTACGTGAAGCGTTCTGGCAAAATAAGACATAACTGGGCACAGGCCATAGTGGAGAAAAATGAAGAAAAAAAACCACCCAAATAGCGGTGATTTTTGTTCTATTTTCAGATTTATTGATATTTTTAATCTGTTATGTCTACTTCACATATTTTAAATAACTATTTTAAAAATCATGGATATTTTTTGTAGTTTTTTAAGGAAAAACAATTGGCATCTTTCACTTTCACCACTACAAAACTCTTAACTGTAAAAGCGTTTTTCCCAGTATTTTTACTTTTTTGACAAGTCGATAAATGCGAATTTTAAACAGCCATAACTTGTCAACGGAATTTCCAATCGAAGTGCAACAAACAGTATTGTAAGGAGAATTCTATTCTCTTTCCTTATACCCACAAACCCTCATTTCGACTCTGCCCAATTCTGTCTGATTTTACCAGAACGCCTAACATATGTCCAGTTGGGATTGCAAACTGGTTTTGTGATCCAACCTTACAAGACGGCGATGATGAACCAATGTGATCTTACCAGGGCCATAGCCAGGGCCGTCTCCGCATCCTGACCCGGTTCCAAGACTCGTTGGGTCAAGATGTTCCCCTTGTGGTTCGCCTCTCGTTGGGCTTGACTCCCTGAAGAGTTGCTTAGACGACGATCTCGTGAGGCTACAGTAAGAAGATAAGAAAATGTTTCAAACTCACCATGCTTTAACTAAAGACTTGAATACCGACGCTACATATTAAGGATTGGGCTTCATCATATTCAATTTCTGTGATGACAATTTTACAAATGAAGAATGTGTCTTAAGTGACAGCTATACATCTGGAAGTCATAACAACAAGGTAGAATGTTATTTTAAACTTTTTTTAAATTTTAATTGATACATGTTCATTGTTAATACTGTTCGCTTGAACCAGTGATTACAATTTTGCAATTGAAAACTGTGTCTTACATGTCAGTGAAACTTATGCAACTGGAAGTTGCAAAAAGCAAAATTCTGAACTTTCCACAGTTTTTCAAATTTTAGGTGCATGATCTAAAGGGAAAAGTTGCATCCTTGAAATGATATGAGCCCAATTTCATAGTGCTGCTTAACGCCGTTTTTTGGTGCTTACTCAGTCTCTGTCAATTTCATAGAGACTGTAAGCAGTTAGCGCAGCAAAAGCACGCTTAACTTCAGAGAAAAAAGTTGCTTAAATCAGTGACGTGACGATAGAAATCTCCATGCAAGCACAACCGTTAGCACGTCCACACCAAGAAATAGTGCTTAAGCTCAGCATGATTTTCTGCTATAGTAAGCACAAGTTTTCTGTTGTTAAGCAGCACTATGAAACTGGGCCCTGCTTGGAGAGCTTTGTCAATTGTTTTTCTTTACAAATCTATTATTTTAAGTATTTATGTTATAAATTTCCGTGAACATCACACATTAGTATGACAATGGAAAGAGTTTACACTAGTAACAACTAACACTAGTAACACCTAATCTAGCTTGATTAGGTAAAAAAAACACGACTGACCAAAGTTGTATCTGCTGGGGCTAGCTTCCCTGCTGGTCCCCTGACTACGAGGCACTGGTATCCCGCTCTTGTTGCGTCGTCTCGCTGCGGTAGCTGCGCTACCGTTCACCGCTATGCCTTGCTGCAAGCGGAGTTGTGACGGGGAACTAGAACGGCTGTTTGTCCGACTACCAGCTGAAAATCGTGTCGGACAATAAGCAGGGTTTAAATTGTCGATCATTTCCAATTCTTTAGAACTACATTATGAACAATTCACTTTTGTAAAGTGTAAAGGGGCAAGGGGGGGGGTGCCGTTAGGTGTAGGGATATTACTGTTGGGAAGGGGGTGGGGGAAGGGGTGGGGAGGGGGGAGGTGGGCGTAGGGGGTCAGGGTTGGTGGGGTGGTAGGTGGGGTAATGTGAACTTACGTTGAGATTGTGAGACGCCAATTCTACTCTTTGTTCTGCCCATCCTTCCGTTAAGTGTAGGGATATTACTGTAGGGGAGGGGTGGGCGGAGGGAGGTGGGCATAGGGGGTTGGGGGGGGGGGGAGGTGGGCGCAGGGGGTCGGGGAGGTGGGCGCAGGGGGTCGGGGGGGGGTGGGGTGGTAGGTGGGGTAATGTGAACTTACGTTGAGATTGTGAGACGCCAATTCTACTCTTTGTTCTGCCCGTCCTTCCGTTAGGTGTAGGGATATTACTACGTCCCGGTGTGGTCGCAGCTAAACAATAACAGAATAGGTTCAACTAATTAATCAAAATTCTTTAATTACTGATTTCTAAAATACTGCCAAAAAACCCAAAGAATACACAAAGGCAACTTTCTACTTACAGCGGCTGAAATTACGGCCTGTTATTGGAAATATGCTATTTTTTTCCGAACAAATATTGCACTGCAAAGTCACACTCACGGTGCCTGTGACAACTCAATATTAGTTTTTAAGGCAATTTTTGTCCGAGTAGTTTTCATAACTGAATTCACCCGCTGCATTTCAACAGACCATTTAAGACATTCGACACAGTTCTATCATAAGCCTTATCAACACGATTTTTTGCTGCTTTTGTTTGTCAACTTTTTTTACACATTTAGTTTCTTCAAAATGGCTGCTTCTCACGACATTCTAAAAATCAATTATGATAAATTGAGGTTTGTTTTTCTAATCTTAAATAGTCTTTCTTCATGTGAACTGGATTTATACTCACACACATCCAATGGTTAGTTTAAAACAAGTCTCGCACTAATTTCATTTTATTAATCCTAACCATCCCCATCCAGTCAAACTCCAACACCAGTGTTTGTTGGAATCTGTTAGGGTGAGTACTGCACTAGTAAACTGATTATGCTTTTACATGGGTTAGGCATACCACAAATAATAAGCAACTGTTTATGTGTACAGTTTACCGCATGGTGTTGGAATTTGCAAGGGTGAGGAAGGGTCCTAGTAAATCACCCTAGGGGGTTAGGGTTAAATTAATAGAAACATTTCAAATTAGCATTGAAACCGTGAGGGCCTTGGTGCTCCCTTGTGTGGTGAGAATTCAAAAAGAAAACGTGCCCAATGTCATACAATGGATTAGCACCGATAGCCTTGGCTTCGATGCTGATTTAAAATACTTCTGTTAAGCACCAACAATTTCTGCAACCAACAAACACCGTTTTTTTTTGCAAATAAACTAAGCAATGCTACAAGGATTTAATTAGAAAACAAACCAAGCAGACCAATCTTGCTGAAGAGGCTTTCAATTAAGCATTGTTTTGCAAGTGGCAAACTGTGCAGATTTCCCAAACAATCATGAGAAGCATGAAGCAAAATGATAAGTAGCGAGAGAAGTTTGATGTAAGAGTCTGTCAACAGATATCATTTTAGGCCCGTTCTAGACGCCATTCGACTGCCGCGCCGAACTTGATTAATTTGGCATGGTGATAGAATAGCGTTAAAACCATTTGGCTCGGCGAATCGAGTTTGGCATAGCAACACACCTAATAGGGCGACAGGGCTGTCGCGCTATCGCCGTTCCGAACGGGCAGTGGCACAACACTGATCCAAACGCCGTGCCATTGCCGTGCCGAAATCAATTCAATTCAAAGTTGGGGCAAACATTTTAGGAATGCACAATACCCTATCTTGCGTCCACATCACAGGGAGTGAAATTGGCAGGAATATGTTGATCGCGCAAAAAGTTCAATGAATCGCTTGAACTGCTTTCACCTGGCCAGTAACTCCATCTGCATTAAGGTTCGACTATTAAGTTTGGCATTTAGAGCAACTGCCGTGCTGTGGACAAGCTATTGCCGCGCTCATTTTGATTAGTTCGGTGTGGTAGTAGAACGGCGTCTAGTACGGGCCTTATTTACCAATGATAGCGTGGGACAAAAGGAATACTTGGAAGTGAGTGAGAGAGGGCAGAGAGAGGCACAGAGAAAAAAGAAGAAAATCTATGTTGATTCAGCTCATTATTCACTCATATTTAGGAGTTTGCTTGCACTCAGAAAGCGTACATGCCAGCAAATCGCTGAGAAGCAAGGGGATTTCATTGCTATCTCACCAAAAAGAATTTACCATCAAGTCAGAAGAAAAAAATACAAATGTAAAATTTAGAAAACTAGAGTGCACTAAACTGAAGTAACGGGGAAAACTAACAGAAAAGATATTACATGTAAATTTGAACAGAAATGCAGTTTTGAGCCAATTACAACTACATGTACATATTAAAGAACGCAGCAAGAAAATTAAAAGACAAGGTTAATCAAATGTACGACATATTGTAAACTTCATCCTGCTCTCTTTATAAAAAAATAAACAAGAAAAAATATGCAAAGTCCCACCTAATACTGCAGCACTACCAATATTTACCACACGGACACTACACAAGAACCCATACCACATATTTATTCTTGGCACAACCAAAGCTTTAAGCAACACACAAAGGACTGACACTAAAATCTTGAACTATCAAAAAAAAATAAAGAATCCCTTTGGATTTGAAATTTAAGAATAAAGGTCAAGAATGCCACACCTCTTCTCCTGCGCAAGTCGGCTCCTGATTGGTTGATTTCAGAAGGAATTACGTCAGAATGAAATATAAGCTAACAATTCTTGCATACAAATTAAGAAATAAAATCTTGTGTTTTCTACCCCAAGCCTTATTCATAAGTGTTTTATTACAGGAAACCTGAGCAGTTTAACTAACAAATGAAAATTTTTAATTGCAAACAAATCTGCATCAAAAACAGATGGAGGTTTTTTTTTTGGTTTTCTTCTTTAACCCATTTTTAATCCAAATTACAAATAAACTTATTGAGCATTAAGTATTATCTCCTACGGAGAATCTAAACGGTTTGAAATCTGGTATGGAACCTTGCCTTCTACTGGAAAATACACTTGAAAATCAGATAGGGAACCCAACCTCGCCTCCATGGGCTGTGTGCGAATTCCTTCAATAAACCTTGGCCGTGTAGAATAACGAAAGCTGAAAGACTATTCAGAACGTACTGTACGCATATTTCAAAGGCTGCACGAACTATATGCATTGTGCCATCCACCGCACACCACGCCTGAACATTCTTTTCAAGACTGTGCGATGCCTCAACAATATGGATAGTCTGGAAGGCTCTGTTTTTTTCACAAAAATACCTGTATTTTGTGTCGTAAAAGGGAAGACTGAGGTACGCACATTATGCATTCTAGCAACGCGACGTCAAAATCTCATCTCTGAAAGGATTGATTCTAAGAATTTGATTCTTCAAAATAGAAAGCACTACGTCGCGCGTTAAACACATCGACTGCAGTCCTAATTGAAATCTACCAAATAGTGGGAGATTTGTAATTACAAAATACCAGGGGTTACGATCGTGCAAGGCACGGTGGGAAGCAACATGGCGCAGTAAGATCGTACACATGGGAACGAGGTTGATAGGGAACCTACATTTGTAGACTTCCATGGTGATAGTTTTCCAACATGCTTCAAGATCTGGTATAGTGCCCTGACTTCTATTATAAAAGACTTACAGAAACTGATGCAATTGATGAGGTACCCGATGCAAATGTTATCAAAGAATAACTCAACACAACCATAAGAACAGAAAGAGAAACAACCCCAGTCAAAAGCAACAAGTTGGAAAATTAGGCATGCATGATTAATTTACCCAGCAAGTTTTCCCTAGATGTTGACTTGGATCTGGGCATGCGAGCCGCCATGCCGGCTGCGCTCGTGTTGGAAGCGTAGCGGGAACGGGATCTGGAGGCCGCCGCGAGGTTGACCTCGCTACTGGAACGCTGGCCAAGGGCTCCGCTTTTGTTGCCATCTGCGATATGTGGAGGGGAGGGAGGGGGTCATGATGGATAAAATGGAGGACGGAAAAAAATGACGATTTTCGAAAGGACAGGGTGATGATTGGGTTGGGATTGGACAAACAAGACAGACAGATGTAGAAGCAAAACAGAACAAACAGAAATAGAAACGACAGGACAGATTGATGCATATTATTTCAATAATAACGAGTACATGGATAGATACAGTATAATTAGAACCATTGTTTCGATATCAAAAAACCAGAAAAGGGAACATATGAAAACCATAGCGACAGAACAGTTAAGAAGACAGCACAAGGAACGGTAGACAGACAGGGAGACAGAAAGAGAGACAGACATGGACACACAAGGGTAGGGGAGCCCAGTTTAGATTAACATACAGGGACAGTGTCAATGTTAGAAGAACAGAAAGGATACATAATGACCATGGGTGAATAAATGGGCACGATATGGTTTTATGACAAATGGAGTATAGAGCAGGGTGGTATGAAACGTTGTGAGCGAGGAATAAAAACAATACGGAAATCAATGGTCATCAAAGTCTAGTACCCAGACACTGCAACATTTGTTAATGTGCACCACCCATGGTAAATGCTTTGCTGAGTGTGTGTTTAAATATAAATATGTAAATGTGCAGATTGAGTATTCTCATGTATAAACCAATATATGATGCCATCACCTCAATACGGTGCTACCTTTCACAACAAAAATAACATAAACCAGAGCAATTTGGAAGTTTTGAAGAAACACACTTGGTACCGATTGAAGTGGTTGAGGGTTTTCAAATGGATTTGATTTTGGTGAGTGTTGTAGGGAAGACAGGTGTCTCTTCGACATCGTAACCGCATGATCCATTTTGGACACTTCGTTTTACGGATCACTTACATACATGTAAATTGAAAACATTCACATATGATTCTTCATATAATTCTAGATAATTCCGTCAACATCGCAATACAGTACCAGTTTTGTTTCTTCAAACCACCTATATTTGTGATGATGCTCGATTAAATTCCATCTTTATACCTGTTTTGTCTGTGTGTGTATTGGGCCTATAAACTAGGAAAAACAGGTGAAAATAAAACGAGGTTAATAAGTGACCTGTAAACGTTAGAAAATTGTGCTCACAAAACTGAAAGTACTTCTTTTCCAGTTTATACTGGCTGCAAAGAACTTTTCTTTAAACAAATTAACAAAACGTGGGCTGTGATTGGCTCGAGTTAAAGACTCTAAATATCAAGTGTAAAATTTTTGTTTTTGTTTTTACTTTACTCTTTAGCTAAAATGTTACGCTTAAAGCTATAAAGTGAGGTCTGAAATTCTGAATTCTCTGACATTCGAATGAACGGCATTTCGCGTGACAATGACATGCGTCTTTCATCATCAATGAAATTGGTGTTGTATTCTGGGGCGATTAGTTTTCACGAACTTTTGCATGGTGCAAACAATGAAAGGTTTGACAAAGTGAAGCATGTCGTTGGACAATGTCTGTGGCATTGCATTCACACTTGTTTACACATGATCATCTGCATTTCGTTACCTATTTCAGTTGTTTTCCTCCGTGTTGATCTACTGGCATAGATTGATCTCCTCGGCAACGTCGTCGAGCTGGGGGAAAAAGAAAGAAACTTCAATCAATGAAAACTCAAAGCAACCTGAACTTAAAACAATGATAAATGCAATTGAGACGATGCATGGGGAAATTCTTGAAAACTACTCACAACCTTCCAATTTGTTTGAGACATACATCAAATTCTGTTCAATTTTGGGGGGGGGGGGGGGGGGGGTTAACCAATGACTTTGCAGAGAAGATTCCATCGAAAAATAGTCACCCGTAAAAGTAGTCCTGTAGCCCATCGCCATTTTCTTAAAATGATACCTGAGCTCAATTGCAAATAACAGAGCAATTGTAGGGCCTAATTTCATCAGAAATACGAGCTCGCAGTCTTGTTCACGGCTTCAACTTTCTTTTTACAAACCCTTAAGTCTATGGCCCACAAAATGCTCTAAAACCGGAGATTTTGAGGGCATGCACATTGTGATTTCGGACCTATTTACTGGCCTGCACTCCTAGACAACAAAACACTTTATGCATAAGTCTGACGAGTCTGGCACCTGAAGTTCTCCTGTGAGCCAGAGCTGGAAGCCCTAGACAACAAAGGACCTTATGTAATAAATCTGTCTAATCTGGTACCTGACGTTCTCCTGTGAGCCAAAGCTAGAAGCCCTAGACAACAACAGACCTTACGTAATGAGTCTGACTAGTATGGTACCTGACGTTCTCCTGTGAGCCGGAGCTGGAAGCCCTAGACAACAAAGGACTTTATGTAATGAGTCTGACTAGTCTGGTACCTGACGTTCTCCTGTGAGCCGGAGCTGGAAGCCCTAGACAGGGACTTGGAGCTGAGCGATCCTGAGCTAGACGCACCACTCATGTCGCCTTGTACTGCCTTCTGCTTGGATGCATCCAGGGAGTGGAAGAGCTTGTCGGCTTGGACACGGAAATGCTCCGAAAACTTCCAAAAAGCCCTGTCAAGAAGAAAACGTATTCATTCATGACTATCATTTTGAGGTTTTTAAGCATTTATTTAACAATTTAGAAAAGCCATTGTATTTTCGAATTTGTTTAGCATTAATTCAATGATTTTTAGAGGAAAGACACTCAACGATTGAGAGGAAAGGTAAGGAAAGAACTAGAATGTTTGAATTAACCCCGACTGCCCTGAATCCTTCAAAATCCTCTTTGCCAAAGTGGAGGAATTTGGAGGACTGAGGTTACATGGCAAAGTGCCCTTATTATCTGATTTCGTAGGATACACTTTGTCAAGGTCTTAGGCCGGACCTTGCGTTGTTCTTGCTCAGCCATGCATAAATACAGGCCTGGATTATGCTTGAATCCTCTGTACTGCTCCAGCATGTCACTGGCCACACTCCCCAGAAAAGTCCGGTGGGTGGGGGGGGGGGGGGGGGGATAACTTACTTTCTTGATATAGCTCTAGCCTCACTGTCTGCATCTTCAATGCCTTTATGCACGCAATCCGAGAGAATGTTGACATGTTTCTCCAAGGAATGCGTCTCCCAATCCGTCAGAATGTTCAGGAGAAATTGACAGCTTTGTCTGTTAAAAAAAGGAAAAATATGTGATGTAGCAATGGAAATATTTCCGATTGTTCTTGGAAAATGAGGGACACTTGGCTGTAAACATCATGCCCGTAAAGACAAAGCAGTTTACAAGCACCCGACAGAATTTCATGAGGAGTACATTGCTTGTGATTGCATCTCAGCTATTTTTTTTGCTGAAAAAAGGTTGATTTTGTTATTGTTAAGTAGTAACTGATGAGAAGCAGATCCATAAACTAAGTACACTTGCCGTAAACTAATCCATCAACCACAATAAGAAGACACTAATGAGCTGACCTAAGGCTCGCATGAATGTTGCACACATTCTCAAATTTTAGAAGAACGTACGTGCCAAACAGAAGCGTATCCAGAGGGAAGCGGGAAGGGGGCGGGGAATTTCTTTTTTAACAAAACGAAAGTGCCAGTACCTCAAAGCCGCTTTTAGTAGTAATGCTAGCGGGGCTGTGGGGGTGTCACACTCCCGAATTAATATTTTTTTTGTTGACGAAATCGTAGTTTTGTTGGCAAAATTGTGTGGCCCCCCCTCCCCCCACATCTTTGTAAACACCAGCAATTATGGACCCCTATTGTCCGTAATCCCCATTCCTTTGTGAGAACTTTTTAACAAAAGCTCTCAATGGTTTTGTACACGAATTTCAGTCGTGGACTATCGGTCAATCGTGGACGTACTGTTTCTGCCCTAACCCTTTTGTCCAAGGTCCACGATTGCCGGTGTTTACTTAGTCACACACACAATTTCTGATTTTGCGGTGGCTGGCTGACCAGAAAATTCCCTTCTAGCTTCCGTTTGCTGGGCGGTCAACAATCCGATTGTCCCAGACAAAACTGGGGCAGCTTTTTCTGAAATATTACCTGTTTTACCACCCCTCCCTCCCCCCCCCCCCCCCCCTCGACCAAAAACCTGGATACGCTACTGGTGCCAATGGAATTACCAATTGCACATGCCACCTCAATATTGTCTGGTCATTGTGATCATTGAATTAGCCTGAAACTGCCGATGATTGGATACTCACCTCCTAATTGCAGTGGACTTGGAGGTGATGTTATGCTTGAAGATGGGTATTAATCTTGTTGAGTGATTGTGCTGAAAGACAACAAACAAACATAATAACAGCATGATGGAATCCACAAAAGCTTTTGGCATTGTCGTCGTTCATTTTAACCTGAACCCTGTGAGATCCTGGAAATCTTCCTGGGAGGATTTGGAGAATTTCGGAGGACAGAGGAAGCTACAGTCCAACCACTTAACAATGGTTTGATGCCAATCGAGTTACATGTCAAGTACATAGAATTTGCAATTGGTTTCTCACACATTGGAGGATTCCTGGAAAGCTTCCTAACAAAATGCCCAAGTAATTAGGGTTAATGACGAATGGCAGAAGTAGTAGGGGCCATGACATCAGGAAAACATGCCCCCTCCCCTAAAAATAGCCTTGTATTCCCTGGTCGGACCCACCCTTTTGGAATGTTGAACAGTTAAAAAAAAAAACACCTGAAAGCAAGAGAAACAGAAGTTTTTGACAACTGATGTTTGTCTTTCGATGTCTCAAACTTGTAACGTGGATACTTTTCTGTACTTCGTTTTTGACATGACCCAGAGGTTTGTTGAATTATTAAAGAACAAAAGAAAGATTTGTTCATACCTTTAGTATTATACCAAGACACACACTGCCAGATGTCGCCATTACTTTAACGGTGTTCTGTAGTAGATTGAACAGCGGTGGAAGCAGCGTCTCTGCTACATGGTCAAACTGACGGCCAAGCTTCACAGAAAAAAATCTGCACAGAAAAGTTGTAGAACAGTTAAAAGAATCTGCTGGACCTTGTTGGACCAGCATTCGTAAATTGGACCTTTTTGGCAAGTCCCATTCCCCTTAAGCAGATTCAAACAACACCGAAATATACACAGAAAACAGAAAAACAAAACAATATCATTCAGGGAGGGGGGAGGGAGAAGCATACAAAAATTGTTGCCCCCCCCCCTCCCCCCTAGAAATTTGATAGTCCTTTTTCACGAGCAGCTTGTTTTTCACGAGTGCCTATTTTTAACATCGCAGAGGCCGGGTGACCGATGAAAAAAACCAGGCTATACTTTCAGCACAGTTGAAATTGTCCCCCCCCCCCCCTGTAGCATCCAGCCTCCCCCCTTGCCCCTCTATGGTGACAATGCTGGCTATGCCACTGCCACCAGACAAAATGTCTTACAACAACTGAGAGTTTAAGCACCGGTCCAAGTAATACATCCTCTCCATTGTATATGCTCAACCGAAATACCGACCAAGACAGCGGCCGATTTACTTGATTACAGCCGGCATTAGGGAAATGGCTGCAGATTAATGGGAAATGGCAGCAGCCACTTCGATAGGCTCATGTGTGTTAGTGTAAAGCCGAAGCTAAGTAATGCGGATGCAGCCCAAGAATCTGCGAGTTAGGCTCCAATACCAGGGGTTGGCAACGATTATGTAACCAAGAGCTACAATTTAAAGGGAATATACAACATTTGCAAGCATCAAAAAACAACACTACCTAAGTATTATGGAATACCTTCCTGGACTGTTAGTGAATGAGTCTAAAGCATCCTGTAAAATCATGGCACCTGGTGTGCTGAAATTTTCAAGAAGACTTGTATTTTTGTATGAATTTCCAACGCTGGTCGGCCAACCACCGCTGGAATAAAACCTGGCTTTTTTTTCAAATACTGCCCCTAATTTACCATATTTAGTTTATAGTCCGCATTTTGTTTGCAATTGATTACACACCTATAAATGGGTACAAACGATTTCCCTGACCTTACAATTCCCTTATAAATCACTCTGTTTCATCTGAAGTGGGGTCAGGGAACCAGACTACAAGAACACGATTGTTTTTCTTAGTTTTTCCAGCATCTACGAACACAAAACTTCAAACAAGTCAGTGTAACAATATTTACTATAAAATACTAACCCCCAAGTTCTCTCATTTACGACAATTACAGTAAAAAGCAAATGTTGCATATTCCCTGTAATTCAAGCCGTTGACAAATAAACTTACGCCAATGTGATGCACCCTTCTCGCACGACCTGCGACCGGAGGTCCTTGACAGAAAACACTAAGGCCTCCTCAAGGATGCGCAGGCATGGCAGGAAACAGTCGTAGTCTGGCGCCCCGGCAATGAAGTAACTTCTCAGCTTCTTCAACTGTGACAACAGAGAAATTCAGGATGAGTCACCAGATCGAAAGTGAAAATCAAAGTTGGGAATGTGGACGTAAAATGGGCCCCCTATTCACCGCTAAGAAAACTCACCAAAATTAACAACTTCAGATTTCAAACGCGTGATAAAAAAGAAAGAAATATGTGATGGATGTGAAGTTCACATAACCAGGGTATTTAGTATAACTCCTTGCAGGAATACGGAGTTGTTGTCAAGTCAATCACAATTAAAATCACAATTAAAATCCACAATTAAAATCCACAATTAAAATCCACAAGTAAAATCCACACGTCAAATCACAAGTAAAAGCACAGGTAAAATTACCGGTACAATCACAAGTAAAATCACAAGTAAAATCCACAAGTAAAATCCACAAGTAAAATCCACAAGTAAAATCCACACGTAAAATCACAAGTAAAATCGCAGGTAAAATCACAAGTACAATCACAAGTACAATCACAAGTAAAATCACAATTAAAATCCACAATTAACATCCACAATTAAAATCCACAAGTAAAAATCACAAGTAAAATCCACAAGTGAAATCACAAGTAAAAATCACAAGTGAAATCCACAAGTAAAATCCACAAGTAAAATCACAAGTAAAATCATAGGTAAAATCACAGGTAAAATCACAGGTAAAAACACAGGTAAAATCACAGATAAATCACAGGTACAATCACTAGTAAAATCACAAGTAAAATCCACAAGTAAAATCACAGGTAAAATCCACAAGTAAAATCACAAGTAAAATCACAGGTGAAATCACCAGTAAAATCACCGGTAAAATCACAAGTCCATCACAAGTTTCATCACAAGTCAGCTCACAAGTAACAGGGGATGAGCAATTACGAAAGAATACCGTTGTCACGGTAATTTGAATAGCTTGTCGCTTGACTTGGGACTGTAGGACTTGTGATTTAGTCATCATGGAAGACAGTGATGAGCTGTGTTTTCGAAGCCTGGACTACAACAAACTTCACATGAAACTTTACAAAGCTCACGGCACACATGACATTTTCTGTGACTTACTGCATTGGTTCGCACTTCCCAATCTGCCTTCTCGTCTTTCATTATTTCATTGAGTTTATTCAGTTCCTCTTCCAGGGATCGATTGCTGAATATCTATAACCGAAAAGATAAGAACAATGATTTAATCTGATTTATACTTTGGTACAAGGCCAGGGTGAATTGAATTTGATGACCGAGTTGACATTCCCCCAATGTGAATTGTTTTCAACTTTTAAGAATTTGCAGTCTGAATACTTGATGTGACGTCTCAAGAGAATGAACCATACAACAACTGGATTATCAGGAATTTGCTTCATTTGCAAAGCCTGAAATAGTGAAAATTGAGAAAAGAATTTATTAGGACTATCCAAATACCAACATTTAAAAAAATGCAAGCGTGCACGATAGACATAATTATCCAGTATTGCTACGACAAGGTATTTTACAGATTGCAAATTCAAGGTGTTCGTGTTTCTTTATTGTTTCTTTGAACTTACTGTGACATTTGGTACATCCTCAAAGGAATTATAAAATGCATCTTCATCAACGGACCCAGCAGCAGATGAACCGCCTGCAATAATGAGAAAACAAAATTAAGAAAAGAAAAGAAAAGATCAGACAGGATTTGAAGAAAATGATTGTCTCTTTTTCACACTGGCCCTCTGACAGCAGTAAGAATACGTTTATAAAGCTTGACAATAAGGGAATAAATATGTGCTTGGCCGATTTTAAACAAGTACGTTTTAAACTGGCTACGGGCCTGGCTAAGGCCATCAGCTGCAAACAGGCCCCTAGCTGGTTTTAAATGTACTTGTTCAATACCGGCGAGGCATGAATTTATTCCCATTCATAAATACCAGTACCTTTCGGTCAAAAACTCAAAAACAAATCAAAAATTATAAATTTCCAACGATTTTGTTGAACAATTTTACTTCATGTTTTGTGAAACACCCCTCTAGCTATGTTTATGGTATGTGCCTCGCGGGAGTACTACTAACAATTTCCTTATATGGAGATGGCGCGCGCGTGGCACGACTGCGCGATGTGGCGCAGAACACAATGGTGAGGGTCACGTGTGAGGGTACAACCAATAGCAGGGTAAAAGGGGCCAGATTTCATAGGAGCCCAAATTTCATGCGACACTGGGAAAAAAAGTGTTTAAAACAACCGTTTAAAACCACCCATGTGACGGGCTCTCGACCAATAGGAATGGGTTAACTGTCTTAGGTATTTAAAAATGAAGGGTTAAGCCCAATGTAAAAAAAAAAATTAATTACACCTCCTGGGGCTGGATGTCAAATCAATCAAGATATGGATTGCCCACTGCTATATCGGATCTAAATTGGCCAGCCAGCCTCGGCAAAAACAAGCAGGAGCTTCTGCGTTCAAGTCCTAGTGGATTTTCCTGCAAGCCCTTAAAAAACTTTTACCAGTTTCCAAAGAACCAACGCGAAGAGTGAAAAAAACCCAAAACAAACAGAGACATTCACTTCAATAACTTCTTCAAGCAAAACTCTTACTTGCAGTGGCGGGTCTACTTGCTGCTGATTTCCGACTGACGCCGCTGGCCGCTCGCTTTGCTTGCGATTTGTGTCCCGCCTTGAATAGATGGAAACAATAAACGTCATTAGTATAAAGACTTAATGGTGAACAAGTGTGAAAACAAAGTGATGCAGAAGAGAGACTTTTGTTCAACACTTATGAAAAGTGATAAAGGAAATGAAGAAAAAGTAGGAGGCATGCATGTGAAAAAAAGAAGTTGTCAAAAAACTTACTGAATAACAACGCAGCAGTCAAGTTTATCAACTCAGTCTTATTTGGTACTTCAAGTACACATTTTTAGTTGCGCCAGATACTAAACAAATTTGAAGCAATGAGGCTGACACTGTATAGCATTTATTTATCGTAATATAATTAAAGCTATAGTCCATCATTTGCAGCCATTCGAAAAGTAACTGGCGTAATTATTGTTGAAAAACATACTTGGTTGAAAGATAGTAAAGGGGACTAAACTCCCTGTGAAATTATTCTTTCTGGCAAGCTGTCATTGTGAAGTAATCAATGAAAGAAGGCCTTTCCAACCGTGCGTCTTAAGACGCACCGTAGGAAAATTTAAATTAGTAGTTCGTTTTGTTATTCGGTGAAGCGCGCGCACAAGCGTTGGCACGACGCACGCGCGCGCAGTTGCTATAATTTGTCGGATCAGTGCGCGACATCGCGTAGCTGCAATGGGCTCAGTGAGAACGTGTCTCGGACGCTGAATTCAGGCCCAATTCAAAACATGATTTAGCAACTTTTGATTTGAAATTGAGATCCTAGAATGCTGTTTTTCTCGGAATATACAGCTGAAGCTGAGCTGAAACTTCATCAGGTTAGCTGTTCAGTATCCTTCATTAGATTTTGAACACTTTTATTGCTTCAAACGAACAAAATGCACTAATTACAAATGATGGACTATAGCTTTAAACTAAAAGGATAACTTTCTTCCATTAACCGTTACGCCCGCAGGATTTTTGCTTGGAAGCCTTGTAAACCCTCAATAGTTTAACATCATGCAGCAATTCAAATCACTGGCATATTTTGTGTTCAATGTACTTTGACAAAACTTGAACATCAATGCCCCATAGAAGTACATGTAGTCCAGAATCCAGCAAAGTAAAGCAAATTTTCGTGGCGCTGCTTAACAGTAAGCAGAAAAATTGTGCTTACTGTACAGGTAGCAAAAAATTGTGCTAACCTTAAGCAATATTTCATTGCGTGGATGTGCTACAACAACATATCTGTTGTTAAGTCACTGATTTTATAAGCAACTTTTTTCCACTGAGGTAAGCATGCCTTTTGTGTGCTTACTGCTTACAGTCTCCATGAAATATACAGAGGCTCTGTTACAGAAAATCATGTGCTTAGCAGCGCCATGAAATTGGGCCCTGGTGTTAGATTTTGATTGATTTGGGGTAAACAGGATTAATCTAATTGAAACTCATGCAAATTTAGGGTAACTTCAACAACTTTTCCTGTAAAAAAAAGAAGAAATTATCAACTGAACAGGTCAAAAATGAAAGAAAAACATTTAAAACTAGTTAAATGTACATGCAAACAAAGGAATTAAACTGCATTATAAGATAAACATTTAATTTTTAAAAACCAACAAATAGTTTATCATGGCTAAAAATTAAGTTAGAGAAGACAAATTGTAGTTTTCGAGGACGCAACTTGTAAAGCTCCACGGTTCACCTTCAACAGGGATTACTGCTCATGCATAGTAGAATGTAGCGACATTTAATCGAAAATGAAGCAAAGAAATGGCAAATAATGCTGGGAACCGACTCAGTTTCCCTTTGTGGTATACAAAGGGAAACTGAGTCGGTACCCAGTATTACATCGATCAAACAAAGAAGTTGAATGGAGCAGGATTTGGGCCTGCAACTGTTGGATCTACGTTCTGGTGCTTCACAAACTGAGCTATCCAGAACCTGACGAATCCCGGTACGTGATCACTATAAACGCACGAGGCCCCCTTCAATGGAGAAACCATTGTGCATGCCATTGTACAAAGCAACTGCCCCCTGACGGATTATCTGAACAATAGCTAGCTCAATGCTTTTGCCATTGAAGGGGGCCCCCATGATAGAATTGGTGGGTGCCCGGATTGGAAGTTCAAATGCCATCCCCCCGTTGTCTCTGTGTTCAACACTACACTGATTATACAATGAGTTAGTTTTAAGGATTTTAATGGCAAAGGGCATATGTACATGTACATGTACAGGCAAAGGCCACACAGGTATTAAGTATTTCTACCAAATGGGAAACAGCGATTCGTATTTTCCACTACATGTACCTCACTACTTCTTGCCAGAATGAGTTTAAAATACAAAGGGTTTCGTGCCAGCCCGATTTTTAGGCCAAATACAAAGATTTTGTCAAGAAATAAATAGATCCTTGTCATTGGTTATTACAAACAATCCTTTGAGGATATGGGGGGGGGGGGAGAAAGAAAGAAATAAAGAAAGAAAAAAAGAAATAACAGAAAAAAAAGAAGCAGATAAACAAAAAATAAACAACCTACATAACGGCTTATTAGTCACAAAAGAGGAAAGTTAAGTTCCATCCAAAAATTGTGTGATGTACGGACAGTTTTAGTACAGATATATGCCTGTCATTACTTCAAATGAAATTTAATAGCAATAATACAATTACAACTAATAACACATGTAACTTTACCTCTTCATTTTCATACAAAGTCTCCTTGGATGTGGAAAGGAAAAGGGTGATAAGAGTATATATGGAGAATGAGTGCTGATGAGGAATAAGGATCCCTAAAACCTTCCAAATTTCTGCCTCTTCAACAAGAAGACATCTAAAAATGCTAAATGAAAGCAAAACGTCCTCCCAAACAACTGGTATTTAATTTTAGCATGACAGTTGTCTGGCATCTTTTGTACAACCAATAGGCAATTTTGGACACACCGCGTCGAGAAAGTGAAAGCAACTTGGATGCCTGTTTATCAATTCAAAGCAAATTTGGATCTAATTTTCAAATGCTGACCAATGCCCCCCCCCCCCCCTCCCCAGCACATACACTTATATCCCCGACTGCATAAATATGTGTTCCGAGGCAGAAATCTTAGAATGGCAGTGGAAAAAATGGAAAATATACAAAACCCATCACCTTATACAGCCTGTCTAAAAAAAAATGGTACAATCAGAAAAAAAAATTGGTTAAATATGAAATTTCAAAATAAGTCATTCTTACTTGGCATAATAAAGAACAAAGACTGGGCTTTCCAATAGTGTTTGTTTGATATTATTTGCTTTTGTCAATTCAGAGATATAATCAATTTAGTGCGATACACCAAAATCGATTTTGTGCCACTTTTATGCATGGGCAGAGTTGTTTCGAGTACTGTGCCATGCTGTCTTGAAGCTCACAAAAGATTGCAACTTGGCAAAAGAAACAAACTTGATTTTTGTGTTTCGCAGAAAACTGGAGTTACACGTATCTCTGGATTGACAAAAACAAATGAGATGAAACAAAAAGTATTGGAAAGCCTGGTCTTTTTTTCTTTAATGTGATGCTCAAAACGACTTACTTATGTTGAGATTTAATATTGAAAATAAAAATTGTTTTCGATTGTACCATTTTTTTTTTAGACAGGCTGTAATGAACAGAATAACAATGTGGAATATCTGATAATCATACATGTACACATATATGTAAACGTATTAGAAAGTATTGGATTAAAAATTAATTTGTTTAACACATGTATATAACAATAAAAAAAGGGACAATCACAAACTTGTGTCAAAAATGAATAATTTATTAAATAATATTGACGACAAACTTTAAAAATTGCAAGAGAAAAGCAAGTGAAAATCATATGTTGTATATTTGCAAAAATAAAATTTGCCTGTACAAATGAAAAAGTTACACTAACAATGAAAAAATAAAATTGAGAAATCAAACATGAAAGCACTGAAAAAGAACTTCTGTAAAAAATTGCTTGGAAGGCACATATGTTACAACATGTGAATGTCGTTTGTTGGTAAACTTGATACATGAACAGCGACTGGTTCAATGTTTTCTCTCGACACCAACATTTGGAAATAAACAAACAAAACAAAACAGGACAAGTTAAAGGTAGAGGATATCATTTGAAGCTATCCAAAAAGTAACTGACAAAATTATTGTTGAAAAGTAAACTTGGTTTAAAGATAGTAAGGGGACTAAACTCCCTGTGAAATTATTCTTTCTGTCATGCTGTCATTTTGAAGAAAACAATAAAAGAATAAAAGATGCATCTAAAGAAAAGATGCATTTTTGGAATTTCCGTTAGTAGTTCGTTTTAATTCGGCGAAGCCATGAATGGCTGCGCGCAAGAGTTGGCACGACGCAGTTGCTATAATTCGTCGGTTCAGTGCGTGACATCGCATTGCTGCAATCGGCTGAATGAGAACGTGTCACGGACGCTGACTTCGGGCACAATTCAAAACATGACTGGGCAACTTTTGAATTGAAATCAAGATCCTAGAATAGTTTTCTTGGAATATGCAGCATTCACTGAGCTACATTTGTAATACTTCATCAGGTTATTTGTTAAGCACCCTTCTTTAGATTTTGAGCACGTTTGTTGCTTCAAACGAAAAAAAAATGCACACATGACAAATGATAAACTCTACCTTAAACAAACACAAATCCTAATACAGGATCATTCTGCTGTATTCAATACACGAGACAGAAATGAGTGCTATGAGATTAAATGGTGAATGGTGAATGCATGCCAAGCCAAAAAAAAAAATTATCTAACAAAAAAAAAATAGCTTCAGCGAAAATCAACATAATTTTGGTTTAGTTTTAACACCACATAAATGTATAAGGACACAAATGCATGACAAATGGTGAAAACTAGAAATCCAGAACATTGGTGCATTTAAAATGAAAGGTACAAGTGATGTGCACAGAAATGGACATGTATGTGAGTGAAGGCGCGTAACATCTCATGAGTGAATGTTGGTGTTATCAGCTCACCTCCGCAAAACTACTGACGGCCGACGTTTTAGCGACAGCACTTTTCATTTTGGTATTCCAGAAGGACTAGAGAGAGTGTTAGGCACAGGTTAGAATGAATGCAGACACGATGGAAACAAGACTACCACAGAGAGATGGTTCATTCACATTAGTATGCAAGTCAGTGGACACTTCGGTAGACTTTCGACTTTTTGAGTTTGTATCAAAATTGCAGGGAAAAACCTTTCGTAAGTCAACAAAATACATTGGTGCTTTTGTTCTGCTTTTTAAGACAATGGGTTTGGGTTGTACTTTTTTTCCTGACAAAGGAGGCATTGCTTCTCTTTTATCTTCTTGTATGCAGAAGAGCTGGATTAAATATTCTCGAGCAGCTAAAAATACTTCTTATGGGCAATTCCACGGTTACTCACGTCACATTTTTGATGTACTTTTAAGTTTCCTTGGGCTGTAATTACCTTACTGAAAAGGTTTAATAACTGTTATCCCCATGGTAGATAGAGTAGACCTAGACCTACCTAAGCACCAAAGATGACATCCAGAAAAATGTGTTATGTATGATAAACAAGACGCACAAAATCGGTTACTCACGTTACATTTTCGTAACGTGAGTAACCAATTTTGTGCGTCTTGTTTATCATACATAACACATTAGGTAGGTCTAGGTCTACTCTATCTACCATGGGGATAATAGTTATTAAACCTTTTCAGTAAGGTAATTACAGCCCAAGGAAACTCAAAGTACATCAAAAATGTAACGTGAGTAACTGTGGAATTGCCCTTATGCAGTACTCAAAATACTTGTTAGAATGAGCTTATGATGCATACATGTATACTACATGCTTATCTAGAAGAAAGAAAACTAAGAAATGGATTAATGATAACAGTTAAAAGCTATTCGAAATCATACTATGAATATGCGGACTACCGATCTCTAAAACTTACTTTGAAAAGCGTTCGTGTGCAATACATGATCTAAAACATGATAACTTTGTTTCATGTGTGCTTGTTACGTGCCAAGTACCAGTGATTGTAACTGGTTTCCAGAAGTGCGGACAATACCAGGTATTTTAATGATGTCAATGTAGTGTGCACTAAAACCAGTGTATAAGTGCCAGATGATTAAAGCATCCCAGTGCTGGTACACATACATGTACACATGGATTTGTAGAAATTTCTGGTTTAAAATATGTTTACGCTTGACTTACAGCAACTATTTTGCATTTGAATGGTATTGTTTGTTTTTTTACATTTTTCGGGAGTAATTTTGCGTTTCTGTTAACTTACAATTTTACTGTCTGGTTCATCTCCTCCAGAGGAAGGCTTCGGAGCTAAAAATGAAAGAAAACACAAAAAGAAACAGTGATTGAAATAATCTCATCTCATCTTGTACATTGCAATCCTGCAGGAGGGAAAAAAAACACTCTGTAACCTCTATTGATGTTCCTGCTATCAAAGGCTTGAAGGTGATATGAGGCTCTGCATGGCAAAGCGTACAACTTGGGAGACGTCTACTGATTTACCATGTGAAGTGATTACATACTGAGGAGAAATGGTTATGAAAAGGACCAGAGATCTTAGCTCGGTGTTTCAGTTAGTAAACTCTGACAGTCATCAGGAGAATAAACTTTAAGAGCACAGCCTAATGTGTCCATCATATTATACAGTTTGTTAGTCAAGACTAATTTTAAAGCATACATGTAAATGTCTCTAGTCAAACTACATGTATGAACGGTCAACTATCAAGTAAAAACTACACCATTCTATATTTGTAAACTCCCTGTTGTACCTTTACAATTTGCACAGCTATTGATAACTACCGTACATTGTACATGTACATGTATTGTCTTAGTATCACCCGTTATCCATGGAGCCAAGTCTCCTGTATAACGTCTGATATGTCTAGACATGCAGATACATGCAAGCCACGCACCAGCCAATCGGAGTTGACTTTACTAAAATCGCGACGTCATTTCATTCCCAAATCAGGACTAATGGTTTAATTGGTCAATTCGAATGCAGTGTTTTGTAATACAACAACAACCGGGCGCATATCGCATAACATGATACAGAGCACGTGACACAGGGTTTTTTTTATCCATGTCTATGAGGCGCAACGGTTGAATGACTGAAGACCCGATATAGAAAGCGCTCGCTGATTGGTAAAAATCAAAGAGATCAAGATGCGGTTGTCTTGCATAATTAATCAGCGAATCTGTTCAAAAAATATAGATCGTGGCTTCGGTCTATTACTAGACTAATTGATAACCAGCAATGCAATAAATTGTACATGTACCGGTACATACATGTATACAAATGTAGGCTGGTCCCAATATGACTGACTGGACTAGTCCAACCTTCACCAACTAGGGTGCATTTAATGAAGACTAGTAAAACACAATGGTTATCTGTAATTCTTGATGTACAAGTACATCTGCCAGCTTATCATACTACTATGTTGAGTGGTGTCCTCAATCAACGATGTCAAAAGATATGTCTTCAGAAGAGCTTTCGAGGTGTACTTCTCTGAAGTAATACAAATGTATTCAAATACATCTTGGTTTTTACAAAAAGTCCATTAGTGCTAACGTGGTTTGAATGTTACTCCAACTCACAGCCAGACTCACCGGAAGACTTGAAAGTGCCACGCAAAAACGCAAATCTCTTCATTTCTTTACAAACAATGTAGACATCCACAAGAATCCTTTTCCCCAGAAAGATGTTCCTGAACTCACTACGCAGACAACTTTAGTTGGTTTTGACACTAAGTCTTCATGTGACGACGCTGCGAGAGACCCACCGCAATAACTAACTTCTTCAACAACAGGAAAGCCTCATTACGGCCCAGCAAATCTGACTCATCCGATGTGGATGTTCCACCCTGCTCAAGCCAAATTTAATTGTCCTAAGAGGCGAATGGGGAAACACCGTTAAGTGCAAATAAAAAATGCAAAACTGTTCCTAAATTTGAACGGAAGTTATTGTCTGCTTTAAAGAAACTTAAACCAGGGAATGTTTGTTTCCAAATTTGTCATATATACCGGTATCCAAAAGTGTAAACAAGAAAGCAAGTTGGAAATGGTATCATGTGGTTTTCATTTTTGGCATTACCAGTTCAGGATACTTCAATCGAAATTAATCCCATAAAATGGAACAAATTGAATTTCAAACTCATGTTGATGATTTGAAGACTGAGGGATTGAGGTAGTGGGTGGGGAGGTACGGGGTGGGGGTGGGTGGGTACAGGGTTGGGGGTGGGGTTGGACTTCCTCACAAGACAAACCCAAGACCAAGTAAATTGAAAAGGAATATAACACTGGCATGTCTTACCAGTTAGTTCATGAAAACATTCCTGTTTATGTTTTTGATGTAACCACACCAGACATCAAAATTATTTTTTTTTAAATCATTTAAACTGAAAGAAAATAAAAGAGAGACAAATCCTTCAGAAGTCCTAAGTAAAAAAGTAAAAAGAGACCAGGCTAAATGGCTGGTTCCTTTCAATACGTGTAGGCCTACATATTCAGCAGAAACGTTGCTCAAGGGCAGAGACGAAATTAGGCCACGGCTCCCCAAAATAACACGGAGGCTCAATTAGCTGGTAAGCTTTGGAAATTACTCAAAACTGGATCAGCAATGCTTGGCCAGGAGACGCCACAGGCATAAGTGCCAGCCAAATAATTGAATTGCAAGATGAAAACGCTCATATTTATGATGGCTTAGAATTAATGGATGCAGCAGTGCGTGCAGGGAAATTGGTCCAGTCCACTCCGCTATCCAAACAGTAGTTTATTTGCCTGATGATCGTGAACAATTTTGTGATTCTTTAATTCTTGAATTTGATTGGATGAAGGTTTCTATTACAGTACTTCAAACGGTGAGTGTTTTAATAATTTCATGATATCTGTCTTTTTTTCTCTCTTTTATATAATGCATTGCAAACTAATTACAATGATTTTGCTTAAAGGCCGTTTTAACTTCATGGAATTTTAGTCTACAGCAAATGTGTAAGCGTACGGACGAATGTTGTAATGGAGCAAGAATCGTTGATGTCATGAAAATGAAATCTGCTTCATTTTTGCCTGATGTGTGATGTTCTGGTACAAAAATTGTATTTGAACATACATGTACAGGATGCGGCATCCGATTTCACGAAGCGCTGCCACACGTTGCAACTCAAGTTGCGACGCGCAACAGTTGCAATTTGCAAAGCGTCGTATGATCCATTTCGCAAAACTTAAGACAGATGAACGGTTTAAAACCCGTCGCAAGTTACGACGTGCATTTTGGTCATCGCAAAATAAGAAGCATCTTTTCTTAGCAAGTTTTATACCATAAAAATTACATAAATGACACTGTATTACCGAGACAATGTGTGTGAAGTTGTAATTGGAATTTGCATCAAATTAAATATGAATTAGCCTGGAGTATTGCAGTCAAAATTTTAAAGTAGGTAACAATCCACCGTGATCTTGTTTTCCTTTAAAACTGCATCATACGTCCGCCATTTTGTTTTACAAACTTTTTGACAGGAGAACAGACGAATCTTTGCTGAAAATCAGACAACTGTTTACTGTGCGTTGAATAAATACACAGTCACCGTATTTTGCTATAACAACACCTACAGGTATGACGCGTCACACTTATCACGTGTTTAGTGAAATGAACCGCAGGACGCATTGCAGCTACGATGCATTGTAGGGATACGATGGTTGCAGCGCTGCGATGCATCATAAGTTATGATGAGTTTCATGAAATCAAGTGCTGGTCCCCAAACTAGGGGTGTGTAACCAGGGTTGGAGAAATGAAACATCCACAACATAATCGGCAGAGGTGTTGGGGCCGCTGAAGGCCCCAGAGCAACATAGGGTCTACGGTTGTATTTTGCATCACTGCAACCCTTAAAATCTCCTTTTCTTTAGTTCTTCAGGTTTACTGTAAACCTTTATAGGTGCAGAGACCTTTATGGTAAAATCTCACAAATTCTAGATTTCATAGGGATTTCTGCAAAATCCTGAAATCAAGAAAATTACTCACAAATGTCACCCCTGCCCAACACACAGAAAAAAAAATCAAAAGTGATGTACAAATTGAGTGATGATGCTTCAAGGTCCATTTTCTAAATGGACAGCATTGCTCTGGATTCTGACACTTTCAATTTATCAAGTCTGAGCTACCTCTGCTGCAGGCATGGATGTTAAGAACATCTTCAGGGACATGTGCAGTTTGCTTACTGTACAGCGATTGATATTGTATGATCCAGTAAGGCTTGTAGCAAAAATAAATAACGAGTTTGCGTTCATGGGCCTTATTAATGAGTCGGCCATATTGAATTGAAAGTTAGGTAAAATCATAATTTCTGGAACTTGCAAAGCGAAATGAAAGTAAGTTAATTTAAACAATAAATTCCAGTCTGCTTCAATGAACTGATTTTAAAATTTGTAATTAAGCGTTCCTTGACATTTAAAAGCCATATTTTACAAAAAAATGACAGTAAAATAAGGCTGCATTGTGCCTGCGTAAATAGTCTGGTGCCATCCCTCACAACAGTTAACAATTAATGAAAGACATTCAGGGAACTCGACACAAATGGCCAACTCGTGAATAAGGCCCATGTGCTAACCACAGACTAAAGCAACTCATAAACAACCCAATGAAAACCATGTAGGTACAGTATACTCACGACGCATCAAAAGCGGGATCCTACTTCCTCGATATGGCATCCTCAAAGTTGAACTCAAAACAACTTATGTATCTTACAACATCCACGCAAGATGCTACATTCTCACTCCACCAATATGCCTTCCAATATCCACTCAAAACTCCCAGCAAACACAAACAGTTTCAAATGTCAAAACGATTCTACTGTACCAGACAGCTTCCATCCAGTTGGTTAAAGTACCAACGACAACGAAGCGTGTTTGTTTATCTGACTGAGGTACTGGAAGAAAGAGAAAAAAATCCTTCGTCCCCGAGGCTGGAAACGATGATGGGTTTCGTGTCGGCGAGCCGTGATTGGCTTATGGATTGAAATGAATGAAAAGGCCCCCGGGATTTTGGTTTTCAATTAAAGAACGAGGATTGAAATATATTTAATAAGTAGAGGGCAACACAACCTTCACTTGAGATATTGGCATAGGAGGGTTTAACTGTGGACAGTAATTTGAATTTATTATTAATGTTTTATACAAAGTATGATTTTAACTTGATAATTACACATCTGTAAATATATTAATACTTAATTTAAGTAATATCTCCCTGTACCTAAATCTTTACCCTACCGGTACGCAGCTAATTTTTGGGTGGGGCAGTTCAGAATAGGGGTGGGGAT